GGGTTATGACACATGCAGGATAAATTCCTGGCTGCTCCTTAACGCACGAACTGGTGTCTGAGCACGGGTCGTTTAAAACTTGGAATGGAGGGACCACATTTCCTCCAGCAACATCGTTTCCGAGCAGGAGATTTACTCCAGCGATCGGCAACGATGGGCAAACCGCCACATCAAAATAACCTCTGGCTAGCTCGCAAGAAAGAAAGACTCGGTGTAACGGCCGAGAAATCGGCTCACCATTTATTCCGTTCAGCAGAACTGACACGCCCGTTGCACTGCTCTCGTTAAAAATCATGACATCGCTAGTTATGAGCGTTTGTGATGCCCCAGTATCGCGCAAGATGATAACTGGAGCTTGGTCAGAACTTGACTCATTTAGCTGAACCACACCTTTGGACAAAAATGGTTGAAAACAGTCGTTTATTTCTGTCACGACCTGCTTGTTTTTCGTTATAAAACCAACCTCACGTGAGGGGGAGGTTCTCTGTTCGTTTTTCCTTTTTAATTTGTAACAGTCTTTTACTACATGCCCAGACCGATGACAGTAAACACATCTTGGCTGGTGGGCGTTTACCGAACCGCTGTGAGCAGGCCTCATCATAGGAGGCCGTCTGGCATCTCTGGGTGGCAGTTCGCCGCTAACGCGGTGCGTTAATGAATATTCATCCGCCAACAAAGCTGCAGAAGACAAAGTCGCTACCTTTTGTTCATTCAAGTAGAGCTGAAACAACTAATCGATTTAATCGATTATAATCGATTATTAAAATAGTTAACAACTTTTTTAGTCATCGATTAGTTGTTTAATAATCATATTTTACCGCATAAAGTCTATTTTTTACCACAATCTGACATCGGTTACAAGCTGTTAAATTTGCCGCCAGTGTGTGGCAGTAATGAGCCACTGATCTACCAGTGGAGCCGTAGAAGAAGAAATGAGCCAATGGGTGCCCTCGGTTTTCATGACGTATCACGTTACTGACGCTCATCTTGCTGTGAGAAAATGGCGGAACAAGAGGAAATACGGAAGAAAAATAGAAGCGACAAAACTGAAGAGAAACCCCGGACAAAAACCTCACGAGTATGGGAGCACATTTGAGACGAAAGCATGTGGGGGCTGATGCAGCAGAGGAAGAGCACCGCGGTCAAGTGAGCCGTCATTTGGAAGAGCCAGCCCGGTAAGTAACAGAAAATAAACAAGCTGGACTTAGTGTTTTAGCTGAGTTCGTTATAGTGGATGTTAAACATGTTTTTTTGCCGCGTCAGTCTGCGGTGTTCTACTTCTGATTGACTAGATGCAATCGTGAATCTCCTCCGTGTTGTGTATCATGCGCTTGCCAAATTTAGCACGTCTGTTTATAAGAATGTTCTCGTTAAGAGAAAAACGGCACAAACCCATAACTATGTTCCTCATTCAAAAAAGGACAACTCCGCGGAGAAAAATATACAGACAAGCTGTGTCCAGGTGAATATAACGCGGCATAGTTGTACACTTTCAATTTTTAAATACAGGAGAAATTCAGAAAAAGTCATTTTTTTACTATTAAAAGGCTGTTTTACTATCTAACGCTGTAAAACGCCTCACAACACATTTTTATCATGTTTCTTAAACAGTATTACACAAAATAAACATTTTTCACATTTCTCTGGCTAATTTAAACACTCCCGACTCAAAGTAAAAACCTCATGAGCTTCTTACTTAGAGCTTTTTAATAGTAAAAATGTTTTACTTTTTTTCTGAATATCTCCTGTTGCGGGCTATTTTTTAGAACGTAACCCTCAAAATAAATGATCACTGTATATTGTTAATTAATTCAAATAATATAATATTGATTTAGTGTTGTAGTGTGTGTGCTGCTTTATTTTATATGTGTACTTATTTCAGTCTATTTGTGTTTCTTATGCAGAAAAAAACAAGCAACGATGGACAACTACATGGGGAAGAAGACACTCACCCCCCAGCAATTCATACCACTTACAAACTCTATTCTAAACATGCTGGTAAAAGACATGAGGCCACTATCCATGGTGGAAGGAGCAGGCTTCCAGCTAATGCTAAAAATTATTCTGGACTGATATTTTGCACTGTTTAGCTCATTTTATACTGCTGACTGTGTTCATGTGCAATAAAATAGATTGCAGTCAACTGCACAATTCTCTTATGTTTTTTTGTTCTTAACTGAAATGCATCCATCACTTGTATAGGTTAAATAGCTAAACAATAACAAACCGATTAATCGATTAATCGAAAAAATAATCGACAGATTAATCGATTATGAAAATAATCGTTAGTTGCAGCCCTACATTCAAGTATAAAACGGTGCGCTCCGGTAAACATCTCTTGAACTCCTCTAACAGGATTAATTCCTTCAGCTCAGTAAAAGAAGACACTTTTGATGCTGCAACCCACTTTTCAAATAATAAAAGCTTTTCTCTGGCGAACTCGACAAACGTCTGATGTGGCTGTTTATTGGTTAATGCTCGGAATCTTTGTCGGTATGCTTCTGGGACCAGTTCATAAGCAGTTAACACTGCACTTTTCACACATTCGTAATCTAAACTGTCAGAAAGGGACAAAGAAGACATTACCTCCTGGGCTTTTCCGGTGAGCTTGCACTGGAGGATCAACGCCCACACGTCACGAGGCCACTCAAGAGCTGCAGCAATGCGCTCAAATATCTGGAAGTAGCTGTCCACCTCAAACTCCCGAAAAGGTGGCACCAACACAATGCATTTACTTATGTCCAGTCTCTGTTTTATTCCAGGGGTAGTTTCTTCTCTTGTGGTGTCGGGTTCTGTCACATCCTTGTGCGTCTCAACACGTGGGTCATTTTGTTGGGAAATTTCGGCTTGTCTCCAAGCCTGGGCTTCCAGCTCAAGTCTTTTTAGCTTGATCTGTGTGTCGGCTTCCAGATCCATTCTGCGGATCTCCAGCTCCATCTCCATCAGACGGCGCTTCTCCTTTTCCTCGGCCTCATACTTTAGCTGAGCCATTCGGACTTTCAGACGTAGGTTAAAACGCTCCAGCGAACTCGGAGTAGAAGCTGGTGAGACAGGATCAGACTTGGGCAAAGTTAGTGGTGAAGAAGGGGTCTTACTGTGAGCCGGCGGGGTCTGGTAGCCGGGAGCCGTCTCCTCGGGTGCCGCCGAAGATGGTCCTGCTCCGTTCTCATGGCTTGCGGCGTCATCCGCACGCGGGGAAAGGACAGGAAGATCTCCAGTCCCTTTTGCAGGCAACAAGTTCAAGTTTTCCAAGGCAGCAATAACTGTCTCTTTTAGAACCTGTTTCGTCATTGTGCGGGTGCCATGGAGATCAAGGTGCTCAGCCACCTCCACCAGATCGCTCTTGCGGCAGGCCTCGAGCGCTTCCCGCGACGGTGCACGCAGAAACTCCTTTAAAGAAAACATAATTATTATAGAGCTCACCTGGGAAGAGCTAAAATCCAGAGAGTGAAACCACCAAAATGAAAGAGTCCCAGGGTACTTAACACACACTTAAGCGCAATGGGAAAAAAAAAACGCGGCGCACAACCTATTTCTTTATTACCGGGCAGACTTAGATTAAGTTCCAATTATTTATAACTCAAATAAATCCCGGACGAGCCCCCATTATGTTACGCCCCCTCTCTGCAGGTCTAGGAAGATGAGGGGACTAACACAAGAAAATAGGTGTAAAAGTGTGTGTGAGGATAAAGGACGAGGAGGTTCGAGTAAAACAAAAGGATTTATTAACATAAGGTGTCCGTGGGTAAACGGCATAAATAAGGCTTCGTAATAATAAACTACAACATAAGCAGTCTCACTGCTTATGACAAAGTTTTTCTGCCAAAACGCAAAATATCCCCGGCTCAAAAGTCCTATGGGGATAAAAAGAAAAACACCACAAAGGCTTAACCCTTAACAAGGTGTGTGAAAACACACTCAGAAGGTACCCAGGCTAATCCTGGATCCTTAGTAGAGAACCTAAACATAAATGAGCGAGGGAGAATCTCAGGCTACTCCTGGATCTCTATCAATAACCTTAAACCCAGCAGGAACGGTGTAAACAGCCTTAAACCTGTCTGGTAACGGTCGCGAAAGTGTCCGTGAGCTAAAGGAGAATCTCTGGCTACTCCAGGATCTCCTCGATGTCTGCTGCGTTCCTCCTTTTAAAGAGCTGGGAGCTGCTTGATCGCTGATGAAGATCAGCTGCTGTCTCTGCTGGCGTGCCTCTCTCCGAGGTCCTGAAAGGGCGCTGGAGCGCTGGAGAGTGTGAGCTGGCCGCTCCTGGCGCTGTCCCTGGTGCTGGATCCCGTGCAGCGGGGACAAAAGGCTCAGGCTAGGATGAGAGGACGGACCGAGGGGACGAGGGTCGTCACACACACACACACACACACACACACACACACACAGGCACGCATGCATGCACACACACACACACACACACACAGGCACGCATGCATGCACACACACACACACACACACACGCATGCAAGCAGGCACACACACACACACACACACACACACACGCATGCACACGCACACACACACACACACACACACACACACACACACACAGGCACGCATGCATGCACACACACACACACACACACACACAAACACACTCACACACACACACACACACACACACACACACACACACACACACACACACACAGGCACGCACACACACACATACACACACACACACACATACACACACACACACACACACACACTACAGTGGCCCCAGTAGCAGTCTCTTTTCTTCGTCAGCTTCATGTGTGAGCCTGTCTGTCCATACATGACCATTTACTAATATCTGATCACACTGAGGTCAGTGATGTAAAGATCAATGATTGTTCCGTTCTTAAACGGCTACATGTGACTGAAACCATCTGGGATTGTTGTAAGTGAATGAGTGAACGCTGCAGGAACACCAGGAAACCCTCATGGATCACTACCAGGTCAAACTGAGACTGTATAACAAACCAGGAAGTGAAGCGTTTGCGCTGTCTCTCTAGCTGCGGGCGGGTCTGTCGGCTGATGTGGTGCCCGTGGGCAAACCGGGCCCTCGGAGGACCAAGCAGTTGGTTGTAGCAGATGCTGTAGGCCCTTCACTCCAGAGGAAAGGGGACCTGCTGTCCAATCAGGACACGTGTCTGGCCGCCCTCAAGGGTGAGCTGCCTCCCCAGTCTCTAAAAATCTGTTTTCTACTGTTTTTATTAGTAGTTTCAATTGTTGATCTGCTGGAGTTCTGGTGCTTTGTCTTCCCAGCCCTGAGACAAGTCCTGCAGTCCACTGGGATGCTGCTAAAGGATGACATACACAAGGTAAATCTCACAACTGGATCAGCCAACAGCAACCCAACCAAGAGAAGATCAGAGGACTGGGTGGGGTTCAACAGGTCACTGATATCTGGAGGAGCGTGGTTGTGATGACCTTGAATGTGAAGAAGTGTAAGCCAGAAAAGCTGCAGCAAGATTGTGGCGATGAGGGTGGTGGATGGGGCTCTGGGCAGTGTTGGGAGTAATGCCGTTTAAGTATAACGGCGTTTCTAACGGCGTTATTTTATAGGTAACGGAATAATCTAATTAATTACTTTTCCCGCCGTTGCAACACCGTTACCGTTACTGGGGACGGAAGGTTGTGCCTTACTATGTGCTTGTCGAACGTTGAGAACAGTGTGAGGCTTTCTGACCGCCACACTTCAGCTGCAGCCAGGGAGAGAGAGGTGTTGGCGCGCTAGGATGATGTTGACGCCAAAACAACCAAAACAAAGTGGAGACTCGCATCAGGAAGAATCTGCGTGTTTCGAGCGTTATCCGTTCTTTCATAATCCGTCGTTGAATTGTGATCGGCAGAAGCTTTTCCGGTTCGCGCCTCACTTTTTTACAGCAGCGGCCCACGTCTTCTTTTATCAAAACGTCGTTTCTGTTACTGATAAGAAAATGCGTGCGTTAAGCTGCGCGGTGTGTTGAAGCTGTCATCAGCTGATCAGGAGCTAAAGAGGCAGATGTTTTCATCCAAGCGCATCACGGCCGTGAAGAACGAGGAAGACGTGATGAATATCTACGGCTGCAGACCCCCCGCAGATTCACTGCTGCAGGTGGGAATCTGCAGCAGCGAATCTGCGGGTCTGCAGCCGTGCCCTTCTTGGCTTGACAGCGGGACATCCCGAAGGTCCGCTCACCTGTTCACCGCTCAGACGTCCTGATCTTCTGCCTTCCTAGATCATCCAGCTGTAACCTGTTTCTGATCATGTCTTTAGTCCCGCTGTAACACTGATGCATCAGTCTCAGACGGCATGGAGCTCAGGTGTTATCAGAACTTCCTGTGTGTGTTTACCACCCAGCTTCAGCTCTTCTGTGGTTGGGTCTGACCCACATTAGTACATTTAAGTCCTCCATCAGGCTTGTGCCTCTTCTAGTGTCATTTTAAAGGATTTTATTTATTTATTTAACCGTTACTAGATTAGCAGCAACAGAAATGCTGCTAAAAACACAAAATTATGTGAAGCTGGAAAAATTAGAATACTGTGCAAAATTACATTTATTTCTGTAATTTAACTAGACTGAGATACCATCTAAAGGCTCGGGAACCTTTACAGGTGTTTCTATTTGCAATTTTAAATTTTAGCTGATTGGGGTCTTGTTAAATATCACACAGTGACCTTTTAATAGTCTAGATTAGTGTAATGTTCCTATTAGTAGTTCCTCCTGTTAAGTGCTTATTTATTTAAATTATTCAGGTTTATATAAAACATTTGGACATACATTTTATTATGTTCCAGTCATTAGTCATTTATATTTCACTATTGTAGTAATTCTTGCATGCTTTAATGAAAAAAGTAACTAAGTAGTTATTTTTGTTGGTAATTAGTTACTTTTATGATCTTGTAACTCAGTTAGTAACTGAGTTACTTTTTTGACAAAGTAATCAGTAACTGTAACTAGATACTTTTTTAAAGTAACGTTCCCAACACTGGTTCTGGGGCGATGCAACAGCAGAGTGCTGGACCACCACTAGGAGAGATTCTATTTCTTAATAAAATAAACGTCTTTATTTGGGTTAATCTGTAATTATTTCAACAGGCGAACTAGTAGTAGCACATTATCAGGAGAGGGAGAATGTTTAGGTGGTAAGCAGCAGTGTGCTAGGCGACGGCCCCCTCCATGAGGCCACCACAGCTCAGCAGAACATCGTTGTAGCTTCTTCTGGGGAGAAAAACACGCGTAAACTGCCGAAAAAATACAACTGGAGAGCAATGGTAGAAGAAAGTAGCAGAGTGGAAAGTGGTTAGCACCGGCACTTGCGCACTAGCACCAGCTCCACTCTGCCTGGACCTGCTTGGGAGTTTTCTCGTTTAGGTAGCCTTGGATTTTCCCGAGGCGGTCCGCCTGGACTCGACCTGGTCCAACACGCCCACTGCTGCCTCCCATTAGCAGATAGAGTCAGCCCGCGGCGCGGTTCATTAACATTCTGGATGCTGTGGCATTAACGGGCCTCTGACTGAAGCCGCGCACACACACACACACACACACACACACACACACACACACACACACACACACACACACACACACACACACACAGCAAAGCAGGTTGCAATGTAGAGTCTAAAAGCAAGACTGCTCAGGCTGCTTTTGTTTAATAATGGAGACACGGCGGACTTCTCTGCACTCTTTAGCCCCGCCCACGTGCTCAGAGATGCACTCATGACATCACAGACCGCCCACGTGCTCATTCATGTCCACATTTCTAAGATGGCGTGGAATGAATGCAGCCAGGCTGGGCGGGCGGAGCGGAGCTGGTGCTAGTGTGTCAGTGGCATATGTCCTCCCGCAGTCTAAGCCTATAGCGACGTAAACTTAGATGGAGGCGTGTGGGAGGCGGGGCCAGGGAGAACCGTCTTTACCGACTTGTCAGGGAGGGAGATGTGAGAGGACGAGACCTTTAGGTGGGATAGACAGACAGGTTGTGGAGGACACCCAGACCTGATGGCGTGGGCAGAAGGAGGAGCAGTTGGGTTTGAAACCAGTGAGAAGATTGCTTAATTGTCCTTGTTCACTTTTTAAGAAACTAGAACAATAATTTTATTTCATGTTGACAATCAGGGGCAGTAGTGATGAGGAAGAAGTGGGTTTGGTACAGCTGGGTGTCATCTGCACAGTGGTGAAAACTGTTATTACTAAACTTTGACCAAAAGGGAGATGAATGCTAAATGGAGCAAATCCCAGGACAGAGCCCTGAGGAACGCCAGAAGCTGACTTTAACTTGCAGGATTTCAGTGGATGGAGCCTGAGATGTGTGAGATAAAACTAAGTAGGAGGTGTTGGTGATTTCTGCAGCTCTATGCCTTGGGAGGATGTTGTGTGAGAAGATGTCAAAGGTCACACTCTGGACTCTGCATCCATTAGCAGATCGGTGGTAATTACCAGAGCGTCTGAGTGGAATGGAGATGGTGGACTTGACAAAGAGATGGACGTGAACGCTATTGAAGTTGCCGGCGTCTGCACCAGCTTAATGTAGACGTAGGCCGTCTGTGTCACGGTCTCAGGCTGCTCCGCACGGTAACGTGCGATAGAGTCACGAGGGCTCGCTCATACTGGGGCTTTACTGACGAACCCTAACCCCGATCTGCAGAGGAGATGCTTCAGCAGCAGCAGCAGGAGCCTGTCTGGATGTTCTGATCTCTGTGAACCCTTTGTTGCAGAGACTCCATGAAGTGGTGCTGCCCCTGTGTGTGCGTCTGCAGCAGCAGCAGTCCAGCAGCATCTCCGCATGGGAGCCTGCAGGGGGCGTCAGCGGGCAGTACAGCAGTGCCCTGACTCGGAGAGAGCTATACAGGTACTAGATCCCTCGTCTCACCAGCCCTTTACGGTGGGATTTATTCAGCGATTATCTCGTTTGCAACGTTTCTTCTGCTGTTTTAAACGAGACGAGTGTGTGTGGAGCTGTCGGTGCTCACGAAGCAGATTAGAAGCAATCTTTAGGAGCTTCATGAACATGTATTTTTACATCTTCAGGGTGTTGCTGGCTCTGGTCCTGGTCCCGTCGCCGTCTTGGCCACCACCTCTGACCTGTGCTGTGTCCATCCTCAGCAACGGACGCATAGACCGACACCTGAAGGTAACTCTCAGGAGAACTCGGGGCATCTGCTCTCAGTTCAACCTCTTACGACTCTTCAGTTCTTCTTCGTGAAACAACATGAGATTTATCATAGTTTCATCAGCGTTTCACCACTAAAGGTAGTTGGATCAGAGGAACGCGGGGAGATGACAGAAACACGGAAAACACACATTTACTGAAATGAAGTTATTAAAGCTGCCAGATCAGCGAGGAGAGATAAGTCCACTCTTAGAGCAGGTCCGTGCTCTGGAAGGGACCAGTATCTCCTGCTGCTGGTTCTACTCCCGTCACCTGCTAGGCGTGAGGGTGATGGAGCGTGTGATCAGAACCTCGGTTCTGTGGAGACCCTGGATAACTGATGAGCTCTGCCCTCTCTCTCCTCAGGTGTCTTCGTTCTGCGCTGAAGCTCTGACCATCTGTAACTCAATCCTCCACCCCCGCAGGCCCTCCCTCGCCCTGCCCTTACCTCCACTCACCCTGAAGCCCACCGCCACCCCCTCTGTCCTCTCCTGCCAGGGTCCTGGTCCTAGACTCACCCTACCAACACTACTGGGGGGCCCTTCGTCTGCCCCTCCTTTCCCCGCCCGTCACGCTCTCAACCTGGGCCCCTCCTCTCTGTTGGGCTCCTTGGATAACCACTTCTCCTTGGTCCCGGGCCTGCCAGGACAGGCCCCAGGCCCAGGAGACCTGATGGCGTCCTCACAGACGCACCACCAGCCAGACCCCTCGGGGCTGGGTCCACCGGAGGGGCAGAGGCCGGTGTTTGTCCGTTACGACAAAGAGGAAACGGAAGATGTAGAAATATCTCTAGCGAGCGACTCTGATGACAGCGTGGTGATCGTCCCTCCTGGGCTGCTCAACGTGGAGAAACAACAGAACGACCTGGCCGCAAACTCCCAGAGCCTGCTGTCCTCGGCGCCAGGCGGAGCGGAGTTGGTCACCATGGTTCCCACCTCATCAACGCCCACCACTCTAGATGTGACCTCTCTGCCAAACGACCTGGCCACCTCCTCCGCCCTCCTCACCTCTTCTGTCACACCCATAAACTCCTTCCCTCCCTCCAGCACCTCAGTGGTCTCCCTGGTCCCATCTGTGAACTCTAGCTCCGCCTCAGCCCCCCCTGGTGGTCTGGGGGACCCCCTTGCTGGGAAACCTCAGCTGCAGCAGATGCTGATGCAGCCTTCGACCACGGGCCAGCCCAGCTCCATGGCTCTGCCCCTGCAGATGCACCAGCTGACCCAACAGGGACGACACCTCCACCCGCATCCGCCCACACCGGCTGCCAACGAGGAGTCGGCTGTCATCAATATCAACAGCACGGATGACGAAGAGGACGATGAGGAGGACATGGAGGACGACGAAGAGCTGGAGGACGAGGAGGACGGGATCGACGAGGAGGATGACGAGGAAGAGGGGAGTGATGAGTTTTACGAGGGGGAAGATTACGACGACTTTGATGAAGAAGAGGGTGAAGAGCTTGGGGAGGAGGAGGAAGAGGAGGAGGATGGAGACATGCCGCCACTGGAGGGATCGGAGGACAGGTCGGAGGAGGTCGGGATGGAGGATGACAAAGTTCTCCTACCCATGGAGGAGGGAGAGGTGGGCGAGTTTTGTGTGGAGGGCGACGGAGAAGGAGGGATAGAAGAGCTGCAGACAGGCAGAGCGCTGTTTGGGGAGGACAGGATGAAGGTGCAGGAGGTGGAGAGCATCGGCGTTTTAGAAGAATCCAGGGAGGAGGGGGAAGGAGAGGAAGATGAGAGCGAACAGATGGATGATCCCACCATGCCACAGATCTTATGTGTGACGGGCGGAGCTCTGGAGGAGAGGCTGGAGAGCGGTGAGGAGGGCGTCGTTGCTGGAGATGGCCTTCAGGAGGAGATGGGTCTGTGGGACCAAGGAGCCAAGGAGACGGAGCTGATCATCGCTGCAGAGGAGCAGGAAGCCAGTCAGAGTCAGCTGGTAGGTCCTGTGTGTGTGTGTGTGTGTTAAAATAACGTTCTCCGTGTAACTTTTTGTTTGTGACAAAAGGACATGGTGGCTGAAAATGAGCTACAAGCAGCCGAGGGAGAAAAACCACCGAGTCAGGAGGAGGAGGAGGCAGCAGCAGGTGGAGGAGAGCCAGCAGGAGCAGACGAGCAGCCCTTCGTTGCTGAGGACATCAAGGAGCAGCAGCAGACCGACTTGGACCAAGGAGACTTGAAGGAACCAGAAACGTCACAGACAGAAGGAGAATTGGGAGGAGATGGATGTGGAGGGGAGAGAGGTAGAGAGGAGGAGAAGGGGATGAAGAGGAAGAGAGAGAACGAGAACACGGAAGAAGAAGAATCCACGCAGAGCCCTGAGAAGAAAAAGGTAAAAGTATAGGACAACATGAGTGGGGCGACTGTGCCACAGGAGTTGCGTGCTCGCCCCGTCATCAGAAGGTTGCAGGTTTGAGTCCAGCTCAGTCTGTCGCTGTGTCCTTGAGCAAGACACTTAGGCCTAGTCCACACGTAGCCGGGTTTCTTTAAAAACGAATATCCGCCCCTCCAAAAAATTGTATCCACATCACCTCGTTTAAAAAAAACTGTCCACACGTACCCGGATAAATACGTTGTTAAGGACATGCCAGACCTGTAGGCGGCAGTACTTCCCCCGTTCTTAACCTCGTCCTTCGTCTGTGGTCTTCCGCAAGGAGCAGTAATTCCTCTTGCAAAAACAAACAAGCAGAAAGCGCTTGGACAGTTGATAAAGCGAGCGCAGCTCTGAGGGCATCCATGCTGTCGGCTAGTGTAAACACAGGTCGCACACGTGATGTCAGCATTTTTTTGTCGCGGAAAGTGACGTTGCGGACCTTAAAACTCCGGTTTTGTCCGTCCACACGCAGACACCCAAAACGGAGAAAACGCAGATCTTCACTTTGGCCGGAGTTTTTAAAAAGATCCGTTTTCGTGTGGATGACAGGCCAAAACGTAGAAAAATATCTACGTTTTGGCAGATCCCCGGCTACGTGTGGACAGGGCCTTAACCTCCTAACCTGCTGTGCTCGGCAGCCTCGCCTCTGTCAGTGCGCCCCAGGGCAGCTGTGGCTACGTCGTAGCTCATCAATGACTGATTGTGTTGTAAAGCGCCTTGGGGGGTTCCAGGACTCTAGAAGGCGCTATAGCCAGTACCGTACATGCTGTGATGAACTCATGTCATTATTTCAGATTGTTTAATCCAAAGTAAAGCATGGAGTTCAGCAGCTGACCTGCCAAACCCTCGCATGTCCCATCGATCTCCCTATGAACACATGAGGAGGCTGCTGCTGGGTCCATCTGAGCTTCGGCATCAACAGAACGTCTTTGGTCTAGTTTGATACCGACACCCTTAAAGCCAACTGTTTATTAGTAATAATAATCATAATAATGCTGGTTTACATACGTTTCCCAAAGCGCTCTGCTAACGATGCTAAATGACATCCTAGCCACAGCTGACCTGGGGTGGGCTCACAGAGGGCCAGGCTGCTGTTAATCACCTCTGACCACCACCTACAGACAAATCAGGCTGTGTCTTGCCCAAGGACACTACAGCAGAATGCCCAAGAATGAGCTGAGATCGAACTGGACACCCTAAGATTTCTGGACAGCCCACTCTTCCTCCTGAGCTACTGCTGCCCCTCTGTGCAGAAGTTATAAGTAGTCCCTGTGTCAGCTGTTCATGGCTGCCTGAAAGGCCTCCGTTCAGAGAAATAGCTTGTGTCCTTCAGGAAGGAAAGCTGTAGCAGCTAGTCTGAGCTAACGGCTAATTGGGGTGCAGCTATGGCCAAATATATTCCCGCAATTAGCTCCAGTCTCTGAGTCGCATGCTGCTGGATTTGGTGACGCTGCTGCCTCACGGCAAGATGGTTGCTAGTTCAAATCCCAGTTAAAATGTTCTTCCCCACGTGTATGCACGTCTCTTTGGGGCCGAAAGCGCTTTGGAGTCCTCTGACTGTACAAGTGCGGGCCGTTTATCATTCATTTGGGTAGAAGCTAAATAAAAATGAACGAACAAACAACAACAAGCATATTTATCACAGAGGATCATGGGACATCAGTTTAGAAGCGGCCACGCTGCGGTCAGTCCCTCTAGACTGGGTTATTTTCATGGATCTCTGATTTCTTACATGGAATTGAGTTGTTTGTGTGGATTTCTGTGCTTCTGTCTCCAAGCGCCTAACGAGCCGTGTGTCTCTGTTCCTCAGCTGGACGAGGAAGCTGTGGCCTCCATGTTGGCAGATTTTGTTGCGTGTCCTCCTGATGATGAAGATGTCGCCACGGGATCTAATGGCTGAAGAAACCCTCTCCTCCCCAGGAGGCAGTTCTTCTAGAAAACCAACTCTGGTCTCATTTCCAGTTTTACTTTATTAAAAGACTTTTGTCGTGCTGAACGTTGTTCTGGATGTTTTTTGAGCCGGTGGTCCACCTGTTACACGATAAACACGTGGAGCTTGGAAGCCAGTAAAAGTCAGACCTGCAGCATCTCGCAGTAACCCGAAGCTCTGACCGGAGCACGTGACTTCCTGTTTACGGCGTGTCTCTGCGGTAAATGTGTTTGTTGGGATCTGAATGTATCCATGATGGGTTTTTTTTCCCATGTTTTGTGCTTTAGTATAAAAATTGAATAATGACTGAGTGGATGGTTTTTAGATGCATCTGGTTCTGAGTGCTGCAGGTAAGTGTGGCTCTTACACACACACACACACACACACACACACACACACACACACACACACACACAAGCTGAATCCGTAAACGGGCCTGGTCAGCTGCTCTGAAGCTCAGATGTTGTAATGAAGCCATGTTTTCTATTCCGTGAACTCACCATCGCTGATTCACACCGTCATCAACTTCAACCCTAACCAGGTGAAGCAGAACATAGAAACCGATCTGGTACCAGTTGGTGGTGCTGGTTCGGGTGTGATGGATGGTTTATAATTCGAAACTGATGATGATGATGATGCTGTCACGATCCGGTACCGGGGCTGAAAGCTGCTTTTGGACCCTTTGATCGCGTAGGGGACCAGAAGGTGGGAGGAGATGTGGCCGCGTCACCGGGCTGTCTGCTGACATCAGGACGTGTCTCCGGGAGGGAGGGGTGGGACGTGGCCACGCTCTTCTCCGCCTCTCGTTCCTCTTGCTGGTACCCTTAATGGATCCCGAACCGTGCGGGAACTGACGGAGCCCACAGCGGGAACCTGGGAGAACCAAGCCGTTGCTGGACCTCTCCTGGCAGACATCAGCAGGTAAAGCTGCTCCTCCATCAGCATCCGGGGAGGAGGAGGTGGGTGGAGGCTCTAATGGTGCTTATACCAGCCGCTGTAAGGCTTCTAGACGGGAGGATGCTCTGTGTGTGTGTGTGTGTGTGTGTGTGTGTGTGTGTGTGTGTGTGTGTGTGTGCACCGAGCCCGTGCGCACGTCACTAACAGCCATGTTTTCTGATGAAGAGGGACCGATGCGCGTCTCCGGTCAGACCCGTTAGGGGTAAAGCTCGGGAACCGCAACAACCGGGCTGACGAGCGATGGCTGATCTGGAACCAGTCCAGCCTCCGTAGCGCATTACCGGACCGGTGTGAGGCTTCTAGACGGTTCCAGGCTTGTCTGCACTGTCTGATTAAAGGTGGGTCCGTGTTCCGATCCAACACTGATGAGCGTGCCGTCTGGGCTCAGGCTCGGTTCGGTCTCGTGGTTTGACTGGGTGGATGTGGTTCGCAGGACGCGTGATGAACCTGAACTCACCCTGATCATAAACCATCTAGTGCTGCAGAGACGACACCACGTGGTGCGTTCAGTGTCCTCCAGCATCAGTCGGTAAATGGGGATTTTCCTGCGCGTAGAGGTCGTGAAGACGTTGCCTTGGGGTCACGTGGTTACTAATGTCCATTCCCCTTAAGCTCAGCAGATGTTTCAGGGTTAGTGCTGAAATCCAAACTGATGCCTCTATCGGTCAGTAGTCCGCCCGGGGTGGCGGAGGTCCCTTGGTCCATAGGCTCTGGCTGAGTTGGTTGCTCTGCAATGGACATCAGGGGGGATCCATCAGGTCTGCTGTTTCCAGATGATGTGGTCCTGGTGGCTTCATCACATTGTGATCTCCAACTTTACTGGAGCGGTAAACTAGTACACCTTTTAGTACACTACAAGCACTAAGTACTTAGCATACTTGTTATCCTTAATGAAATGAACCTCAACATTTAGCTCAGGATGTTAACCAGGCATGTGGAAGACGGGTGGGCACTCCACTCCTTTGAGTCACTTTGAATTAAACAAACACCTGGCTCAGCAGGTAACACCAGGTGTATCAGGCAGATGTTAGGGCAGAGGTAGTAAGGGAGGCAGGAAGACCCAGACTGTTGGGTTCCCTCTGAACGGAGACGTTACAGCAGCAGAAGTGTCGGACCTCACCGAGTTTTCATGCAGAGTTTACACTAAGACGCGACGCTGTCGGGGGAAGCTCACTCTCTCCGTGTCAGAAACACGAGTCGTTTAAAACCAGTTTGCATTATTCAGTGTACTGAAACCGTCGCCTGCATCCATCTGGGACAGCGCGCGGTTCAGCTTCCACCAGTCCTCTCGTTTGGTGTCACGCTACAACAAACCATTCTTCCAGACTTTACGGAGCGGATGTTGCCACACGGATCTTTGGATTTGGTGTTTCTGATGAAGCAAAACACGTAAAAACACACTTTTGTTATCATGGCCTTTGTGCTTATCAGCAGCCCTGATTATTAGCATCACATGCTAACTCTGGTCTGTGAGGAACCACAGAGCCGGACTAGTGATGTGTTTGTGCTGATGTGCTCTGTTTTCTGTACAACACACCAGATCCTGCACAGTTTCATCTTTTTGTATTTGGTCTCCTTTAACCTGAGTTCTTGGCCTGTTGTCTGGTGGTGCGCTCACCCCCACAGTGGCTCTGGAACCCGTCCTCTCTGCAGGAGGTCAGGAGACAAATGGGCTTCTTGCTCGTCTTAGAGACTCTTTTCCTGTAGAGTGGGGGTTAGCTCTCCTGTATCTTCAGTATCTGACTGTTATTTGCCCCTATGTGTCAAACTGCAGCTATTTTTGGAAAACCCGCGCCAAGTGATGGACAATCCGAGGACTCTAGTCTCCATAGTCCAGGTGGGGGGATTCTGAAGTGGGCAATGACAGTGAGACCTGGATTACTATGGCGCGGTATGGGGGCCAAAATTAAGACAACTGCCCAGCAGCAGGAGGCTATATAAATTCTGAAGCAAACTACTGATCTGATTGATGATAAGCTGGCACCGGTAACTGAGAGGCTGGCGCTGCTTGCTGAGGAATAGCACCTTTACCGGCGTTATTACTAGATATGCTAGGGACTAGCAGCACTCGGCTGGTCATTGACTGGTTCAAACACTCCCTCTGCTGTCTATTAGCATGGATAGGCTAGCGTTAGCCTGGACGGGCTGGTGTTAGCATTGGAGAGGCTAGCCATTAGCATGCCTAGGCTGGCCACTAGCTGGATTTCCTACCCCCTTGACGGACCATTAGCATGGATAGGCTGGCGTTAGCATTGGAGAGGCTAGCCATTAGCGTGCCTAGGCTGGCCACTAGCTGTCAAGTACTCTCCAAGACATGCTAATGACTAGCCTCTCCAATGCTAACACCAGCCCGTCCAGGCTAACGCTAGACTATTCATGCTAATAGACAGCAGAGGGAGTGTTTGAACCAGTCAATGACCAGCCGAGGGCTGCTAGTCCCTAGCGTATCTAGTAATAACGCCGGTAAAGGTGCTATTCCTCAGCAAGCAGCACCAGCCTCTCAGTTACCGGCGCCAGCTTATCATCAATCAGATCAGTAGTTTGCTTCAGAATTTATATAGCCTCCTGCTGCTGGGCAGTAGTCTTAATTTTGCCCCCCATACTGTGCCATAGCTTAGGAGCTGCCTACGTGATCATCATCTCAACGTGATCAAACACAAAAGGTGTCTCTGAATGAGCTCAACTTTAAACGAGTAGAGCGAACAAAGAGAAGGCCGTCATAACAGATCCTCACAGCAGGGCGGAGATCAGCACCAGGTACACAGAACCCTGGCTGCGTGGCACCGGTGGCACCGCATCCTGTTGTTGAAAAGGGAAACAGTCAGATCTTGTTAACAGGGGCCATTTTGAGTTTGTAGCACACCTGGACATCAGGTGTTTTAATCACGGAATAGGTGATTCCAGAAAACATCTTCAGCTGACTTTCTGTTTATTTTCTTTATTCTCTTCATCTACGTATCGGGAAGGGGGGGAGGGGGGTCCAACACACACACACACACACACACACACACACACACACACACACACACACACACACAAACCCTGTTCATGTAAATGAAGGATGCGTATGTGAGTGGTGACAGCTAGACAGGAAGAGGCCAAACGTTTACTTCCTGGATTATCTGAGCTGATCTGAGGAGGATAGTTTCAGGATTTCTTTGTTTCTTCAGCAGCTCTCTGTTCCTGATGTGGAGGAGGTCTGGACTGCATTTGACCTGCAGGGTTTATTTTTGTCCTGAGCAGTCGGAGCTCCAGGGCTCAGCTTTGACTGGTTCTGTGTGGGAGAACCAGCACACTAGAAACCAGATGAGTTTTAGACACCTGAAAGATTGACGAGGGTTAGGGTTATCTCTCAGAGATCACGTTTGGAATTTCGGTTTCCTGAAATCTTTTATTGAGGCGACAGGGTCAGGGTTAGATTTAGGCACCAAGCACTCGTGTCAGGAAGGCTATAGGATGCAAAGGGAAGGAGACGTAGCTCCTGGTTGTGTCTCTGCTCCCTAACTGGAGTGTGAAGCCTCCAAATTCATATCACTCACTGCTTTTCATGTTGATGGGGTTCGTCCTGGGTACCTCCTTGTTTGGAGGAGAAATATCCGTGTTTACTTCATACTGGAGCATGGACAGCGGAGGTGGAGTTCAGAAACGGGAACCAGATGTTGTGTTCCACCAACACTTCACCCTTGGTAGAGTGATGGAGGGTTAGGGTTTAGCAGCTGCAGAAGAATCATGACCGTGTCCTTAGCAGGGCTTCCCTGTGGGGTGGGGGTGGGGTGCCCGACTCGCCAACACACAGGTTAACATACAACCTCACTCCAAAGCAAGAGGTTTGGAAGAGCCGTTGGTTTTAATTTTGTTGGAGTTTCAAGATCTTTTGTTTGCCATTGAAATGAGTTAATTTATATGTTATTTAATGAGCCATAAGACATAAGATTCCATAGGAAATATGTAATCAACCTTATGGATCTGTGGGTACTGTTTAACCAGAAGATTGGAACTTTTTATTGCAGGGATTAGATAACAGCTTCATATTCACTCAGAGACAACAGAAGAGAGAGTCAAGTTTAAAAGTTTAAAGATTTATTACTAAACAAATTAAACTAGACTAACTTTAACACTAAATGTATGGTGTAACTAAGGTGGATGAGACGGAGAATGGTGTGATGTGGAATGTTGCTCAGAACCAGCAAATCCGAAGAAACGATTAGTTCTGGTGGGAAATGAAGGTGATGTCTTCGCGTTAAGCTTTGGTTAGGAGATTCATAAACACATTCGACGCCATTCTGTCGGCCTACATACCCTTAGCGGAAGTCCCCGTTAGATCAGGAATGTCGAGGTCCAGCTGGACCCTCTCTGGAACCGAAGCCGGTAGAAGCAGCCGACCAGACCAGTCTTGAGATACTTCCGGGTCACGACAGTTTCGTTGGCATCTAACAAGACCCAAACCTGGGTCATGATGGTTCAGCTTTTATTCTGAAAGGAACCGTTGTAGCAGGTGGAACAGCAACAGATTTTATCCAGCTTGTCGTTGGTTCTTTCGGCTGAAGAGGAAAGTTACGGATTGGCCACTCCGACAACTTCTCTAGAACGCTTTGAGCTGGTGTTAAAGATGGCGTGGGCATAGTTTTATACTTCGGACGTTTTGGTTTATGGTCGAATGAAAAGATGACAGATTTACCAAACACCACCAAAACCACGCCTCCATAAGATCTGTCAAATTCTGATTGGATCAGTGAAAGCCACGTGTCATCTTTTAACGCTACGTGAGATCAGCCCTAGTGGAAACATTTAAAGTCATATTACTTATTATGTTCTATAGGATTATAATAAAGTAATTAATATTTTGATTTCACAGATTGGTCACATCTTATTATTGACTAACACCTTGTTTGATTCGCTTTATTAAAAATAGAGTTCTTTGATTTATTAAAAGGAGAAAGTCCATTCTTCATTCTTCTCTTTGAGCTGGAAAGAAGCAGTTTATAACAAATGCATGAGACCTTGAGGCCATATCTCATGCAGACTAGTTCTGTGTCAGAGGAGAGGGGGAAAATGACTTTTGGTGGAAAACAGTCATTTCATACCGTTACACCATAAATACGAGGCACTGCAGCAATGTGGCCAGACGCTGAAGCTCCAAGCTGCTCTGGAGCTTCAGCGTCTGGAGCGGTGCTGGCTGAGCTCCTGGTGCTGGTGGTCTCAGAAACAGGGTTCTCACCGTTCTTTTCTTTACTCTCACAGCACCGCGCGCCGATTGTGGCTGGTTGGCATGGTTTTGAAGGGTAGCTCAGAGGCGCTGTGTCCCCCCCCATCTCTGGAGCTGCGCCCATCCTGCAACAAGAGCCAGTCCTCGCCTCCTCTGGACTCCAGCTCCCAGCCACACGACGGAGTGTTTCCGGAGGAAAGGGAGCCTGTCAAGTACGGCGAGCTCATCATCCTGGGGTGAGAACTGCTAAGATCTGTGTCCTGTTGTCTCTGCGGCCTGTGGTCCAGCCTGTTACACGGTGAGAATCCGTTAAACACACAGGCCAGCACGACCGGCCTCTTAAACGAGAGGCATTCGTAACCCCGTTGGAAAATGTGTCATAAGACATGAGAAAAGTTTCATCAAAAGGTTTGATCAAATCATTTCCTAATCCATAACATTTATGGGTTGAAATCAAAATACATGAAAACGGAGCAAAAACGTTCAACCGTGTTCTCAAGAGTTTAACGGCCAATTGTCACGTTGCGAGTCAGGAGGATGTTTGGACCCAAAATGCAGACACCCAGAACGACATGAGGCAAGAGTGGATGTAAATGAAAACATTCCTTTATTAGGAAGTAGAACAAAAAAATTCCAAAGGGCAGGAAGCCAAAAAAACCAAAGTCCTGAAACCCAGGAGAACGAAAGCTCACATAGAGCACAAAACCTAGAGATGAGGAACAAAACAACGCTGACACCAAACAATGGACCGACAAGACATTGAGACACAGACAGGGTTTTATACACTGGGGAGGATGAGAGGGAGATGACCTGCAGGCATGTGGGGAGAGAGACCAGGTGAACTGAGTTACTAATCAGGGAGGAAAACTAACATGACCTAAGAATAAAACCCAAAGACAAGAAGAGCAGGAAACATAACTTAATAATCTAAGGGGGGAGAAAAACCTCAAACACCGATGGGAAACACACACGAGAGAGACTAATAACATGGGCAGCTGTAGCTAAAGGAAAATGACCTAAGAGAAAAACCTAAAGACCAGAAGGGCAGAAAACATAATATTCTAAGGGGGAAGCTGAAGCTAAAGGAAAAACACTACAGAAAGAAAAGCTACAGGGGCGTGACTAAAGGGGGCCACAGGAGCACAGGAACTGGGAGGGGGATATCTGAGGAGGGAAACCTAGAGGGCTGAAGATCTGGGGAAAAATGGAGAACACCAGGAGACACATGAGGGGAGACACAGAACAAGGACACATGAGGGCGCTAGGAGACACAAAAGGAGCACCTGGAGAGGGATGGAGAACACAAGGAGACACATGAGGGGAGACGCAGACGCAGACCATGACACCAATAGAAACACTTGTATGGATTTGGGTCCCAGAAAATGTTTGTCTAACTCTAAAACTATTCTGAGTGTGGTTGCTATGGTTACTCATTTTACACAAGTTCTTCTGCATCATACATCACATTTTCCGTATTTGATCAATCGTGAAATAACAATTTTATGTTTAATCTTCTGGTCAAGGTTGTCCTGCATTACATCTACCAAAGGGACACATTTATGAGAAGGTCACGACCTGGTGGGTCTGCACTGTTCTTGTGTAAAGAGCCTGGTGGGAAAGGGTTCTGTTTGGTGACTTTAACTGAAGACCAAGTTCACTCATTTTGTCAGCACATTTGCAGTGGTCTCTAATATAAGGGAATGCCTTGTGAGTTGATCTCTGAGGGGAAAAGCTCTGGCGCTCCTGTTTCAGGAGCTAGACGTGAGTCGGAACTCAGGTGAGCTGAAGACGGCAGGATTTGGAGTCTTAATTCATGATTTTGGACATCTCGCCTCTGACTGGCCAACAGCAACAGGACTCTACCACTCACTCTGTTTGCTTTGCAACGCTGATGTTTTATCTCCACAAATAACACGAGTCCAAAGGAGTTCTGCTGTGTGGTGGTGTTGCTAATGCTAATGTTAACGGTCTGACCTTGTGACTCATTGTGTGCCGATCCGGGCTTCACGTTCCCACAATGAAACCTAAAACCCGTGCTCTAGTCTGTCTGCTCCGTCCCGCTGGAGCGCTCTTCCTCTCTCAGTGAGGGTTAGCTCCCCCCACCCCCGTTTCAAGTCACTGCTTACGACCTGGCATTATGAAACCCTCGACTTTTTATTAATTATTATTATTATTTTGTGTTCTCATTGTTGACCGTGATTATCTCTTTGTTGCGTTTTACCTTTTATCTGTACAGCACTTTGGTCGGCGGTAGGGATGCAACGATACCACTTTATTCCAAACCGATACGATACCGATACTTGGATCTGAGTACTCGCCGATACGATTACCGATACAGATACTTCTACCACACAAGAAAATGCAATGAATTGGAATACAGGTTTTATTTTCTTCTGCTTTCAATAGGAAAAGACTGTGAGGTAGATAAAAAGTAATATAAGTGATCCCAAAACTAAAATATTAGGTGAACAGAATTGACAAGTTACAGTGAAGTCACTTTCAAGCAACTGCATTGGTATCAGTTACTAGTAAAAATAAATTTGGTTTGGCAGCCTTTCCTGTCACCAGCCGAGATGGGTGAGTCCAAGAAAGCTAAGTTGACATTATGATGTGCCGCTGGCTCTTCTAATCTCAGCCTTTTATTTTCTGTCGGTGGCAAAGGCAGCAAATAGGTGTATTTGATAGGTTTTCACATTCAGCCTGCATGGTAACTAACCCCCCCTCCTTCTGGCGTGTAATGTAATGGACGTATTTTACCTGTAAGCTCCCTTCCAACCAGGAGCGTTTCAGATCCACGTTTTCTACGTCAACAACACCCAACGACAAGACGCCTGTAAATGAAAAGTAAAACAAAGCTAATTTCATGAAGTAAAGAAGTGTAAATTCAGTTGTACGTCCGCTGGTTTTTGGTCATAATAATCCATGTTATAGTACAATAATCCACTGGGTTCTGTAATCCTTTGTCCCAACATCACACTGAGCCGATTCCTGACTGTTTTATGTTTTTTTTTTAAAAATCTGCTGGAGAGTGTTTACAAATTCTCCACATTAAAATACTTCCACGAGGTGTACTCAGCTGCTCGACAACAACAAAGAACGATGAGGTCGTCGTCGTCTTCCTCCGCTTATCCGGGTCCGGGTCGCGGGGGCAGCATCCCAACTAGGGAGCTCCAGACCGTTCTCTCCCCAGCCACCTCCACCAGCTCCTCCGGCAGGACCCCAATGCGTTCCCGGACCAGATTGGAGATGTAACCCCTCCAACGTGTCCTGGGTCGACCCGGGGGCCTCCTGCCGGCAGGACATGCCCGAAACACCTCCCCAGGGAGGCGTCCAGGAGGCATCCTGACCAGATGCCCAAACCACCTCAACTGGCTCCTTTCGATCTGGAGGAGCAGCGGTTCTACTCCGAGTCCCTCCCGAATGTCCGAGCTCCTCACCCTATCTCTAATGCTGAGCCCGGCCACCCTACGGAGGAAACTCATTTCGGCCGCTTGTATCCGCGATCTCGTTCTTTCGGTCATTACCCAAAGCTCATGACCATAGGTGAGGATTGGGACGTAGATCGACCGGTAAATCAAGAGCCTGGCTTTCTGGCTCAGCTCCCTCTTCACCACGACAGATCGGCTCAGCGTCCGCATCACTGCAGACGCCGAACCAATCCGCCTGTCGATCTCCCGATCCCTCCTGCCCTCACTCGTGAACAAGACCCCGAGATACTTAAACTCCTCCACTTGAGGTAGGACCTCTCCCCCGACCCGGAGTTGGCAAGCCACCCTTTTCCGGTCGAATCCACGAATGATGAGGCAAAACAAAAAAAAAAAAAAAAAAAAAACGGTGAACTGTGGAGAGCTTCTGGTTCCAGGTGCACATCTTCTGTTTCGGTCACAACCCTCTGCGATCAACGTCTCTCTTATTGGTGATACTGGAGATCCAGCATGCATCCAGCTCTAGCGTAGGACTATAATTTGGTTTCTGAGCCTGAAAATGAACAGCAGATACGTCACAAGATGATTTGGTAGTGGTAAAAGTATGAGAGAACCATTTTAATCTACACTTAAATGCAGATTATACGCAGCACTTATAGTCTGTCTGATGTATAAACAGTTTGTACGGCTCCAGCTCCAGCTTCACTGGCTGCCAGTCAACTTCAGGGTTCATTTCAGGATCCTGGTTCTGGTCTATAGGGCCTTACATGGACAAGCACCATCTTACATTGGTGATCTTCTTAGTCCCTACACCCCCAGCAGGTCCCTGAGGTCCAGTGATCAAAGCCTACTGGTTGTGCAGCACCAGGCTAAAGGTCAAAGGTGACAGATCATTTGCTGCTGTGGCCCCCAGACTCTGGACCTCTCTCCCCCTGAGCCTGAGATCAGTGGACTCAGTGGTCTCCTTTAAAAAGCAGCTGAAGACTCACCTGTTCAAGCTGCTTTTGTATGACCTTCTTCACCTCTCTCTCTTTATTCTGCTCTCCCCACCTATTCCACCTTCCTCAGGATCCACTGATTTCCCTCTTTCCTGTTCACTCTCTCTCTTTCTCAACATTCTTCTTCTTTAATTTTCATGGTTTTTTAAATATTTGTGATTCCTATCTTCTTCTTGGACTGGCAGCCACTGTTGAAATTGAAGCAACGCGCCCTCGTACTTCTGTCGTATCACATTTGGTGGCGGGCGGAATGCACACGTCCGCTCTAACGGTGGCTGGCTGTAACAAAGTACATTTCACGACTGTAGGGCTGGGAGTGACCAATGATATTTCAAAAAGAACAACAAAAAACGGTTTCACGCTGAACTTGGCCTTTACCCACTGGCGGTTACCATGGTAACTTTTGATTGGCCACTGTCAGCAGCTTTAACGTTTCTGTTAAGTTTTGACTTATTTGTGGGGGTTTTCCAGTTTTGATGGTAATGAGCTGCTGTTATGTTGAAGAATGAACCAAGAATAATTAAGGCTTGCTACTATTACACATGAACATATATAAACGTGTTCAACACGTGTGCGGTTTTTTTCTATGTGGCTGATAACAGCACCCCTCAGGAAAATCTGTTCCCACGGCACTGTGCCCTTGGTGCTCTTTACCTGTTAGATATGTTGGTGTTCATGTATCATTTGAGGTGAATGTACGTTTACTTACGTAGGCTGGAATGTTCTGCTCCACAGACATAATGGGTCGCTGGCCAGTGGGGACAAAGGTCGTAGAAGAAGTCGTCTGGCTCTTTACAAGAGACCTAAAGCTAACGGGGTCAGACCTGATGTCATTCACAACATCTCAACCCCACTCGTCTCAAAGGTCAGAGTTCATCTACACTTGCAGTGGAATAAACCACTATTAAGTAGGAAGATGGAAGTTGGAATTTTATTTAAGTAAAACACTCGCTAAGAGGTATTCGGTAGATGATTTACATACAACTTTTGGGTTTTGTCAAGCTGTGAGAAATGCAGGCGGTGAAGTTCTGTCTAGATAATCGTAACACTGATCTGAGGCTGCTCAGAGTACGTATGATGACCAGAGGACTGCTTCTTGGTTTGTATCAGCTTTGAATGGGCTGGGTGTGATCCTTAGCTCTGCCTCCATGTTCTAATGTGACCTCTGAGCCTTCTTTCTGACCAGACCTTTAGTTCTCACTGTGTCCTCACATCTCCACCACCTGCAGGCTCTCAGCAACAAAAGCCAGCACAGCATCTCCTACACACTGTCACGGAGCCACTCTGTCATTGTGGAGTACACACATGACATCAGCACAGATATGTTCCAGGTTTGTGTCCCTACACACACACGCACACACGCACGCACACACACACACACACACACACGCACGATGACATTGGTCTCTTCCTCTTGGTTTACCCAGATTGGCAGGTCCACTGAGAGTATGATTGACTTTGTGGTCACGGACACGGCGAGCAGCGGGAACAGCCCCGGTGGGGGTGCAGCAGGGGAAGGCGGAGGTGGAGGTCAGTCCGCCCAAAGCACCATCTCTCGCTACGCCTGTCGCATCATGTGTGAACGCAGTGCTCCCTACACAGCTCGCATCTACGCTGCCGGCTTTGACTCCTCCAAAAACATCTTCCTAGGGGTGAGTGGTCTGCTAACGGAGCAAGCAGGAAGCATGAAGGACTGGAGCATTTGTATTTATGCCTGCACCCTGAGGCAGTGGTGGACATATGAGGAAAACACTGACTAGTAACTGTTAGAATAGTAGAGGAACTATTGCTGCTTATTCTGTTATCTACATTGGATTAAAGGCCATGGTTTGCTTAACTCATTTATATATATTTCACAATGGTATTAATATATTGTAACTGGTTGTGGCGGTAACAGATCATGTAGGGAAACCTAATAGAAGCAGGAAAATGGAAGGAGGGAACCAGAAGATCTCAGCACCATTTGAACCCTGCTTTGTTTTCCTCCTTGTTACAGTTCGTATGTGTGAACGTGTATATGTAGGTGTAGGTGTACGTGTATGTATAGTTGTAGGTGTATGTGTAGTTGTATATGTATATGTAGGTGTATGTGTATACTGTAAATCCTCTAATACAGGCCTGTATTCAATTAACGGCCGGGTCTCATATTTTGGCCGATGTCGGAGTCAGCGGAGGTGAATAATGGCCGGTTTCTTATTGTGGCCGGGTGGAATGTGGTAACAAGCAAGTACGGGGGCGGTTGTGTCATCGTCTCACTTTTGATTTGCGAGTGATAGACCGCGAGGGTAACTTTAACCGTGCGGAGACGAAGAGGAGGCGAAAATTTGATATCAAGTTCAAAGAGAACGTGCGCTGCAGAACACTGGGGAGCAATAGGGGTTGTATGAACTAGTCGACTTCACTATAGTGACTTTTTATGCCTGTCATCGACTAGTCGCTGTCACGTGATAATGACCGGCAAGATGCAGCCCTCGGAAAAGACAGCAGCCTGCTGTCAGCAGGTGACAAGCTCCTGCGCTCGGGGGGGCAACGCGCTGTGCCAGAGCGTCGGTACTGATACGCGATCGTTCATGTCGGCTCATTTCTTTTAATGTTTTCTGTCTTTTATTTGCGCCTGATGTGTTTCGCTGCTGTGGAGCGGGCGCATCACCTTGTCATCCGGTGACGCACCGATCACTGATGCGGCCGCCAAGCAGGGAGCACTCCGCTGTTTTTGCGGTTGGTAGATCTGCGTCCTGAGCACGGCCACAGTAACATTATCAAATCAGGTGTCGCCACCTCAAAAACTAATTTAACACGCGATCGTTCATGTCGGTTCATTTCCGTTTATGTTTTCTGTCTTTTATTTGCGCCTGATGCGTTTCGCTGTGGAGCGGGGCGCATCACCTTGTCATCCGGTGACGCACCGATCACTGATGCGGCCGGCAAGCAGCGAGCACTCCGCTGTTTTTGCGGTCGGTAGATCTTTTAGAACTGCAGTTCAAAGGTAACTCATGAGGTGAACATAAATGAACCCAGGTAGCAGTTTTTCTTTAGGATTGAGAGGAGATGCAGGAAGATAATAAACAGGCAGGACAGAAAAATAGTCAAATAAAAACAAGTTAGTTTTTGTACCTGGTGGTTGCAACAAACAGACACCATTGAAGGTAATCAGAAGTGAGGAACAGAAAATGAAATAATTATTTTAATGTTTAGAGCAGCAGGAACTCTGAGAGGCTGCAGGCGCATCCGTGAGTTTGCGGCCGCTGCGCAGGGGGAGGGGGGAGAGGGCTGAAGCAGAAACTACCGTTGTTAAAAGAAATGTGTTTAACTTTGAAAATGTGGGCTCAATATTAATTGTCAAAAACTCCAGCGAACCATTAGTTCATTTTGCTCAAATAGAAATAGAGGCCTGCCTCTAATACTGGCCCTCCTTCCAATAAAGGCCTGGAGCTTGATGAGCTTGAGTCAAATACAGGCCCAGGCCTGTATTAGAGGATTTACGGTAGGTGTATGTGTATATGTAGGTGTATGTGTAGTTGTAGGTGTATGTGTATATGTAGGTGTATGTTTATATGTAGGTGTATGTGTATATGTAGGTGTATGTGTAGGTTTAGGTGTAGGTGTATGTTTATATGTAGGTGTATGTGTATATGTAGGTGTATGTGTATGTTTATATGTAGGTGTATGTGTATATGTAGGTGTATGTGTAGGTGTATGTTTATATGTAGGTGTATGTGTATATGTAGGTGTATGTGTAGGTGTATGTTTATATGTAGGTGTATGTGTATATGTAGGTGTATGTGTAGGTGTATGTTTATATGTAGGTGTATGTGTATATGTAGGTGTATGTGTAGTTGTAGGTGTAGGTGTATGTGTAGGTGTATGTTTATATGTAGGTGTATGTGTATATGTAGGTGTATGTTTATATGCAGGTGTATGTTTATATGTAGGTGTATGTGTATATGTAGGTGTATGTGTATATGTAGGTGTATGTGTAGGTGTATGTTTATATGTAGGTGTATGTGTATATGTAGGTGTATGTGTAGGTGTATGTTTATATGTAGGTGTATGTGTATATGTAGGTGTATGTGTAGGTGTATGTTTATATGTAGGTGTATGTGTATATGTAGGTGTATATGTAGGTGTATGTGTAGGTGTATGTTTATATGTAGGTGTATGTGTATATGTAGGTGTATGTTTATATGTAGGTGTATGTGTATATGTAGGTGTATGTGTAGTTGTAGGTGTAGGTGTATGTGTAGGTGTATGTTTATATGTAGGTGTATGTGTATATGTAGGTGTATGTGTATGTTTATATGTAGGTGTATGTGTATATGTAGGTGTATGTGTAGGTGTATGTTTATATGTAGGTGTATGTGTATATGTAGGTGTATGTGTAGGTGTATGTTTATATGTAGGTGTATGTTTATATGTAGGTGTATGTGTAGGTGTATGTTTATATGTAGGTGTATGTGTATATGTAGGTGTATGTGTAGTTGTAGGTGTAGGTGTATGTGTAGGTGTATGTTTATATGTAGGTGTATGTGTATATGTAGGTGTATGTTTATATGCAGGTGTATGTTTATATGTAGGTGTATGTGTATATGTAGGTGTATGTGTATATGTAGGTGTAGGTGTATGTGTAGGTATGTTTATATGTAGGTGTATGTGTATATGTAGGTGTATGTTTATATGTAGGTGTATGTGTATATGTAGGTGTATGTGTAGGTGTATGTTTATATGTAGGTGTATGGTTATATGTAGGTGTATGTTTATATGTAGGTGTATGTTTATATGTATGTGTATGTGTATGTGTATATGTAGGTGTATGTGTATATGTAGGTGTATGTTTATATGTAGGTGTATGTTTATATGTAGGTGTATGTGTATATGTAGGTGTATGTTTATATGTAGGTGTATGTGTAGGTGTATGTGTATATGTAGGTGTATGTGTATATGTAGGTGTATGTTTATATGTAGGTGTATGTGTAGGTGTATGTGTAGGTGTATGTTTATATGTAGGTGTATGTGTATATGTAGGTGTATGTTTATATGTAGGTGTATGTGTATGTTTATATGTAGGTGTATGTGTATATGTAGGTGTATGTGTATATGTAGGTGTATGTTTATATGTAGGTGTATGTGTAGGTGTATGTTTATATGTAGGTGTATGTGTAGGTGTATGTTTATATGTAGGTGTATGTGTATATGTAGGTGTATGTTTATATGTAGGTGTATGTGTCTATGTAGGTGTATGTGTAGTTGTAGGTGTATGTGTATATGTAGGTGTATGTTTATATGTAGGTGTATGTGTATATGTAGGTGTATGTTTATATGTAGGTGTATGTGTATATGTAGGTGTATGTGTATATGTAGGTGTATGTGTAGTTGTAGGTGTAGGTGTATATGTAGGTGTATTGAATTGCCGGGAGGCGAAGCGCTCACGAAATTCGGCCGCTGCTCCTCAGTTCAGACCAGATGCTTGTTTCTCCGCTTGAGGCGCGCCTCTTAGTTTTTTTTTTAACCACTTGGTGTCCTCCATTTCCTCTCTGATCTTTTCCTCGACACCCCCTCCCCCTTGCTGTTTGTGTGAGTGTTTGTACGCGTGTGTGTGTGAGTGAACCTATGGTGTGAACCAGTTGTTAATAGCTGGCCTACGACTTTCTGCCTCTCTGTCCTGTTTGCTCCGGTTGAAAGACACCCAAAACCACTCCCCCTTCACGTGGCCACACACACACACACACACACACACACACACACACACACACACACACACACACACACACACACACACACACACACACACACACACACACACACACACACACACACACACACAATTTTGCTGTGTGTGTGTGTGTTCGTGTGGTTTTTATGCAGTTTCTGTTTACGAACACATTTGACTATCGCGGAATTGTATTTTGAAATGCTTTATTTTGTTAAATTTACTGGCCTGCATCTTATGTCTAGGTTTGACTTCCTGCCAGAATTGACGCGGTTCACCCGCGGCTCGCGAAAAAAATAGAGCAGACGCCAAAACGATCGCTGCACGGCGCCGGCGCACGGCGCGGGCGCTTTGGTGGCCCATGTGGTCTATAGAATAGGATAACAAGGGCGCCAAATGAAGGCGGTCCCCGTTTCACGGCGCTTCGGCAGCTGGTGTGTCCCCGGCGTTAGGGAGATAAATACACAGCGAGGAGATGGGTTTTGCTTTCGGTTCTACTAAACGGACACTAGGAGGTGCTAAAAACAAGCCAAAACGGCCTAGTCTCCCTTTAAAAAGCTCAGTGGTGTGAACAGCTCTCACATTCAGGGGAGGGCTGTTCCAGAGCTGGAGACACAAGAACCCAGCCTGGTTCCAGGAAGGGACACTGGTTGCCTTCCCCAAAGCTGTTTTTTGTGTTTTTTCTTCATCTTTGTTTGACCCCTGACCCCTGTTTGACACCATGGGAGATCCTACCAGGGCTCTAACAAAGCTCCTGGGAACATGGAGATGCTCAGACACTCTACAAGTTCTGCCGAGGTGATGGGAATAATAACTCAATATTAAAAGTCATGGTGTCCTCTGTGAATAATGTGAATAAATCTCAGTGTGTCTGTAAAAAATAATTGCATAAAAAATAAATATAAATATAAAAAATCCTTGAATAATAAGAAGAAAATGCTTGAAGCTAAAAGTTTGTCCAAGTTGAATGATGTTTTTTCTTTCTGCTGGGTGGACATAAGTTTGTTTAGATGTGAGCGACTCTGTGGGCTGTGGTCACTGAACTAAATCTAGCAAATCAGAAGTAAAGCTTGCATTTTTCCTGACACCCTTTCCCCTCTTTGTGTTTCTCAATCATAACTGTGTGTGTGTGTGCGTGTGTGTGCGTGTCAGGAACGAGCTGCTAAATGGAGGACCTCAGATGGTTTGATGGACGGTCTCACCACCAACGGGGTCCTAGTGATGCACCCGGCAGGAGAGTTTGTCTCAGAACCAGCTCCTGGTGTCTGGAGAGAAATCTCAGTGTGTGGCAACGTTTTTGCCCTGAGGGACACCCGCTCGGCCCAGCAGAGGGGGAAACTGGTGAGATGTTCACTTCCTCTGATGATGCTAAAGAGATTCGTCTCGTCTCACAAATTATCCACAAGCAGATAAACATTCAGTTCAGTTCATACGGTTCCGCCGTCTGGATTTGTGATCAACAGATTAAAAAACTAAACTGGTCTCTCTTAACGAGGGTTGCCGAGATCAGGTTCTGCTCAGCTCTCTACCAGGTCCGACTACAGCATTTCATTCAGGGTTCTGGACTTAAGACTGGACCACAGCAGCACCCGTTCTGTTACAGACCTGCTGTGTTTGGACCACGGTTCTGCTTACCTTCAGCCTTCAGATGGTTTCACATTAGACTCTAGAGCATGTTGGTATCCAGAGAACTTCATGGTGGACTTAGTTGCAGAGCCGGCCCAAACCCTCAGTCCTCCACCGCCGTGCTGATTGCTAGGATCAGCTATCAATGCAGAGGTTTCACTACAAACATGCAGCAGTGCATTGTGGGTAAACAGTTTTCACTTTGGTCTTTAATGTGAAGGCATCGTACTACCTCTCACAAACAAACATCTAATTGTACTCGTGTCTCTGAGGAAACAATGTCTTTTTAAAGACTTTTTCTCCTTTTCTTCCACTTCTCTATAAAGGTTGAAAATGAGTCAAACACCCTCCAGGATGGTTCCTTGATTGACCTTTGTGGGGCAACTCTTCTTTGGAGGACGCCTGCAGGACTGCGCCACATCCCCACCCTCAAACAGCTGGAGTCCCTCAGGCAGGAGCTGAACGCCGCCCGGCCCCAGTGCCCTGTGGGCTTCAACACTCTGGCCTTCCCCAGCCTGGCACAGCGAGAGATTGTTGATAAAAAGCAACCCTGGGTCTATGTTAACTGCGGCCATGTGCACGGCTACCACAACTGGGGCTACCGCAAGGAGAAAGGGCCCACCAGCCCAGGGGTGATGGCCCCAGCTGGCACTGGAGAGAGAGAGTGTCCCATGTGCAGGAGAGTGGGTCCCTATGTGCCTTTGTGGTTGGGCTGTGAGGGCGGATTGTACCTGGATGCTGGGCCACCCACTCACGCTTTTTGTCCCTGCGGGCATGTATGCTCAGAAAAGACTGTGGTGGGGTGGAGCCAGATCCCGTTACCCCACGGCACACATGCCTTCCACGCCGCCTGCCCGTTCTGTGGGACCTGGCTGACCGGAGAGCAGGGCCACGTCAAACTGATCTTCCAGGGTCCGGTTGACTGAGACACGATGATTGATGTTGCTGGCTTGAACTTTAAAGATGTGAAGACTGTGGAACTGAAACGTGAATGCTCTGATGACAAACACAGGAGAATGTCTCTGGACACGATAAACTAACAGCAATAGCAGATGCCAAGGCTTTGTGTGGAAGAGCTGTCTGGAGAAACTTAAATAAATAGTGTTGAAACATGTCTTAAGTTAGAGTTCATGCCTGAAGCGGACCGAGAGGCTCAGGAAACATCTAAATCCTGCTGATGAGACTAACCCCGGGTTTCCACCGGAGCCGTCAGCAGCACGTTACTGCAGCAGCACGTCTTGCTCGCGTAAGCTGCTGCTTGGCCCTTCCCACGAGACGCGAAGCAGCAGGGGAGCAGCTGTCACCGACCGAGCACGAAGTCACACGAGTGACTTCGTCAGTAAACACAACAACAAGCAGGAGAAAACTACAAGGTTTGTGTTTTATGTTCTGTCCGTTTTATAATCGCCAACACGGACCTGAAAAACAAAGGAGACCGCTAGCTAGGTGATAACTTCTTACGGGGCCGCACAGTTAGTAACCTTTTTTTAAAGTAAAGCAACCGGAAGGCAGTACGTTCTTTATTCTGAAAATCTCGGGAGCTTCTCTCCGTTTCCGCGTCCGATTTCCTATCTTTCCTTTCCCCAAAATGTCGAACTTGACCCGTTTCAGAGGCGTCGCGCGTAGAAAATAGAACCGGCGCGTAAAGGCCGCGACATGCTGCTCCTGAGACGCGGCCGACTCGCGCTGCTGACGGCTCCGGTGGAAAAGGTTCTGTTGACCACAGCGGTTCCTATCAGCAGCTATGACGTGCTGCTGCAGTAACGTGCTGCTGACGGCTCCTGTGGAAAGCCGGGGTTACAGGTCCGATTGCAACAAAGCCTGGTCACCATCAGTCTGTGATTTTTGTAGACTTCTTTGGTTTCACTCCAAATTTTAGCTCTTTGCTTCGCATCCAAAGACTCGCTTTTACCTCGAGGCCAACAGAAAAAGCAAACTTCTTGTGCTTTTTACTGATGATCGGCTAACCGCTAGCATTACAGCCGACAGCCTTTAAGCAGGTAGAGTGCCCCCTAGGACACCTATCCACTCCACTAATCTATCCAGTATGGTTTTTAGTCCGCAGAGGGCTGCAGAGTGGTGTCAAACATGAAACTCATCAAGTTTCTTACACAACAAACACTGAGATCAATGTTGAAGCTAAAAAATTAGCTGTTGTCACTTTAAACCAATGAAATGTCAAAAACTGTCCTGAGAGTTGTGTCGATGGCTTGGACTTTGTCCTTAACACCCAACTGGCCATACAGGACCTGATGTGCTGTTTAAAGGTATTTTGTTGTGGCGTTACCATGGTGATCCTCATGAACCACGGCCAGTAGCTCCAACATTTTAATGGTAAAAACTACTGATTTTTACACAAGTCTCATTCAGGCACCAGCATCCTGCCTGAGGCCAATCTAGCATAATGAGAGAAGCTGGGATTGAACCACCAACCTTCCAACTGGGCTCTTTAGCCACAGCTGCTCCATTTCTTTTGATCTTGGTTCTCCTTGGATGAATGGCTCTAACAGGCTTTGTGAATATTCTAAAGTGGTCCTGAAGTTACCTCACTGAGACACCAATGCAGGTGTTCCAGCACACCCGGTCTCGTTCTTGGTCCAACGTGAGGATGATCTCACAGAAACGGTCTCATCTTCATGTTAGCAGCAGTCATCAGTGTGGCGTTAAAGCTCTGTGGGGAGAAAGTCCCTCAGAAGCCAAACTCGAGGTTTATTCGTTTGTTAGTGATGAAATGACCCCACAGGTGTAATGTAATGATTTAATTTACGTGTTATTTAATAAGCCATAAGACGTAGGATTTCATAGCAAATATGAAATCCACCTTGTGGATCTGTGAGGTTATTTTAAACCAGAAGATTGGAACTTTTTATTGCAGGGATTAGATAGCAGCTTCGTATTCACTCAGAGACAACAGAAGAGAGAGTTAAGTTTAAAAGTGTAAAGATTCATTACTAAACAAATTAAAACTAAACTAACTTTAACTCTAAATGTATGGTGTAACTAAGGTGGATGATACGGAGAATGGTGTGATGTGGAATGTTGGTCAGAACCAGCAAATCCAAAGAAGCGATTAGTTCTGATGGGCATTGAAGGTGATGTCTTCGCGTCAAGCTTTGGTTAGGAGATTCATAAACACATTCGACGCCATTTTGTCAGCCTACATACCCTTTTGGAAGTCTCCGTTAGATCAGGAATGTCGAGGTCCAGCTGGACACTCTCTGGAACCGAAGCCGATAGGAAAAGCAGCGGTTGCCAACCAGATCAGTCTGTGAGATACTTCCGGGTCACGACAGTTTTGTTGGCATCTAGCGAGACCCAAACCTGGGTCGTGATGGTTCAGCTTTTATTCTGAAAGGAACCGTTGCAGCAGGTGGAACAGCAACAGATTTTATCCAGCTTGTCGTTGGTTCTTTTGGCTGAAGAGGAAAGTTACGGATTGGCCACTCCGACAACTTCTCTAGAACGCTTTGAACTGGCGTTAAAGATGGCGTGGGCATAGTTTTATACTTCTGATGTTTTGGTTTATGGTCGAATGAAAAGATGACAGATTTACCAAACACCACCAAAACCACGCCTCCGTCAGATCTGGCAGATTCTGATTGGATCAGTAAAAGCATTGTGTCGTCTCTTGATGCTACGTGAGATCAGTCCTAGTGGAAACAATTCAAATTATATTACTTATTATATTCTATAGGATTATAATAACATAATTAATATTTTGATTTCACAGATCGGTCACATCTTATTATTGACTAACACTTTGCGTGATTAGCTTATTAAAATAGTTATGTGATTAATTAAAAGAAAAGAGTTCATTCTTCATTCTTCTCTTTGAGCTGGAATGAAGCAGTTTATAACAAATGCATGAGACCTTGAGGCCATATCTCATGCAGACTAGTCCTGAGTCAGAGGAGAGGGGGAAACAGTCATTTCATTCCGTTACAGTTATTAACTCTTAATGTCCTGGTGTGGGTTTCATACCAGAGGAGAAAGGAAAACACTTCAGAGCTGATTTCATGTTGGTGAAAATTTTCTAATCCTTTTATTATATATATATTTATAATATGTACAGAAAAACACAAGATCAAACGCTGCAGAAAGAAAGAGCAGAAGCAGCTTCAGCCTGGCGCTCTTCCAACAAACAGCGTCTGACCAGGACCTCGGCTCATGAAAGCAACAAGCTGTGCAAATAAAAAACTAATGCAGATCACACGAACAGAAGCTTGACCACCCCCCTCCCCATCAGTGTCCCCTTGGACGCGTCGGGAGCCGTCCTAGAGAGACCTGCTGGAAAATACAGTAAAATAAATTAAAAGGAAGCGTTGACCAAAGCTCAGGACATCTGTGTGTGTGTGTGTTTATATTCAGCGTGATGGCAGGCATGTAGCTACGTCTGGAAACCCTCACACACTTCTGCTGCCTCCTAAAAGCAGGATCTTGTGACAGACCCAGGGCTAGCGTAGGCGGGATCGGACGGCTGGGAGTTCATATCCGGTCAAACCAGGACCAGTCAGTCCCAGAACTTCCACGCGACACCACTACACGAGGCATAACCCCAGTTCCAGCAGTGTGTGTGTGTGTGTGTGAGAGAGAGAGAGCAGCTTTTTACAGCAATGGCAGCAAGTTTTCGGTTGTATACAGGACTTCCTGTACTGGTCCTGGTCTTCACTGGTCCTGACTAGAACAGCAAAACGTGTCACACCAGCCTGACTGACTGACCTACTGGCACCACATCTGCTTCACCTTCTATTTATGGATCATCTGAAATGGGTTCACTTCATAACCACTGCCAGCCTCCATGGGGAAGGGGAGTCTGTTCACCCGTTTTTAGACGAGTGAAGCTAGAGGACGGTCGCTGGTCCAACAGAAAACCACCGATAAAGGCAGCTACATGAGCAGATGGTGGACTAGCTTATATCTGCTACTCCAGGTCACTGGACGAGGACTACTCAGCTGTTAGCTGCTAACCTGTTTCAACAACAACATTAAAGTCTCAGAACCACTCAGGTGTGAAACTCCATCTGATCCACCACTACCTCAGCGACACCTTGGTCTAGCGAGACCAAAACAACTTCCTGGACTCAGCAGGAGCCTGAGGGAGCCCGGTGTTAGGTCTCGGTCCAGAACCAAACCTTCACTTAAGTCCACTCGAGTTACGACTGTGAGCAGCGGCACTAGATGCTGCATCTCATCATATCTGCTTTGATTCACAGAAATAAAAGTCAACAGATCTAAAAAAAATAAACAAGAAAGATTACAGCTTCCTAAAAGAGCCAATCAGAGAACAGCTCACCAAGCTAGAAGAAACCTCACCAGCTCACCAGGAGAACCCCAGTACCTCACTGGCTTACATCCACAGCTCACACAAACTGATCTCAGATCAGAGGCAAGCTAAAGGAGTGGGCGGAGCCTCACGAGGGAAGTCTTGTTCACAGAGCAGCTGCAGCAGGCGACTAGACGTCAGTGCAGGACTGTGTGTGTGTGTGTGGTGGGATGAGGAGGACGGGTGGACACAGACCAGGACCAGGTCTGACTGGACTCGAGTCAGTGGGTAGAATCTGGACAAAAACCACAACCCGTAACAACCTTCTTGTCCTCCGTCCTCAGACCCTCGTCCTAACTCACCTCTGGTGATAAATTAACCCTTAAAAGTTGAAACACGTTTCTACGCCTGGACACTTCAAGGTGTGTGTGTGTGTGTGTGTTTAGGGGGGTGGGGTAACACGATGGAGAACTAGCATAATGACGATACAACAGATGATGTGTGATCGGGTAGAGAGAGGTGTGTGTGTGTGCGTGTGTGTGTGTGTTTAGGGGGGTGGGGTAACACGATGGAGAACTAGCATAATGACGATACAACAGATGGATGTGTGATCGGGTAGAGAGAGGTGTGTGTGTGTGTGTGTGTGCGTGTGTGTGTGGTGGCACGGCTGAGCGTCCTCTAACAGCAACCCCCCCCAGACACGGGGGTGCTATCGATCTTTAGGTTGGGCTTGTCCCCGCCGACTGTGGCCCCCGGTCCCATGCGCTTCTTGATCTCTGCCGCCATGGTGATGAAGGCCTGCTCTACGTTGGTGGCGTTCTTGGCGCTGGTCTCCAAAAAGGGGACGGACAAAGAGTCAGCAAACTCCTGCCGAGGGGGGGGGGGGAGGAGGAGAGAGACAGGCTGTAAGCAGACTCGTCACCCAGAGCTGCTCCTGGTTAATTCACGAGCTAACATCTGACATCTTAGGTGTGTTCTTGCTGTGTCGTATCACTAATTCCATGCTGTAGTTCTTTTTTAAAACACAGAGCAGTTTACCTGTGATCCCGCTACGTTTCGTTTGCGGCGGCAACATCTGACATGTTGTGGGTAAATATCAGGTCAGATCCAGAACCACAGCTCTGGTCTCAACCGAGTCTTCACACCGGAACCGGTTTCAGAGACACGCAGCGATCCCCAAGTGTTGCTCTACACACACACACACGCGTGTGTTTTAGGAGTGTGAGTAGCGCATCACACGTCACATGATGCAGCTACGACCCTCCTTTGTCCTTGAGATTCACTCTTTCACAACAAGCGGTAAGAGTTTTCTCTTTTGGGGTTTTGTACTTTCTCGTTTACAACACTGCCACCTAGGGATGTGAATCTCAGAGCAACTCACGATTTGATTCCGTTCCGATTCTCGGGGTGCCGAATCGATTCAAGAATCGATTCTCGATTTAAATCGATTCATAATCAGTGTTAACAGAGAGTGTCCGCTCCAGGATGAACTACTTTGTTGTACAAGTTAGTTAAAGCTATGGGACGTTTTTATTGGACTTTAAACTGGTCATGCTCCAAAAATGCTAATTTACAAGGTAAACTAAAGTGATTCTAAAACTGTAAACAGAAACAATCTTTTGACCAAAAGGCAACATTTATTTTTGCTTACCTTGTAAAATATAACTAATCTGTAGTTACCTAACAGTAGCTTTGAAAGTAATATGGTCAAATACTTTTCAAGTATGTGTAGAAACAAGTTACATGAGTAATCCTGAGTACTCACTTATCAACTTGGAAAATAAATATGAGAATATCTCAAATTTCTGAGTATGGAAACAATTACATTCAAGTGCCCTCTTATCAGCAGATTCAAACATAAATCATCTCAGTTTATGGGAGCACAAAAGTAATCGGAGTACTGACTCTCCTAACAAAGATCACAAAAGTGCATCTCAAACCTGTAACGTGCCAATTATTTCAGTTCTTGGAATCGATTCTGAACCTTTATTAATAAGAATTCCGATTCAGACATGAATCCATTTTTTTCAGCACCTCTACTCAGGGTATCTGCAGGTTTAAGGGAGCCAAATTTAAGACTTTTTAAGACCTTTTTTAAGGCCACTTTGACCAAATTTAAGCTTTTTCAGCAGGGCAGCAGTAGCTCAACAGGTTGAGCGGGTTGTCCAGTAATCGGAAGGTTGCAGGTTCGATCCCGGCTCCGGACAGAGAATTCTGCTGTTGTGTCCTTGGGCAAGACACTTAACCCACCTTGCCTGCTGGTGGTGGTCAGAGGGACCGGTCGCGCCTGTGCTCGGCAGCCTCGCCTCTGTCAGTGTACCCCAGGGCAGCTGTGGCTACATCGTAGCTCATCATCACCATCAGTGTGTGAATGGATGAATGACACACTGTAGTGTAAAGCGCTTTGGAGTCCTTACTCTGACAGGCGCTATACAAGTGCGGGTCATTTATCATTTAAAAAAAATTTAATTTAAGCTATAATTTCCAGCTATTGCCTGGAGCCGGTGCCAACCACGCTGCGAACGTGGGATTAGCCATCCAGTTACCATTAAACTTGCACTTCTCCATGGCGCAAGCTCCCACTAGCTTAACCAGCTAATGTGCTCATCTAAAAATAGTCCCCTTTCACAACCAACTGAATGTGTACGGTTCCGCTTACGCCAACATCGTACACAAAAAATGCTGAACACTAACTAGAAATTCACGAAAATTTTATAGAAATAAAAGAATCTAGTTTATTGGGTCTTTGGTAATTTAAGACCTTTGGAAACTGTATTTAAGGATTATTTGTCATTTTTAAGGATTTTCAAGGCCTTAAATTTGGAAAAGTAAATTTAAGACTTTTTAAGACTTTTTAAGGACCCGCGGATACCTTGTACCATTAAACTTGCACTTCCCCATGGCGCAAGCTCCCACTAGCTTAACCAGCTAATGTGCTCATCTAAAAATAGTCCCCTTTCACAACCAACTGAAGGTGTACGGTTCCGCTTACGCCAACATCGTACACAAAAATGCTGAACACCAACTAGAAATTCACGAAAATTTTATAGAAATAAAATAATCTTGTTTATTGGGTCTTTGGTAATTTAAGACCTTTGGAAACAGTATTTAAGGATTATTTGTCATTTTTAAGGATTTTTAAGGCCTTAAATTTGGAAAAGCTAATTTAAGACGTTTTAAGGACCCGCGGATACCCTGTCTACTGCCAACAGTCCCTAAGGCCCTGAGCTGAGCACAGGGACGCTGCTTTCACTGTCCTGCATGCTAACCTGGGCAGCTACAACCTTTAACAGAGGCGAGGAGGAAGTGCTGGTCCATCTTATTGTGCTGTCACTGACATGGAGATGGGACGGAAACGGACATCTATGCTCAAACCGCTGGACCGGGACAGGAAGTTACTCAGCAGGAAGAATCCTCCAGGTATGAATGATTGTCTGCTCCTTCTACAGACGGCCCACTGGTGGAGACTCTAAAGCAATGATGGTACCTTAGCTGTTGTGTAGTCCACCACCTTCTTGGTCGTTAGGTCAACCTTGTTTCCCACCAGCAGCTTGTTAACGTTTTCACTGGCATACCGATCGATCTCCTGAAGCCACTGCTTCACATTATTATAGGACTCCTAGAGGATGAAGACATGAAGGTTCTGACCAACCACAACAGCACGGCCCTGCTTTCTACAGACTGGCTCAAACAGGACCACTCACCTGATCCGTCACGTCGTACACAACTATGATGCCATGGGCTCCGCGGTAGTAGCTGGAGGTGATGGTACGGAACCGTTCCTGACCCGCCGTGTCCCACTGCAAGGCACCGGCCCGGCAAATTACACAACATGGAAAGGGTTCAGAAATGCTAATGATGTCATCACACAAGTGGGATTCACTGAGTAACAACAAGAATCTCGTTAGATCAGCCACAACATTATGACCACCGTTTCAAAGAAGAGCAGTGGGCTGAACACCTGCCCTGCTGCATCATGGGACACCGAGCACATAAAGGCTAACAGATCATTTCTTAAGGAAAGGATGGAAGAACTTTTCTTTCTAGACGTGGGGAATCATTTAGGAGATCTAATATTTAAATAATTTAGGATGAATACATTTACGACATGTTGGGACTTTTTCGGGCTCTTCTGCTGAACTCAACTAGCAAAGAGATCTAAACGGACCATGTCAGGAGCAAAAGGATTTAGCTTTGCAGGTCCATATTCACTGTTTTGAGTTCTGTGTCCTTGTGCTGGTGGCGTGGCTTCAACACCTGAAGTGAGAAGAACTGAGTGTAACTGCAGCAAAAAGCAAGAAGTGACTCAGTTCTCCACCTAAACCAGCTATAAGTAGCGTAGGCGTGCACAAATGTCCACTTATATGTAGTCCCCAAACCTTCAGTGACACGTTGGGAGCTCAGTGTAAAGCTTGGTTTATGCTTGACGCGTTTACTTTCCGCTTGGTGATGCGGCTCGCGGATGGAACGCGCTTCACAACTTGCAGCGTTTATGGTTCATGCGGCTTGTCTCTGCGGTGAGCCAATATTCTCCCAAACTGTAGGGGGCAGCATGGAGCTCTACGGCAAGCATCCAACACTACACCATAGTAGAAGTAAAAATTACTGTTTACAACATGGCATTCCAGCATTTTTAACAGCGTTCTCGTCTTTTCCGACAGTGCGAGTTATTTCTCTCCAAGAATTATTAACAACATGTTGATCACGGTGATCTCTGAGAGCTGAATCATACAAATGTCTGTATTTACGAACCTCTGCCATGTAGGGATGGGTACTGAATTCTGTACTTTTTAAGGTACCGACCGAATTCCATATACCGACCGAGCACCGATTCACGTCATTTGAAACGGAGCCTCGTTTCGGTACCCGTCCTTCATAACGAGAACGTTCCTAGACAGCTGCGCATGCGCAAGAGCGTTACGTTGGTCGCTGCAAGCCAGTTGTAAACAGAGCAGCATGGTAGAAAGAACACACGCTAAAGCTTGGGTCCACTTCACTAAATGTGATGGGTAACTGGGTGATGATGAAACCAGCGACAACGATCTAAGTGAGACATCCTCGTCTTAATCTGCTCCGGTAGGTAAATAAAATGTTTAAGATAACGTTAGCTTGATTTGTTAGCTTCCGTTTCGCTAATGGTGCGTTCACTTTCTCCTCGGAACTCAGAATTTCTGACTAGAAGAACATGAACGCGCTCTAAAGTTTGGCTTCACTTTACTAAATGCGACGGGTGATTGGGTGAAGATGAAACCAGCGACAACGATCTAAGTGTGAGGCATCATCGTTTTAATCTGCTCCAGCAGCTAAATAAACTGTTTAAGATAACGTTAGCTTGATATGTTAGCTTCCATTGCCGCCGTTGTTATCAGCTAATGGTGCGTTCGCTTTCTCCTCGGAAATTCTAACTTCCCAGTAGGAAAAATCAAATGAAAAAAGGACGGCAAAAGGAATGAAGATACACAGTAAATTTAGTTCACAGTAAAGATGTTTGCTTCAGTTTAATTATCAGCTTATAAAACTACAAGGACGATGCTAAAATACAAACAGTTGTATGTTATTTATCGTGATATTTATGAAATATGGTTATATATTGAGAAAAATATATATTTAATTATAAAAGAGAATTAAAATATTAAACACTCAAAAGTATCTAAAATTGGTACCGTTAAGTACCGGTATCGATTCCTAGGTACCGGGAATTAGTACCGGATCGATTCAAATGTCAAAGGTACCCATCCATACCCATGCTAGTTCTTGCCAGTCCACCATGTTTTTCCACGTCCGACCGTCCGTGTGGTTAGAAAATCTCCTAGGTGCGCGATGCAAAAAGTTTGGGCCGTGCGGAGGCGCGGTGGAGGGGCGTGGTTGTTAAAATGACGCAATTTTGCTGCATGGAGCCGTGCGGACCTCGCGGACGCATCAAGCATAAATCAAGCTTAAGGAGGATGCTGTACTTTAAACCTGGTGATGTTATGCTGCCAAACTGCTGTGGAGCCTGTTTGATCTCCAGCTAAAGGCTCTAAACCATCATCATAAACAAGGATTCTAGTTCTGCTGTTGTATTAAAAACACCTGTCTGTGTGTCTGTGCGTGTGTGTGTGTGTGTTTGATGAACCCACGATCTGCAGTTTGATGGTCTTGCCGTCTATTTCGATGGTGCGGATCTTAAAGTCGACCCCGATGGTGCTGATGTAGCTCTCTGTGTAGGTGTCATCCTGCAGAGGAGTCCAGCAAAGGGAGAAGAAGCAGACCGGGTCAGAACATGAGCAGAATCAGTAAGGAACAAAGGCTTCAATAGGAGGAGACACCGCCACAGGCTGGAGGAACACTTACTGCAAAGCGTAGAAGAAGACAAGACTTCCCAACTCCAGAGTCCCCGATGAGAAGCAGTTTGAACAGATAGTCACTGAAATAGAACAAAATCTGTTAACGGTGTTTGGAGTTTGGGATAACCATAACAACATTCCCACTGTGGATTGCAACACTTTAAAGGACTCAGGATGGATCCTCCAGTTGTTGCAGCTGCGTGTTTATCTGTAGCTGTTGTTGTTGCAGCTGCGTGTTTATCTGTGGCTGTTGTTGTTGCAGCAGAGTGTTTATCTGTGGCTGCTGTTCTGAGCCAGTTCAACACCTGTCCTGTGAAGAAGAGGCCTTTAAAAAGCACCCGCAGCAGCTGTCTCTGGTCTTTAAGATTGTCATCATGTCACTTTACCATCAGGATCTCAGGAGATGGGAGTAAAAATGTTTTTGATGCTGATTTTTATTCAGGTGAATTATAGAAAATAAACCATAAAAACATAAAGAAGCTTTAAATGACTTGTTTACTCATCATGGAGACCAGTTTGAATCATCAGGTTGACCTCTCTAAACCAGAACACATGTTGGTGTTTATCGCATTATAAGGTGTTGACACCATGTCTACCTCAGAAATCCCGTTAATGTCCCTCTGGTCATTGAGAACTTGGTGTAACTGCCCTTTTCCCATCTTCTGTAAACACCCAGGACATGCTCTGCAGACACCTCTGTTCATATTTCAGTAGAATGTAAAATAAATAAATAAATAAAATCCATTTTATTCCATTTTACATGGAAACAAATCTTGGCATTCTCCTGACATTGCTTTCACATGACTGGTTTTATCCTGTAACAAAGACCTCACCTGGACCAGGATGCCCTGGTGATATGATTTGGGACACTCATGCTAGGTCCCCTGGCCCAAAACAGACCTGAAGTGGAATCCAGGGGTATGTCCCATTCCTTTTACTGTTGTGCAGGTCTTTCTCCTGTCATCATAAAAACACCTGAACAACACGCCTGTAAGCTGAGCACGTCTGACAGGATTCAAACCTTCTGCCAGAGGCTCCAGACCATAATATGCCTCTGTTCTGAGAAAGGTATGTCCTCTCATTTCAAGGTTCAGGATTCCAACATCTACGGTTACTTCGACTGGTCATAGGTATCAGCCGTCGTTCTCCGAAAAAAGAATCCAATCTAAAGTTCAGATGCTTTCATTACTGCAGCACAACTTCCTCACCGTCGGCTACTTCACCAACGAGTGCCGTTACTGGCCAACACTTAAGAGGGCCAATTGTAATATTTGTGTAAAATAAATGCGGTTTAAATCTTGTAAAATCAAACGGTAATGTTAAACATAAATAGTTACAATTAAATATAGATGTACCTGGTTTATTTGAAATATTTTGAATTTAATTCAAGTATAGGGGCAGCAGTAGCTCAGGAATCAAATGGTTGAGCATTCCCAGCAGAGACTGCTGCTGCTGTGTCCTTGGGCAAGACATTTAACGCACCCTGCCTGCTGGTGGTGGTCGGAGGGACCGGTGGTGCTCGCCAGCTGTCAGTACGCCCCAGGGTTGCTGTGGCTACATCGTAGCTCATCATCACCAGCGTGTGAATGTGTGTGTGCGTGGGTGAATGTGTTGTAAAGCACCTTGGGGGGGGGGGGGGGTTCCAGGACTCCAGAAGGCCATTTACTATTTGTTCACCATATAAAGTTAAATCTTAATATTGACCACTGAAACCACCGAGTCATGGGGCAGAATATGCCGTTGCCTTTTAAACTGCCTACACACACAACTAGACAACACTAGGACCTGTCAGCGCAACGAACAACGTAACATCCATCGCTACTGCAACCCGTCAGACCAGGGGTGTCAAACTCACACGGGGCCGAAATGAAAATCTGGGACGAAGTTGCAGGCTAAACTTAATATTTTTTGAAAAAGTGACGGCAAATTTGCACATTTTCTTTATCAACATATATGCAATTTTGAACCTTTTAATTTGGAAAGAAACTTATTTTTGCATTAACACCGAATGTGGAATAACCAAATAACACACGAGCAAGTCGATTTTAAATTAAACGCATCAGTGGTATTCGTTACTTGTAGTATATTCAGCCTTTATGTTTTCTTGTTGTTTATTCATTTTTCATATTTTTTATTCTCCTTTTTTTCTCCTGTAATAAGTGTCAGCGCTACTGTGACGTCTAGCTTTCCCCACTGAGGAACAATAAAGGGATTTTCTATTCTATTCATCTATCTGCAGCCTTTCCACTTCCTGTTTACTGTAGGTTAAATCTTTTCTCACGGGCCAACAACAAAATAAAAATATCATTTGATCTTAAATGAAAATGCAACATCTCACCTGTTAACTTTCATGTTTTGGAGCAGAAAAAGAGCATAAAACCAACATATTTAAAGCTCAGTTTGCTCCACTCATTTACTGCGATGCTCACCTGTTCCAGCCAGATACCTGCATCATGGGGTTGATCTGAGCTGAGGAGGAGACTCCTGTTGTTTTGTTCATCTTCATCATAATAATGACAACATTAGATGACTACAGGTGCTCACATAGGTTTGTGCTGCTGAACATGTCTGAGCAGCTTAACCGCGTTGTTGTGTGTCGGGGAGGAAAAATAAAAACTACAGCAGCCACAGAGTCATGCTGGTTTGAGCGTGTCGCTGCTCGCTTGAGTTACATCAGCTCTGTCTGGAAGTTAGTTGGCAAACTTTCTCGTTGAGTCGTGAACACATTACTGAGCGGTTAAAATCTCCGTTTCTGGGCTTCAACGTCGGCAAATAGCTGAGTAAACTCGGGGCTGAGTGAGAGGAGTGCTTAGTTTGTCCGAGCGCAGCTGCAGACAACGGCAGCAGACGCTGGAAAAAACACAAAGGAGGGGGCACTTCGGCTCCGCGCTAACGGCGCAAAGCATCACGGGAGTTGTAGTCTTTGAGGTAAAATCGGCCAGCGGGTCAGTTTTAATATATTTTTGATATTAATCTTGAGGGCTACATAAAAATGCTCCGCAGGCCAGATGTCTGACACATGTGCATCAGAGCAATGAACGTAACATCCATCGCTACTGCAACTCGTCAGAGCAACAAACAATGTAACATCCATCGCTACTGCAATAAGTCAACGAGAAGTCCGCCATATATAATTAAAAAAGATAAAGAAGCAAATACATCTTTTTTCGGCAGTGTTTTCCTTACATAGGCGTAGCCGTGGCGGCCCGCCACGGCTGAAATCCCACCGCCACACCTACAAGATCCCAAGTTTTATTGTTTGTTTATTTATATTTATTTATTTTTTTTGCGCTGTTTCCCGAAGAAGCAGCGGGAACTACTGTGTTGTTGCTTGTGATCACAGCCGGCAGGCAGCAAGGAGGAGGAGGCAGGGCAGGGTGGTTACAGCTAGTGATGAGCGTACGGATAAAGCATTTTTGACGAATGAAACGAGTGTAAAACTCGTAAATATCTGTATTCGTGCTGAAGGAAAATCCTCATTGGGTAACTGACTGTCTTCACGCTCTGTGATTGGCCAGTCACATTGAGCGCCCGCCCCTCCCTACACACAAAACTCTGCAGCCGGGACGGGAGCTTAGTCCGCTCGGCCCAGGCATCCACGCGCACACACACAGACAGTAACGGATCTCTCTGTGCTTGCTTCATGTAGCCCACTTTTCTTCAGTACTCCCTACGTTTTCTTCAGCTCGCCTCTTTTTCAGTTCAATATTTAAAGTTACTTTTTTCGTAACGTACGTGGTGCATTTGACAAGACAGAGCTGAAAACGGCTCGTGCATGCGTCAGTCACTGCCTCCACTCCGGTCGGGTTTTTAAAAATTATTTTAACTCTCTCTCCCCCTTTCTCTCTGTCTCACACACACCATAATCAACATTGTTTTGTTTAACTGTGTGTGGGGAAAATGCCAACAAGGTTAGGAAAAAATCAGTTTAATCAAATTAAAATAAAATAAAAAGTTGTGTCTGGTTCTAGTATTTCATATTTCCTCGTTCCTACTGCATGAGTTCAGATGTATTAATTCATGAACTTAAATATTAATGTTCTGATTTTACTGAAAAACTTGTTCTGTAATAGTTCCTTTACTATTGTGATCAAAAATATTTAATCTCAGTTCTGAGGCTGCTCTGTAAATAGTTTTGAAATAAACCACACACATAGCAACTTCTGATCAATCCATATCAATTTCAGACTTAAAATAATGTACTGATGCAAACCACACCCACTAATTTCCAAATAATAAATAAGAGGTGCATTCATCTGTGTGTCTCCTTTCATCTGCATTAGTGATGTTTTCAGCACCAGAACAATGAAGCAAATAAACAGATTCCTGAGTTTATGTTAGTAATTTTATTTATTAGATGCATCTGACCTGTTCTATTTTTCTCTGAAATGAGATCAAATCAGTGCTTCTATGGGTTGTCTCCTCTCTGCACTAGAAACATGTACTTTATTATAATGTTCACTGTAATGCATCTTGATGTTCTTAACAATAAATTAAATCAAAGATATTGGTCAAAAGTGCCAAATATGTAAATTTGTGTTTCAGTCATTTTTATACTGGCTTAAAAATACTTCATTAAGTCTACTAAGCAGGGGTGTAGAAGGTGTTTAACAGGGCCAGCCCAGTAATGATCTTGGACCAAAATAAAGGGGGGCAGAAGGAGATGTTTTTCCAGACGCCAAGAAAAATTAAATGCCAATTCACCCCTGCAAAGTGTGTCACTGAGAGTTTAAAACAGAAATTATTCTTGTGCAAATATTGGTGTATTCACCTTTAATACTAGTTATTAAAATGCAGCAGTTGCTGGATTGGTGCAGTTCAAAGTAGAGTGCATCAAATAAAACAATATTAACATAAAGGTGAGACGTGTCATAATTTCACACCCCCCTTCACCACCACAGCTGGAAAAATTCCTAGGGGAAACACTGTTCGGTATAAAAGATCTAATTACCTCCATCTGTTCATGTCTCCAATAAAACCCCAAGTCGAAAGCTGAGCGTACACTTTATAACTTTTTTCTCTGTGGCATTAAGCTCCATCTTAAGCTGCACGACTTCCTCACAGAACAAAGCTCACGAGTCAAGCTCTCACTGTATGACCTGCTCACTCGGTGCATGTGGTAGCAACATTTTAGAGTTAAAAGTAGTAGTTTTTAGCACAACACGTCAGACCTTTGGGTACAAAATCTGACTGCTGTGCTGTTATTAATGTCTGTTGTCCTTCAGGCTTGCCGTAGCTGTAGGAAGAAGTGTGAGGGTTTATGGGTGCTGTATGAGCGATTCTGATATATTTTTGTGGCAGGGCTGCATGGACAGTGCAATACCCTCATTCGGGTTGAGAAGAATATCCAACATGTTTGATTTCCGTGTTCTGCCGATCGGGAGCTGGTGGTGAGGTATAATTCACTTCTTGTTCCCCGAAGTATAAATGACGCAAGACTTGCATGAGCCAAAAATAGGACAGTGTATGCCCGGCTTTAATCATCTAAAGTTGATGTCAACATTGTTTCAAAAGAGCATTTTTGGTGAGCCGATGCCATCATTGTGGTTTTTCTTCGCTGTAGCCCCAGTGACTAGCCCAACAAACGTAGAGCGCCGTGGTCTGCAAGCCACAAAACAGGTCATGCCAAAGGTAGACCAGCTGGGGCTACAACGGAGCATGGCTAGATCGACCTGCAGAGCAAAAGCTTTTTCTTTTTCTACGGTTGGACAGGCAAGTATAGACTGCTAGAAGAAGAAAATATCATTTCTATGCTATACATAAATATGATAAGTACAACACAAGTAACCCAACAAAGTAAAAAAACAAAACAAAACAAACAAAAAAAAAACAGGGTGAAGAAATCCCCATTTAGGGTTCTGTTCAGCTGTGGGACCCCCCCCAGTCTCTCACACACACACTTACACACTTGTATGTAACTTTATATATGTTGATTCTGACCTTCATTTTTGGCCTTAGTGACATTGTATCAATAAAACGCAATGAGATTACGAATAGACACTAACAGCATATTTTAGTTGTATTATTGCTCTCATGAGCTAAATATTATAAATGTATCTAATAGGTTTTTGTTTTATAATCGGCGCCTCATAGATTCTCCACTTGCTGAGACGAACAATGGCAGCGTCTCCTCGGAGCTTTGCTGCCAAACAGCGCGTGACCCTTTCTCAAGTGGTCGCGACCAGCGCCAGAACCAACACACAACAGCTCCAGAAGTCGTCAGCTGACGTGGAACTACCCAGTTCCAGTTATTTACACATAATGAGCTATGATCCGGGCAGCTAGCTACCACTGTTCAGACAGCTTTTAGCTTTGAGTGATACTTCACTGTAAACCACCTTACATGTAAATAAACCGAACACCATTTAAAAATGAAAACTTACTATTCAGGATTCATGGTTTCCCTCGAGACGTGTTTTTTCTCCTGTTGTCGAGTGGTCTGGTCTTTTCCTCCTGCTACAGATGGCTGTAGTCCGGCAATCTGAGGCACTTACAGGGCTTTAGGCTCGTTCCGCTCACTACTTCCGCTTTATTATTTCATGTAGTTCTACTTTAACAATACACATCCCCACTAAATGTTCATATCTTTAATAAATTAAGTATTTTTTCTACCTTTCTGTGTACGCTGTTCGTTAAAGGTTTAGGAAAAGTGCGCAAGTGCGGAAGTGACGAAAAGTGATGTGTCGCAACGCGATAACTCCGCCTCGGTTTATAGTTCCGTGTTTTGTAACTAATGATTAATCACGTTTAAAAAATTGGGGTTCATTTTATATAATAAAGGCGGCGTTTGAAAATATTCTTTTAACGGTATTATAATATTCAGATAGATTTGGTCACACAAGCATCATTAGACTGGCTGAAATTAAAATTAAAGCCTACAAAATAAGTCAGATAACCTGACCACCACAATTTACAGCTGAATATAAAATAAATGATTTAGGCTGAGTTTGTCTACTGATTGTAAGATTCTGTGTAAAAAAGAAACAACCAGATGGTTTGAAGTGAACTCTGCTGTCTCTTGGTGATGTGAACACATCCCTGGTTGTTAGACTCCATTAAAACCTGGATGGTGGGAGCTTTCTTCAGCTGAATGAAGATAAGACTGAGATCCTCATCTGTGCCCCAGACAAGCTGGTTCACAAAGTCAGAGACTCTCTTGGTCAGCTTGCTTCTCACACCAAACCTTCTGTCAGGAATCTTAGTGACCTTTGACCCAGCTCTCACCTTGGATTCTCATGTCAGTTCTCTTGTTCGCTCTTCCTTCTTCCATCTCAGGAACGTTGCTAAGCTGAGTCCCATTCTGTCCCGCTCTGAACTTGAGACAGTTCTCCACACCTTCATCTCCTCACGCTTAGACTACTGTAACTCTCTTTTCACGTGTCTGAGCAGAACCTCCCTGAACCATCTACAGGTGGTTCAGAACGCCTGTGCTCGGCTTCTGACCAAGTCCTCCAAACACACCCACATCACCCCGCTTCTCCTCCAGCTTCACTGGCTGCCAGTCAACTTCAGGGTTCATTTCAAGATCCTGGTTCTGGTCTATAGGGCCTTACATGGACAAGCACCATCTTACATTGATGATCTTCTTAGTCCCTACACCCCCAGCAGGTCCCTGAGGTCCAGTGATCAAAGCCTACTGGTTGTGCAGCACCAGGCTAAAGGTCAAAGGTGACAGATCATTTGCTGCTGTGGCCCACAGACTCCGGAACTCTCTCCCCCTGAGCCTGAGATCAGTGGACTCAGTGGTCTCCTTTAAAAAGCAGCTGAAACTCACTTGTTCAAGCTGGTTTTGGTGTGACCTTCATCACCCTCTCCTTGTTCTGCTCTCCCCACCTATTCCACCTTCCTCAGGATCCATTGATTTCCCTCTTTCCTGTTCACTCTCTCTCTTTCTTTACATTTTTAAATCGCAATTGTCTATTTTTGCTCATTTTAAATATGTTTTATTCATTTTCTAAATTCTTTTTTATATTTTGATTTTTTTGTTTTTGAGAAGTGCCTCGTGATTTTTATCTTGAGAGGCGCCATAGAAAAGATTTCTTCTTCTTCTTCTTCTTCTTCTTCTTCTTCTTCTTCTTCTTCTTCTTCTTCTTCTTCTTCTTCTTCTTCTTCTTCTTCTTCTTCTTCTTCTTCTTCTTCTTCTTCTTCTTCTTCTTCTTCTTCTTCTTCTTCTTCTTCTTCTTCTTCTTCTTCTTCTTCTTCTTCTTCTTCTTCTTCTTCTTCTTCTTCTTCTTCTTCTTCTTCTTCTTCTTCTTCTTCTTCTTCTTCTTCTTCTTCTTCTTCTTCTTCTTCTTCTTCTTCTTCTTCTTCTTCTTCTTCTTCTTCTTCTTCTTCTTCTTCTTCTTCTTCTTCTTCTTCTTCTTCTTCTTCTTCTTCTTCTTCTTCTTCTTCTTCTTCTTCTTCTTCTTCTTCTTCTTCTTCTTCTTCTTCTTCTTCTTCTTCTTCTTCTTCTTCTTCTTCTTCTTCTTCTTCTTCTTCTTCTTCTTCTTCTTCTTCTAACTACCCAAAGAGCTTAACCTCTCTGCCAGGTATGGATCAGGAATGGAGATCCCCCTGAGTCTGTTATCCAGAACAGTGAAGATAATGGAAATCCTGAATATTTTCATTCATCAAAAAGTGTTTTTTTTAACATTACTTCTCTGAAAACAAATTCAGATTTAGCGGTTTTGTTTTTATGTAATGTACAAACGAGAGTTGAGAAACACGAACCAGAGAGCAGGCTTACTTACCGGTAACTAAAATGACTTTGAAAATAAGATATGAAACAGCTGAACTGAAGAGAATAGGTTGTCCAGCAACTGGTTGCACACACATTCTGGTTGTGGGCACGACTGGAAATATTACGGTAACTTTAATAAATAAATACACATCGAACCCAAGGAGTCAGGGCTCTTCAAGTACATTTCAGCTGTTTTAACCGCTCATGATAGATCCATTACAGTGTGCACTGAACCAAATGTTAGATAAGCATGAACAGATATTAATACAGGTGGAGCCTAGAGACAGAGAATACACACTTTAATAAATAATGTTCAAAGCTATTTTTAAAATATCCAAGTGATGGATGAGGTGTGCAGATTCACTCATCCCTACATGACACCTGAAAAGCACTTTGTCCTTCAAATAAGAAACACAACATAAGGAATTATGACAGAAATTAGATTTTATTAGGTAGCATCTGCGTTAATCTACAAATAAAATGTAACAGACAAACTTCACAAATTCATGTGGATAAAACCCCTAACCCCAAATGAACTGACCTTCGTTAAACTTTTACCGTATTTTCCGGACTATAAGCCGCTACTTTTTTCCCACGCTTTGAACCGTGCAGCTTATAATGAGGTGCGGCTTTACTGAAGATTTTCCTTCACCTGCCACTAGGGGGCGCTTTAGCAGAAAGTGAAACAGGTGGAAGTCAAAAGTGGAAATCGAAGAAAGTGCTCATTTTAATTTAGCACATGCAAGCAGCCGGCACCACGAAGAACTTTTTTCAAATCCATACCCCCTCATCATGGTAACTACACGTATGAGTTCATATGATGCCGCATTTAAGCTGAAGGCCATGGATCTGGCAGTAAAGGAGGGAAACAGTGCTGCCGCACATAAGCTTGGCATGAATGAATCCATGGTTCGGCGCTGGAGACGGCAGCGGGAAGAACTCATTCAAGCCAGCTTCACCCGGGGATGACGACAGCAACACGGACAGCGACACTGACATCGCCACAGAAAAGGTATGTGACGAAGCTCTTCTGAGGCTGTTCAACTCCGACACTGAAGAAGAGGACTTTACTGGCTTTAGTGCGCAAGAGGAAGATGAGAGCGAATGACTTCTTCTGGTAGACAAGTGTGTTTTATTTACTAACCAGGCATGTGTTGTGTGCAGTTGTTATTTTCTAATCATCCAGGGCTTATTAATGCTGTGTCAGCGCTGTTCTTTTCTTCTAAACATGCAAATTACCGGTAATAACGTGTCAGTGCTGTTTTTATTTTATAACCATCCAGAAATGTGAATGCTATCAGTGCTGTTCTCTTTTCTAAACTTGCAGGCACGTTCACCCGTGTTAAAATTTGTTTTGTTGAATTAAAACAACAACGAAAAACCTCCGTGTAGCATCTTTCTGTCTAATTATCTTATGTTGTGGCCGTACATGCGCCGTGCACCAGAGACCTGCATGTGGCTGCTGCGCCGCGGCTTGTATTTGAGTGCGGCGTGTGTGTAGAAACCTTTTTTTTTGTTGTTGGTGCGGCTTATATTGAGGTGCGCTCTATAGTCCGGAAATTACGGTAACTAGAACTAGATCAGGGCTGCACAGTAAGACAGTGGTTTGCACTGTTATCACGTAACAAGAAGGTCCTGGGTTTGAATCCCGGCATGGGGTCTTTCTGCATGGAGTTTGCTCTACCTGTGCATGCGTGGCTTCTCTCCAGGTGCTCCGGCTTCCTCCCACAGTCCAAAAAATGACTGTCAGGTTGATTGGTCCCTCTAAATTGTCCTTAGGTATATAAGTGTGTGTGCATGGTTGTTTGTCCTGTGTGCCTCTGTGTTGCCCTGAGATGGCAACCTGTCCAGGGTGTACCCCGCCTGTTTGCCCGAAACTGCCGGAGATAGGCACCATCCCCTCGTGACCCTGCGTGGACAAGCAGGTACAGATAATGGATGGACTGAACTAGATCACAACAAGCAAGAAAGGTAAATGTAAAAATCCCAGTTATTGGTTCCTGTCCGCACCCACGGGAGAGGGCAGGTAGATGTTTTCCAGCCTTCCTCCAAAGTCCATCCCAAGATCCAGGGATGCACCTGCAGCTTCAGCAGCTTCTAAGCCCTGGTTGATGTACAGAGCTTCCTGACAGGCCTCCAGGACTGGTAGCTCAGACAGAAGGTGTTCCAGTGTTCCCACTAAATCCCTGAAGTTGGGCCTCAGGTTTGGATCTGAACTCCAGCAGCTGTGCATGACTTCATATCTGTGGTAGGAAGAAGAACAGGAATCACCAAATCATAAAGATGTTTTCTAATTCCTTCCAGTCAGTGTAAAACACACTGTTGAGTTTACATTTTCACAGAGCAAAAAGCACGTCATGTTGTGTTGATTCAGTTGTCTCAGCTTCAAACTCAGAATGAAGAACCAGAACCAGACTCACAGTTTTTGATCACAGTCCTCGGGTGGTTTGAGTCTGAGTCCAGACGACAGCAGGTCCAGCAGCTCGTGGTTGTGGACACCAGGATATGGACTCTTTCCTCTGGACACAATCTCCCACATAGTTACTCCGAATGACCACTGAGACGGTGATGAGAAGATGATTAGAGCCGGGCGTGTAGAATAACTACATCCTCGTATGAGGACACAGACTTCCTGATCCACAACATTTGATTCTGTTCATCCGAATAATAGTACAGAATAATTATTTACAGTAATAATAAACAATAGTGTATGTACTAGTGAGTGTGTAAATGCTGTGTACTATTAAAGGTGCATTATGTAGAAATGAAGTAAAATGATGTCCTGTAGTAAACTGGTTCCTGCAGCCACTTTAAACAACTCTGGAGCTTTTTACCGTCCGTCGTCAAATAACAGTGTTCGGCGCTGCAGCATTAGCTCGCAGGAGACACGTTAACCCCACCCTCACTGAAGGTAAACAGTAGTTACGGCCCTCCTTCCTTGGTTTTGAAAGAAAGAAAGAAAACTATCTTTTGTAAAGCGCCTCTCAAGATAAAAATCATGAGGTGCTTCACAAAAGCAAAAAATTAAAACATAAAAAAATTTCAAATAAAAAAGTTTAAAATTAGGGAAAAAAAATAAAAATTGTGATTACTAAATGTAAGGAAAGGAAGAGAGAAAATGAACAGGAAAGAGGGAATCAGTAGATCCCTGGAAAAGCTGAATAAGTAGAAAGAGCAGAACAAGGAGATGGAGGTGATGAAGGTCCCACCAAAGCCTGAACAGGTGAGTTTAAAGGAGACCACTGAGTCCACTGATCTCAGGCTCAGGGGGTGAGAGGTCCAGAGTCTGGAGGCTACAGCAGCAGATGATCTGTCACCTTTGATCTTTAGCCTGGTGCTGCACAACCAGTAGGCTTTGATCACTGGACCTCAGGGACCTGCTGGGGGTGTAGGGACTAAGAAGATCACCAATGTAAGATGCAAGGACGTAATTTTAACTTTAGAAGTGGGGGGGACACGGGGGGGGGGGGGTATCTTTACAATATGTTCTAATGGGAAACCGGCTTCAACACAAACGGTTGCTTTCGGCTTGGTCCTAGAGCTCAACCAGTGTCAATTTAATACGGCGTAATATTGTTTTTGGATGGTAAAAAGTGCAGGGGTCAAAACTTGACTTTGGAAAAAGTGGGGGGGACATGTCCCCCCGTCCCCCCCCCCAAAATTACGTCCATGGTAAGATGGTGCGTGTCCATGTAAGGCCCTATAGACCAGAACCAGGATCTTGAAATGAACCCTGAAGGTGACTGGCAGCCAGTGAAACTGGAGGAGAAGCGGGGTGATGTGGGTGTGTTTGGAGGACTCGGTCAGAAGCCGAGCACAGGCGTTCTGAACCACCTGTAGACGGTTCAGGTCATGTTTCAGTAGAACCTTCCTTCCAAAATGACTGAAACATCAGACTCTTTTAGGATTCCACTGCAAAATTCTCACTATATTCTTACATACTGCACCTTTAAGCTACATGAGCAAGTGATTTAGTCAGTATTTGAGGTGTAGTTTAAGACAATCTGACCGCAGTTTTGATCTGTTTATGAGTACATGATGTTATTATCAGTCATCTTTCTGAAAGAGAACCATTCAGGTCTTTGAGCGCGAGTCCTCCATAGAAGAAGTTACAACCACACAACTGTTTTTGTGAAACTATGTTTGCATGTGAATACTTCAGAGAGAGGGTCTGTTTTCATTGGAGGAGTGTCATTGTTCAGGAGCAGTGTTTGAGGAGGTGCTGGCACAGCAGAACCCATCGCCACGCTGCAAAGGGTCTGAAACTTTGGCTTCAAACTGCTGAGGCGGTCTAATGCATGGCTTAAATCCACAGAAAGCAAAAAGTGCTCCAAACCAAACGTACCACATCACTTTTGGCTGTGTAAATGGACTCAGACAGGCTTTCCATGGCCATCCACTTGATTGGCATACGGATTGCTACTTGCTGGCGATAGTAATTGCTGCTGAAGATTTTTTTGGACAAGCCAAAATCAGCTACACAAACCTTAAGATCATCACCCAACCTGTGCAAAACAAATTATAATTAGTCTCCAAACTCAGAAAATAAAAAATGTCAATACCTTTTGGTCGATTGTCTTTTGGATTTCTGCACAAATACAAACAATGTTTATGTCCCAATAAAAGACAGAGCCATCTACGAGGAGCTCTCCATTTAAGTCTTCACACATCCTCCATCCCAACACTTTCATAGACTCACATGCAGTTTCGAGCAGCCAAGTCTCTGTGCAGGAACCCTTGAGAGCTTAAATAGTCCATTCCTGCAGCAATGTCAATCATGAATCTCAGGAGCGTCTGGTGGGGGACAAACTAGAAGAGGAAGCACATGAGGCTGATTCACAAAAACACATTTTACTGTGCATCATTTGGCAGAATCACTTCCACATAACTGTGTTTTCAGAAGACCTCAAAGTCAAGTCAGCTGATCTTAACCAAGGAGGATTTATTTACACTTTTGTGTTTTAGTACTCATCTGTTCTGATATCATTACTTTCAGCTGTTTTGTATTTTTGACTCTAATTTATTTAATATGATCACCCATGCTTAGGTTTGGCTACTAGGAATGAAGGAGTGACAGTTGCTTCTTAGGTGATTAGGAGACTCATTAGGACTTTTATAGTAACGGGTCTATGGTCTTTACAAAACAGGAAGATCGTGAACAGAACCACTCTCCCAAAAGTGATTTGTATTTGCATGTGTTTGTATGTATTTTCATGTGTTTGTATGTGTTAGCATGTATTTGTATGAATTTGTATGTGTTTGTATGTATGTGTATGTATTTGTATGTGTTTGTATGTGTTTGTATGTATGTGTATGTATTTGTATGTGTTTGTATGTATTTTCATGTGTTTGTATGTGTTTGTATGTATTTTCATGTGTTTGTATGTGTTAGCATGTATTTGTATGTATTTGTATGTGTTTGTATGTATGTGTATGTATTTGTATGTGTTTGTATGTGTTTTTATGTATGCGTATGTATTTGTATGTGTTTGTATGTATTTGAATGTATTTGCATGTGTTTGTATGTGTTTGTATGTATTTGTATGTGTTTGTATGTATGTGTATGTATTTGTATGTGTTTGTATGTATTTGTATGTGTTTGTATGTGTTTGTATGTATGTGTATGTATTTGTATGTGTTTGTATGTATTTGTATGTATTTGCATGTGTTTGCATGTGTTTGTATGTATTTGTATGTGTTTGTATGTATTTGTATGTATGTGTATGTATTTGTATGTATTTGTATGTGTTTGTATGTATTTGTATGTGTTTGTATGTGTTTGTATGTATGTGTATGTATTTGTATGTGTTTGTATGTATTTGTATGTATTTGCATGTGTTTGTATGTATTTGTATGTGTTTGTATGTATTTGCATGTGTTTGTATGTATTTGCATGTGTTTGTATGTATTTGTATGTGTTTGTATGTATTTGCATGTGTTTGTATGTATTTGTATGTATTTGTATGTGTTTGTATGTATTTGTATGTGTTTGTATGTATGTGCATGTGTTTGTATGTATTTGCATGTGTTTGTATGTGTTTGTATGTATTTGCATGTGTTTGTATGTATTTGTATGTATTTGTAAGTATTTGCATGTGTTTGTATGTATTTGTATGTGTTTGTATGTATTTGCATGTGTTTGTATGTATTTGTATGTATTTGTATGTACAGAAGCATCTGTGTGAGTGACTGTCAACCAAACCATGCACGCAGCCATGGTGTCCAGTAATCCGAAGGTTGCAGGCTTGATCCAGGCTCCTGACAGAGAATTCTGCTGTTGTGTCCTTGGGCAAGACATTTAACCCACATTACCTGCTGGTGGTGGTTGAAGGGACCGGTGGCATCAGTGCTCAGCAGCCTCACCTCTGTCAGTGCACCCCTTGCTGTGGCTACAATGTAGCTCATCACCAACAGTGTGTGAATGGATGAATGGTACACTGTATTGTAAAGCGCTTTGGAGTCCTCTGACTCTGAAAGGTGCTATACAAGTAAAAATGTTGGATTCCCAACAATCCTGGAGTGGTGACTCAACAGGCGAGGGGAGCGTTCTATTCTAATTTCTCTGATTGCAACTGTAAACTTTTTGGAACTGCTCATTTTTGGCATTTAATTCCTAAACCGAGCACTGACACAAAACTGTCACGTTAGGAGCCAGGAGGAGGTTAGGACCCAAAGATGCAGAAATTCCAGATGACAACTGGGTGGAGAAATAACGTAAAATCCTTTATTAACGACCAAATCCAAAAATGGCAGGGAGCCAAAAACAAAAATCAAAAGGTCCAAATAGCAAAACCTAGAGAATCCAAAAACCAAAATCTAGAGGGGGAACGAGACAAGGGTGACACGAACAATGACCCAACAACAAACAGAGACCCAGACAGGGTTATATGCACTGGGGCATGATGAGAGGCAGATAAGCTGCCGGTGTGTGGGGAGAGAAACCAAGTGAAGCAATTACAAATCAGGGAGAGGAAACAAACATGACCCAAGAGCTAAAACCTAAAGACAAGAAGAGCCAGCAAAATAATATTCTAAAGGGGAAGGAAAACTACAAAAACCGGTGGGGAAAGAAACACACTAAAGGGACTAATTAAATAAAAAGCTGAACCTTATAGAATCACTGCAGAGGGGTGACTAGGGGACACATGAGGAACACAAAGAGACACAGAAGGGGATCCTTAGAGGGGGATGGAGCACACAAGGAGACACATGAGGGAGATGCAGATGTCACGATACGAGGATGGTTAGGACCCAAAATGCAGGTACCCAGGATGACACGAGGCAGGAGATGATATATAAAGAAAATTCCTTTATTTTGTAGGATGAACAAAATAAATCCAAAAGGCAGGGAGCCAAAAAGTCCCAAAATGTCCAAATACCAAAACTACAGATCAAAAACACTAGAGATCACAAGAAGCCTGACAGAATTACCACAATGGACCGACACAACACAGAGACAAGACAGGGCTTATATACACTGGGAGGAGCAATTAGGGAAACAGGCAGCAGGTGTGTGGAGTGAGGGCTGGAGGGAAAGCAGGTGAATACAAGTAACTAAATGGGGAACAGAACCAGAGGAGGGCAGATAAACCTAAAACTATAAAACACAAAACTAAACCTAAAAACTGAGGGTAGGACTCACACACACACACACACACACACACACACACACACACACACACACACACACACACACACACACACACACACACACACACACACACACACACACACACACACACACACACACACACACCGAGCTGGGGAAGGACACGCACGCACACACACTGAAATAAAAGACCTATATAAACTGAGGTGGGGAGACTAACCCCGGGTTTCCACAGGAGCCGTCAGCAGCACGTTACTGCAGCAGCACGTCTTGCTCACGTAAGCTGCTGCTTGGCCCTTCCCACGAGACGCGAAGCAGCAGGGGAGCAGCTGTCACCGACCGAGCACGAAGTCACACGAGTGACTTCGTCAGTAAACACAACAACAAGCAGGAGAAAACTACAACATGGTTTGTGTTTTATGTTCTGTCCGTTTTATAATCGCCAATACGGACCTGAAAAACAAAGGAGACCGCTAGCTAGGTGATAACTTCTCACGGGGCCGCACAGTTAGTAACCTTTTTTAAAAGTAAAGCAACCGGAAGGCAGTACGTTCTTTATTCTGAAAATCTCGGGAGCTTCTCTCCATTTCCGCGTCCGATTTCCTGTCTTTCCTTCCCCAAAAATGTCGAACTTGACCCGTTTCAGAGGCGTCGCGCGTAGAAAATAGAACCGGCGCGTAAAGGCCGCAACATGCTGCTCCTGAGACGCGGCCGACTCGCGCTGCTGACGGCTGCTGACGGCTGCCGACGGCTCCGGTGGAAAAGGTTCTGTTGACCACAGCAGTTCCTATCAGCAGCTATGACGTGCTGCTGACGGCTCCTGTGGAAAGCCGGGGTAAGAGACATGAAGAAAACCAGGAGGGAGCTGGGGACAAAAAGGCTGGAGCTACAAGGACACAGAACGTGAAGGAACACCTGGAGGGGCTGGGGATGACTGAATGAACACAGGACCTGGGAGGAATGACTTAAAAGGCCACAAACAGAAGACACATAAATGAGACGCAGACAAAGGACACATGAGGGCGCTATGAGACACAAAAGGGGAATCTAGAGAGGGATGGAGAACACAAGGTGACATATGAGGGAAGACACAGACGCAGACCATGACAAAAATGAATGGACTGTTTTTACTTGGAATGTTTATAAAGGCAGTAGAGACCCACAAAATTCAAAAAGGGAGATTTACATGATAAGTTCCCTTTAAAATGAAACCTATAGTGAAGTTTTATTCATGCATTTATACAGCATGTCTGAATGTGTAAAGGCTGAACATCTAGAAAACAGAGCTGCACCTGTGTGAATCAGAAATCACCTGTGTTAAATTTTTGATAGTGCGTGTGTGTATGTGTGTGTGTGGGGGGTCTTATTTTGTGGGTTGGATCTTACCATGGGAATGTCATCATATCGAGTAGCAATAAGGAAGCGACGCAAGTCTCCATGTTTCATGTATGGTAGGATGACCAAAGGCACAGGCAGAGGAGACTCCTGTCTTCTTTGTAAGGAAATGCCTGCAGCAAAACACACATCCATGATTTCCATCAAGTATCTGACAAGGAATTGCAGCTACTGCCTCCCAACAATTCTTTGGGTAGTGTTGCAAAGTTATCATGGGGTCCAAAGCAGCAAGAACAGTTTTTGGGGGGTGATGTCAAATTACTGCATTTCACACATCTTGTTGCTGTTGTGGTTCTGACTTCACAGTTTACCGGTCCTCTGGGGCGCCCTTGTGGCCTGGGGCCCCAAGCCATAGTCTGCCCTGCCCGCCAGCCCGCAGTGCCTCCTGTTCTGGTGCCAGCAGCATCTGCAGAGTTCTTTTTCCTTCAGAGTGAATTAAAACTAGAGCTCACTGAGTTGCTTCTGTGCATGAAGTGCACATTTATATAAAGATGCCTAACTTACAGTGGGTACAGAAAGTATTCAGGCCCCGTCAATCGTTCACTCTTTGTTGCATTGCAGCCATTTGCTAAAATCAATTAAATTCAATTTTTCCTCAATAATACATTAGTTAATTAGTACCCCCCCCCCCCCATATTGACAGAAAAACACAGACTTTAATACATTTATGCAGATTTATTTAAAAAAGAAAACGCGTGTTCCTAAGGTTCAGACCCTTTGCTCAGTATTTAGTAGAAGCACCCATTTGAGCTAATACAGCCGTGGGTCTTCTTGGTTAAGATGCAACAACAAGTTTCTTACACCTGGATTTGGGGATCCTCTGCCATTCATCCTTGCAGATCCTCTCCAGTTCTGTCAGGTTGGATGGCGAACGTTGGTGGAGCCATTTTTGGTCTCTTCAGAGATGTTCCATTGGGTTTAAGTCAGGGCTCTGGCTGGGCCAACATCATCATCATCATCATCATCATCATCATCATCGTCATCATCATCTTTATTTATAAAGCACTTTCCATCAATGAGAGATTGAACCAAAGCGCTGTACACACAACAAAGACATCAAAGTAAAACAACAGCAACCATACAGTGACTAAGGTAAAGCTAAATGGATCAAAGCAACAAAGATATTAGTTAAAAAACTAGATAAGAACGACTAAAAGAAGGCTAGTGGAACGCCATGGTGTAAAAATGGGTCTTTGACCTGCTCTTAAAAACCGGCAGAGAGGGTGCTTGTCTGTGCTCTAATGGAAGGTCATTCCACAGTTTTGGGGCCCAGACCCAGAAAGCTCTGTCACCTCTGGTCGAGCACCGCTCACGCGGAACGACCAGCAACTCCAGATGTGATGACCTCAAAGCACGTGATGGAGTGTGCACTTTCCGCTTGGTGATGCGGCTCGCGGATGGAACGCGCTTCACAACTTGCAGCGTTTATGGTTCATGCGGCTTGTCTCTGCGGTGAGCCAATATTCTCCCAAACTGTAGGGGGCAGCATGGAGCTCTACGGCATACATCCAACACTACACCATAGTAGAAGTAGAAATTACTGTTGTTTACAACATGGCATTCCAGCAGTTTTTAACAGCGTCCTCGTCTTTTCCGACAGTGCGAGCTATTTCTCTCCAAGAATTATTAACAACATGTTGATCACAGTGATCTCTGAGAGCTGAATCATACAAATGTCTGTATTTACGAACCTCTGCCATACTAGTTCTTGCTGGTCCGCCATGTTTTTCCGCGTCCGACCGTCCGCGTGGTTAGAAATTTTCCTAGGTGCGCGTTGCGGAAATTTTGGGCCGTGCGGAGACACGGTGGAGGGGCGTGGTTGTTAAAATGATGCAATTTTGCCACACGGAGCCGTGCGGACCTCGCGGACGCGTCAAGCATAAACCAACCTTAATCCTTCAGCCCGGTCTGAGGTCCTGAGCACTCTGAAGAAGGTTCTTGTCCAGGATGTTCCTGTACTTGGCCCTGTTTTCGATCGCTCCTTCGATTGCAACCAGTCGTCCTGTCTCTGCAGCTGACAAACACCCCTGCAGCATGATGCTGCCACCGTCATGCTTCACTGTGGAGACTGGACAAGTGATGAGCATGCCTGGTTTTCTCCACACATACCACTTAGAATTAAGGCCAAAAAGTTCTAACTTGGTCTCATCAGACCAGAGAATCTTATTTTACACCATCTCAGGGTCCTTCCGGTGTCTTAACAAACTCCATGTGGGCTTTCTTGTGCCTTGCACTGAGGAGAGGCTTCAGGCGGACAACTCTACCATAAAGCCCTGGCTGCAGTGACGGTTGACTTTCTACAACTTTCTCCCACCTCCTGACTGCCTCTCTGGAGCTCAGCCACAGTGACCTTTGGGTTCTTCTTGACCTCTCTCACCAAAGCTCTTCTCTCCCAGTAGCTCAGTTTGGCCAGATGACCTGCTCTAGGAAGGGTTCTGGTTGTCCCGAGCGTCTTACATTTAAGGGTTATGGAGGCCACTGTGCTCTTAGGAGCCTTAAGATGTTTTTGTAACCTTGGCCAGATCTGTACCTTGCCACAATTCTGTCTCTGAGCTTTTCAGGCAGTTCCTCTGACCTCATGATTCTCATTTGCTGACATGCATTGTGAGCTGTAAGGCCTGTTATAGACAGGTGTGGCTTCCTAATCAAGTCCAATCAGTGTACTCAAACAGCTGGACTCCAGTGAAGGTGTAGGTCCATCTCAATGACGATCAGTAGAAATGATTTAAATATATGAGTGTCACAGCAAAGGGTCTGATTACTCAGGACCATGTGATAGTTCAGTTTGTCCTTTTAATACATCTGCAGAAGTTTCTAAAATCCTGTGTTTCTGTCAGTACGGGGGCTGTGTGTACATTAATGAGGAAAAAATCAGTCCAGTTCTGGCCTCCCTGCACTGGCTTCCGATTTGCTATCGCTCACAATTCAAAATACTCGTCTTTGTTTATCATTTCTTCCAGGGTGGTGGTTCCCCCTATCTGGCCACTCTCCTGAACAAACATTCCCCATCACGTGCTCTGCGCTCCTCTGACCAAGGCCTGCTCGCTGTCCCTCGGTCTAGGTGTCGTACCCGTGGGGACCGGGCTTTCTCAGTCCTAGCACCGTTACTCTGGAACCAGTTGCCACCCTCAGTTAGGCTGTCCCCCTCTCTGCCAGTCTTTAAGAATCACCTAAAAACACACCTCCTCCGCTTGGCGTTTCCGGAACATGTTTGATTTTGGCCCTCTTTTATGTTGAATCCATTCCACAGTTTTCATTGGTACACTCAATCCATCCACTCAATCCAAATGTGTTTCACACATTTCTCCTTTACCGGACTGCTTCATCTATCTTGTAATTTGTATTTTGTAATTTGAATTTCTTTTATCGTTGATTTATTCAATATATTTACTTAACTGTACCATGTTCAGCGCTTTGGGCTTCCTGACAGGGTTGCGGAAGGCGCTTTATAAATAAAGCTTTGATTGATTGATTGATTGATTGATAGTTGATTTTAGCAAATAGCTGCAATACAACAAAAAGTGAAAAACTTGACGGGTCTGAATGCTTTCTGTACCCACTGTATGTGGCAGTTGCCTCTTGAATTTAGTTTCCTCTGGAATTATGACTTACTTGGGTTTTTAACTGTTTTATTCTTCATTGTCAAGAAAATGCTCTTGTCAGTAAATTCTCAGAAGTCTGTCAACCACATGAAGATCAGTTGTTCAAAGTCCTATCAACTGTGGCTTCTTCATAACAACCCTATGTGCTAGGCTAACTTCTGCAGAGCTGACACCAGCCAAGGCAACACTTGACTCTTCTAAATAACCCAACAGAGATCGGACTTGAGTTCTGCTACCTGAAGGTCTGTCTCCTGTCTTTTACACATGGATACGTCTCTAAACCAGTCAACATGGCTGCTCTCACTATTGTACATCTTTCCTTTCATTCTAGCTGAAACCCACTTATCTCGGGTTGCGAATGACAACAGTCACCAATTCTTGTCACGTGTCTTTGTCTTTGCCTATGTATGTCTGATCTCAGAGTTGTGTGTACTGAAACTCTAATTTCCCTCTGGGATTAATAAAGTATCTTTGAATTGAATTTGAATTGAACTGAATTGAATCACACCTCAAACCTGACACTGTTCTCTACCCACTCCAACCTGCTGCACTCATCTCTTCTCTTTTCAAACTTTTTCAGTGTGAGATCTTCCACTTTTCCTACTCAGATGTTGGAATTTCCAACAAGTCCAAAACAAATGCGCCATTAATACGGGAGAAGCACTACATCTAGAAACACTAGTCACAGAGTCACACCAGTGATTTTTTATTTGCCTGTTTTTCTTATTCATTTGGGGCTGATTATTGTGCCAAGGTTTTTAACTTTTCTTTTTCTTTTGGCAAACTAGTAAGAAAATAATTTTAAAAATGTGAAAAGTGACTTGATTAAAAGGTAATAGAGTTCAAATGTTTTGCACGTTGAGGTACATCCTTGGTTCCTACCTCAGTCTGGTTCCTACATTAGCCTGGTTCCTACCTCAGCCAGGTTCCTACCTCAGCTTGGTTCCTACCTCAGCCTGGTTCCTACATTAGCTTGGTTCCTAAATCAGCCTGGTTCCTACCTCAGCCTGGTTCCTACATTAGCCTGGTTCCTACATTAGCCTGGTTCCTACCTCAGCCTGGTTCCTACATTAGCCTGGTTCCTACATTAGCCTGGTTCCTACCTCAGCCTGGTTCCTACATTAGCCTGGTTCCTACATTAGCCTGGTTCCTACCTCAGCCTGGTTCCTAAATCAGCCTGGTTCCTACCTCAGCCTGGTTCCTACCTCAGCCTGGTTCCTACATTAGCCTGGTTCCTACCTCAGCCTGGTTCCTAAATCAGCCTGGTTCCTACATTAGCCTGGTTCCTACCCCAGCCTGGTTCCTACATTAGCCTGGTTCCTACCTCAGCCTCGTTCCTACCTCAGCTTGGTTCCTACCTCAGCCTGGTTCCAACATTAGCCTGGTTCCTACATTAGCCTGGTTCCTAAATCAGCCTGGTTCCTACATTAGCCTGGTTCCTATCTCAGCCTGGTTCCTACCTCAGCCTGGTTCCTACATTAGCCTGGTTCCTACATTAGCCTGGTTCCTACCTCAGCCTGGTTCCTACCTCAGCCTGGTTCCAACATTAGCCTGGTTCCTACATTAGCCTGGTTCCTAAATCAGCCTGGTTCCTACCTCAGCCTGGTTCCTACATTAGCCTGGTTCCTACATTAGCCTGGTTCCTACCTCAGCCTGGTTCCAACATTAGCCTGGTTCCTACATTAGCCTGGTTCCTACATTAGCCTGGTTCCTAAATCAGCCTGATTCTTGCCTCAGCCTGGTTCCTACCTCAACATGGTTCTTATTTCAGCCCAGTTCCTACCTCAGCTTGGTTCCTACATTAGCCTGGTTCTTATCTCAGCCTGATTCTTACCTCAGCCTGATTCCTAAATCAGCCTGGTTCCTACCTCAACATGGTTCTTACCTTAGCCTGGTTCCTATCTCAGCCTGTTTAATAACTCCTCTTAAGCTGTTCCACCAGCAATAGTTTCCTCGTGTTATTGAGAATAAACTGTAGAGGTAAAAGCTGCAGCTGGGTGTGCGTTTGGACTGAGCTTATAGCTTTTGACTGAGTTAATAAACAAACAAACTCACTGCTGTCTCACAGCTCTCAAACACGCAGCTCCGCCTGGCCTTCTCCATCAGCACCCTTAAAGCAAGATCGAGATGTTGCTGAACAACCTAGACGAAAACTCTGCGACAATTCCTCCCAGATTCTTCCGTACCTCCGCAGGTACTTCATGGCAACTGAGACATAAGAGTGGAAGGAGGAGCACACAGGTGGTCCACATCTGATGTAGACGTCATTTGAAGATTGGTGACTAAAATTTAGTGGTCAGCGAGTGTGTAGCGAGAAAGCATGGAATGAAACCGATGGTGAGGAAGGTGAAGAGAACAAAGGCAAAGGCAGAGCAGAGGACCAGGTGGTAGAAACTTAGAAGAGTGTTGTGTTTTCAGGAAGTACTCAGAAGAGCTGATGAATGAGGAAAAGAGAGATAGAGTAGGGTAGAAGAGTTGTGGATCAGAGAATAGCTGAGATGAGTAAGAATGAAGTGAGGAACACGTTGAAGAGGGGAAAGGCAGTTATTCCTGATCCACAACTCTTCTACCCTACTCTATCTCTCTTTTCCTCATTCATCAGCTCTTCTGAGTACTTCCTGAAAACACAACACTCTTCTAAGTTTCTACCACCTGGTCCTCTGCTCTGCCTTTGCCTTTGTTCTCTTCACCTTCCTCACCATCGGTTTCATTCCATGCTTTCTCGCTACACACTCGCTGACCACTAAATTTTAGTCACCAATCTTCAAATGACGTCTACATCAGATGTGGACCACCTGTGTGCTCCTCCTTCCACTCTTATGTCTCTCCATGTTCCTGATACTTGAGGTGCGTTTTCATAAAGTCTACCCCGTCTGTCCCTCTCCGTTCATATACTGAATACAAAACCCGCCCATCCCTTCCTCAGTTGCCTTCACAAACATGTCTGATAACATCTGCACCAATTATCCCTATCTTCTTTCTGGGGACACGCTGCATCAAATCATCTAGCTCACTCCAGAATCTGTGCTTCTCCTGTAGCTCACAGCCTACCTGTGTGGCATAACCACCAACTTCAGCTTCAGACTCAGCCCATCCAGTGCTCTTTGGACTCATCTTCAACAGTAGAAACGTTGAATCTTCATAGTTCCAGCATGACCTGTTCTAGTTAGCTGTCAAACCCTCCTTACCCTGAAGTTTGATGACATTTTTGTGGTCAAAGTTTCTCATGATTTCAGCCTCTTTCAAGAAATCCTGAAGGTCCTCCAGTGTGTGGATCCCAACTACGAGCGCAGAGACAGGAAACAGTGGTTAGAGAGAGGAGTAGATAGGGCGGAGTTCTCATGAGGGTTTCTGGACTGGTACCCACCTTTCATTGTCTTCACTGCCACCCTAACGTGGACTCCTTCCTCTGATGTGTAGAGCCCTTCATACACCGAGCCAAACTCTCCTGCATCATGACCCAGGGATCTCAGTGTTACAGAAGAGTTTGCTGCTTTCAAACTGAGCATTTCTCTACACTGACCGACCATATCTAATCTAACAAGACCACTTAAGGTCCCACAAGGCCGTCTTTGATCCACCTTTGATCAGTCAACATTCTCTTGTCCAACAAGACCAAAAGGCCTCATCTAGTACCTGAAACCTGAGGCTGCATTGATATTAGTTTATTAAATCTGACATTAAATCTTTTTCTTTAATAAAAAACTTGCTGGGTGGCTTGCCAACTCCGGGTCGGAGAGAGGTCCTACCTCAAGTGGAGGAGTTTAAGTATCTCAGGTGAGGGTAGGAGGGATCGGGAGATCAACAGGCGGGTTGGTTTGGCGTCTGCAGTGATGCGGACGTTGAGCTGATCTGTCGTGGTGAAGAGGGAGCTGAGCCAGAAAGCCAGGCTCTCGATTTACCGGTCGATCTACGTCCCAATCCTCACCTATGGTCATGAGCTTTGGGTAATGACCGAAAGAACGAGATCGTGGATACAAGCGGCCGAAATGAGTTTCCTCCGTAGGGTGGCCGGGCTCAGCCTTAGAAATAGGGTGAGGAGCTCGGACATTCGGGAGGGACTCGGAGTAGAACCGCTGCTTCTCCGGATCGAAAGGAGTCAGTTGAGGTAGTTTGGGCATCTGGTCAGGATGCCTCCTGGACGCCTCCCCGGGGAGGTGTTTCGGGCATGTCCTGCCGGCAGGAGGCCCCCGGGTCGACCCAGGACACGTTGGAGAGGTTACATCTCCAATCTGATCCGGGAACGCCTTGGGGTCCTGCCGGAGGAGCTGGTGGAGGTGGCCGGGGAGAGGACGGTCTGGAGCTCCCTAGTTGGGATGCTGCCCCCGCGACCCAGACCCGAATAAACGGAGGAAGACGACGACGACGAAAAAACTTGCTTAAACTTATTTATGACTAAAATCTAAAATGATGAATTTTAGTACCAAACACTTTACTGACCCAGGACCTCAACACGACCTCATCTAACCTCTACATTCCCACTCGGCTCACAGTAAAAAACCTCCGGCTGCACCAGCGCCGCTCCACAGACCCAGCTGTACAGGATTGCTGGGTTTTGTTTGTTAGTTTGAGATAAAGAGACAAAGTCCAAAATTCTGCAGTGAGCTGGTGAGAACTGACCTTTACCCAGCTCTTTGCCCAGGGTCAGCTGGTGTCTGTCAATCAGGACCTCCTTCAGACTGTCCAGCAACCTGCCACCCAGCTCCTCGAGCAGCTGGAGCCCCCCCTCTGGGTCAGAACCAGGACCTGAGGAGCCTTAGGGTTAGGGAAAACTCACACATGAACTAAAATATCTGTTTCTGTGATGTCTGAGTGACATCTAGTTTGATCTGCAGCATTATGTACTTCATAATGAAGAATAACACAAACAACGGTCTTTGTGTTGCCTCCAACATGCAAGTGATGCTTCAGAAAGCTGGAGAAAAGTCAGCTCATCTTTCTTTTCGTGCATCTAGACCCAGTTAAATAAGTCTGTCTGCATTAGTTAAAACGCTGAGGATATCAGAGTACATTTTTAAAATGAGTACTCTGCAGAATTAAAGATAATCTAACAGCTTTATTATTTAAAAAAACCACTGCTGAAAAGTTTAAAGTATTTTTTACTATAAATGCAAAAATGTCAAATTTTAAGCCATTTTAATAGCAAGTTTGCCAAAGGGCAGACTGAATGGTTAGTGAGACTTACTGTTGTCCTGCTGGGGTCCAGCCTCTACTGCCTGATGTTCTCTGTAGGACAAAGTCACCGGCAAAAGTTCCACTTCCTGGTACGACCTGTCAGAAATTTGATTTAAATTAATTAATTAATGTATTTAAGCTCCGTCGTTCTATCTTCAGCATATGAAGTCATAATTCAGTGAAAGAAAAACCACTAGCTCTTCTGTTTCTGCCTCCTTCAGGCACATATTTAAACTCTTCACTGTCTGAAGAAGACAAAGGCCCAAATTCACCAAAGTAGCGTAAATATTCCCTCTGTGCTCTTTAATCTCGCTCTCACAGATTATCTTCTGTGGTTTAGGACTGAAGAGAGATGAATCTGACGCCCTGGTAGCCTTGAGCTTCAAGCAAATAAAACCCCACAAAGGAATGCAGACAGATGCTGTGAAAACCTGACCCCCCCCCCCCCCCCCCCCCCGCCTTCGGATTGGTGGACTTCAGCCTGGCGAGGTCATCAATCTGTAGGAGTCAATGTGCTCTTTGCTTCTCCCAAGATCTCCCTCCCACCTGTGACTGCACAGTAGATGAGCGCCAGATGGCTGCTTTTGCTGGGGGAAACAGGATCCCAGCCCCCACCCCCCACCGCCACCCCCCGCCTTCCTGTTGGAGTCTTATGTTATGTTGTGTAGTCTGAAGTCTGTTGCATATCTGTTGAGGTGTTTTTTTGCAGAGCAAAACTGCCCTCCTGGTGTAGGGTTACTCTGAAGTGCCTTTTTTCCCTCCACCTGAACCAATCCTCATGTAACCCTCTTATCTCTATTAAGGTAGCACGACTCAGGGTTGCGAATGACCACAGTCACCAATTCTTGTCATGTGTCTTGCCCATGTAAGTCTGATCTCTGAATTGTGTGTACTGAAACTCTAATTTCCCTCTGGGATTAATAAAGTATTGATTGATTGATTGATTGATTGATTGATTGATTGAAAAAGCCAAATATGATGTGATGGGTGCATTTTGTTTTATTGACATACTCAGTTGGCACGCCCACCATTGATGGTGTGGGGTGCTAAACCTTTGCCAATGTGAGTTTTATTAAAACAAACGCACCCAGAAGTTTGTGTATAATAAGAGAACATGTTCCATAACTAAGAGACTTCCAGTTGTCTTCATGTCCTGACTCACTGACAATCTCCACCAATGAATCCCCTCATCTGAGGCTTCATCTTCAGTTAGTATGCCCCTAACCCTTATCAGGACTTAGAGTCAGGACAGCTGCAGAAAGACAAAGGGTTAGTCGACCGGACATGTTAGGAGAAGAGAAGCTATACATGTAGATCCTGCTGCTGATACCAGGTTAGTTCAGGTGTGTTTCATTCTTTCTCTTTCCCTAACCAGGGCCCTTGCCCATAGAACTTTGTATGGAAATTTTACTAAAATCTTTCTACGGTCAGCAAAAAAAAAATTCCATCCACAGTCCCAAACCAGCTCAGTGGCCTAGTGGTATGGACCCAACGCCTCCCTGCTTGACACTCAGCATTAAGGGGTTGGATTGAGGGTTAAACCACCAAATGGTTCCCGAGCGCGGCCGTGTCTGCAGCTCACTGCTCCCCAGGGGATGGGTCTAATGCAGAGAACAAATGTCACACACTAGTGTGACAACTGGTGGGACTTTAACTTTAACCCCCAATCTGGGTAACAGAGTTTGGACGGGCCCTTCCCCCGCCCGTATAACATTCCCTGAACGTATTTTTTTCCACCTCAAGCACTGTTAGGCAGGAGGAAACTTCATAAATTGTTTACGATATTGAACAAATGTCAGTCTGCCTGAACAAGCCGGATGCAGGAAACCCAGCAGGTGCAGGTGCATGGTGAGAGCTTATCATTTGGTTTCCACTGGACGCGTAATAATTTGACAATTAATGCACCAAAAAGTAAGTTGAAGATATTGGTATGAACATAGAGGAATATCTTTACTCTGTCTGCATTATTAGACTGACTAACGGACGTTAAGTCATGGATGGCTGCTAACTGAGGTCCTAATACTCAGTCCTGGTGAAAGAGCAAGAGCAGGTGCTGAGGTTGATCTTGCTCCCCTGGCTCAAAATGAGAAGACTGTGGTCAATAACTTGGGGGTGAAAATTGCTACAGCCCTTAAATTTAACGCATTAATAACCATGGTTGCTCGGGCATGCTTTTTAAATCTTAGACGGCTCTTCAAAATTAAGCCTTTCTTGTTAAGAGTCCATCTGGAAACTGTGGTCCATGCGTTCATCATGTCCCACCTTGACTATTGTAAGGATTTGTATGCTGGGCTGAGTAAAGCCTGGTTTATGCTTCTCCGTCAGCTCCACAAGGGACAGACACGCACGGATTGACGGAAGCGTTTTGCTCTCATACTTCTCCGTCTCCTGGAGAGCGTTGCAAAGCAATTGCCCGGCAGGACAACAGAGGGCGTAGTGCTGTTCTGTGGTATCCTGTCATGTATCGGTCCAAGATAGTGTGTTTATATTGTGTTTTTTGTGTATATAAGAGACTTTTTAACACGGACATGTTTGTCTCTCATCCTACTCCACTTCATGCGCTCGCCACCTCTAAACCCACGTTTCCTGTCATTTCCGTCCACAAATAAAACGCTTGCTGCGCATCTTTTCACTCCTCCAGTCACGGGAGAATTAAACGTTCATGTTTTTAGAGTTTTTTCGCGAGGTATTCTTCAAGCTGCTCCGTGTCTGCCGCTAGTTATCCTCGGCTCTCTTTATGTTTTTGAGGGCGCAATGGCGGAGCTGTAAACAGCGGCTGACCAATCACAAGCTTGCGTAATCCGTCTCGTTCGACGGATGTTTAAAAAAAGAGAGCTCGACTCCGTACGTACTTGTGTGCCTGCCGGAGCCCTACGCAAGGACGTTGCGTGTCTCCGCACTGACGCAGACGGAGAAGCTTAAATCAGGCTTAAGGCAGCAAATTCACACCTCCAGCTAGTCCAGAACTCTGCTGCCAGATTCCTGACCAGTACAAGAAGGAGAGACCACATCACGCCACACTGTAAACCAAAATGTTGAAAATAATCAAATATATTGAGTAGATGTAACTCATAAAAAAATTTTGAACTCAAATGTGTTGAGTTAGTTCAACCTTTTCCTAGTTTTAGGTGAATATAACTCAAACTTTTTAATGAATGTGAAAAAAACTATTTTTTGTGTAAATCAATAAAGAGCAACTTAACCTGAATGAGTAATGTTAACAAAAAATATTAATTTATTATTTTATGTTTCTATATTATTCTATTCATCTTTATGTCAGCTTAAAGTGTGTCTGAAAAACAGACTTATGTATTTCTTAATGTATTTGTGGATATATAGGAAAAAACTGCCACAAACAAGTAATTTTGGTGGATTTCAGGCACAATAAAGAACTGGTGGGCGAGGTGCATTGTGGGTAGTCGTGTTTTTAGTTATTTTGTTCTATTTTGGGGCGTTTGTGCATGTTTACTGTGGGGGATTGCTGTTCTTAGTTATTACTTCATTCAGTGTTGCAAATGTGGTGTTACAAATTGTATCATGTTGGCAGCATAAGTGAGGAGGTTGGTCAAAGGAATGACCATGCTGTGCCGTTCCACTTTAATTAACACTATAGTGATTCACACCAGATGCACCTGACTTGGCTTTGGGTGTTCCACTCTCGCTGATTGTCAGCATCTATGGGTGTGTGAATCGTGTGCTGTTAGCTTCTGATTTCGCCTGCCTGCCACATTATCATTTTAAAGTAAATCCTATTCATCTGGGTTAGTGTAGAATGTGATTAGCTACACTAAAAATTTTGAGTTATATCAACTTATGAGGTTTGAGTTAAACACATTAACATTTTGAGTGTATTTTCCAAATAAAACGAGTTGAAAATATAAAAAATCTTGAGTGAGTTACTTCCTAATTATGAGTTGAGGAATATCAATATTTATAAGATAACAGAGATAATTTAGGGCAACTGCAAATGTAATTTTTTTTTAAACTTAAAATATTTTAAAACATCACTATTATTGTGCAATCTGTTACAAAATCATTTTTGAGCTCTGTGAACTTATTGAGGTTTACAGTGCAGCTTTGCCCCAACACTGACACTGGCTTTTATATTTTCATCATTTGTATTGCACATTTTTAAATTGCTTTATTCCATTTTTGTTTTTACAGATTTTTATTCAATACGTTGTTTTTATTATTTCTCTATTTTTTATGTCCTGTTCAGCACCCTGGGCCTCTGCTAAGGTGGTAGAAGGTGCTTATAAATAAATAAAATAAAATAAGATACAATCTTAAAAGCAATATTTTCATTCAGTTTCTCCATTTTATCCTCAGTTCAGAGACAGGTAGGGTCTGACGGCTGGTCGTGTGTGTGTGTGTGTGTGTGTGGCAAGTACGAGGGTTTAAATTGACCAATTAACCAATGTCATTGGCAGCACGTTTCATATTATCAGGAAGTCTATTAGACGTAACAGAAAAACACACACTTAACCTCTGACCTTTGATATAAACAAAACAAGAGACTTCTGCTGATCCTGAAAGGAGGAAGAAACAATCAGCTTCAGCATGAGGAGGGACTCCTACCTTTTTCAGAATCAGAATCAGAAGTTTTTATTGCCATATGTGTGCCAAGTCACAACATTAGGAAATTGCTGCGGTATTTGGTGCAGAAGGTAAGATAGAAAAAAAATTAATTAAGAGATAAGCAAATATAGGAAGTACTACAACACTCATGATAAAATTATTAATGTAAAAAGTGGCAAAAGTGTAAAAAGTGGCAAGAATCAGAGAAGCAGCTATCTACCCCGTATAGGTACTAATCCGAGTGTTTACCTGAGTTTGCTGCGGTTGTTGTACACCACACATCCTGCAGTAAGTATGACCACCATCAGCAGCAGTGTGCCCAACACGACAGCAGTGATCCACGACGATAAATGACTAGTGTGTGGGGACTCAGTAGGACCTGAGGTGGTGAATGTGGGACCAGCAGTGGGAAGAGGGGTTTTCCCTAAAAACCAACAAACGCGTGGCTCAGTTTGTCATCATGACAGGCAGAGAAGAAATATTTAAAACTTTTAAATCTAAACCTTAAGCCTCAGAGCTTTCAGGCCCTCAAAATCCACTCATTAATAAAAAGGATTATAGAATGACTCGTAGAAGAAGAGGTGAAAATACAACAACTACTAGTTAAAGGAGTGGTTCACTTGACAGTCAACACACTTGCAGTAGGCTCTAGTAGGAATGAATGGCTGGAAAATTGTTCTCAGGGGTAAAAATACCGGTGCACCATTTCCAGAACTAAAAGTTGCCCACATCACAGCTGAGCAGCTTTTGGACTCTTATTTTCTGATATTTGGACATCTGGCCTCAGATTGGATAACAGCAACGCGACACCACTGACTTGTAACGAGGACATTAGCCACGTTTACACGCACCAAATTTCCCCAATCCGGTTCAGATCTTGGTTTATCGTAAATCCCAAATCTCTGTTCACACAGACTCTAACTAAAATTATCCGATCATGCCGTGAGTTCACGTGCACCAAGCATTCAGTCAGGTTCAATAGGCTGAGCATGTGCAGAGTTGTCTTTCCCAGAAAAAAATGTAAACAAACGCCATCTTGTTCGCATGTATTTTCCCTCACACTTTTATAAATGATCTTTTATTGAAAAAAAAAGCATATAGGGTTGTACATTTACTCATGACATTGAATATGTTCTATTGTCTGTGAAGGTTCTCAGTCATCCAGGTCATTGTAGTCTAATGAGCTTTGAAAGAAAAGCGTCTGGACTTCTTTGAGTTGCTTGAAGACGTTTCACCTCTCATCCGAGAGGCTTCTTCAGTTCTAAGCAGTGTTGCCAGATCCAAAATCCCACAATATCGTACAGAGAGGCCTAAATTATCGTTTTTCAGTACGAATTATCGTACATTATAAATTTGATAATAACGTTCTATAAACGACTTCTCACTCCAATATATATTGGAGTGAGGAATTGGCCACATTATATAACCTTACAGTTTCTCGCGAGAGTAGGCCCTATCGATGTGATTGGGTTATTTATTGTACAGACCCAGAGTCAGTTTTTGTAATAGACACAATAGCATAAACCTGTAAGCACTGAGGTGAAATCTGACTTCAGAACAGTTTAAAATTATGTAATTGACTTGGGAAAGCCACAGCAAAAGACGGTGTTACTAGATGCAATGTGAAATTATCGTAAATTTGAGGATTTTTGAAACTATTTATCGTACATCGTACAGAGCCCAAAATTATGGTACAAATACGATAATTATCGTACATCTGGCAACACTGGTTCTAAGGTCAAATGGTGGAGAGTCCCAGATTTAAACCCAGTGGGAGTTCCCCCCCGAAGAGGGAACAAAAGACCCCCTGATGATCTTCTACATAAACACATGAGTCAAGGTGTGAGGGTGGGTGTGGGTCCTATTCAGCCAGAGTTTCGGGTGAGCTCATTGTGAAACCTGGCCCCACCCTATCATGTGAATTCCTGAGGTCAGATGGCCCAGGATATGCGTAGGCGTTGAGGTATCTGGGAAGGGATCTCAAAACTGGATTATAGATGGCAGACAGTTGGTGTCGTAAACCACCGCCTCTGTTCAAAGATGGTTGCTCACAGTGGACATAAATGGCTTCCTTTACTCCTCTTTCAAACCATCTGTCCTCTCTGTCCAAAATGTGAACGTTGGCATCCTCGAAAGAGTGACCTTTGTCCTTTAGATGCAAATGAACTGCTGAGTCCTGTCCCGTGGAGGTGGCTCTTCTATGTTGTGCCATGCGCTTGTGAAGTGGCTGTTTGGTTTCTCCGATGTAGAGGTCTGGGCATTCCTCGCTGCACTGTACAGCATACACCACATTGTTCAGTTTGTGTTTAGGAGTTTTGTCTTTCGGGTGAACCAGTTTCTGTCTGAGTGTGTTGCTGGGTCTGAAGTACACGGGTATGTTGTGTTTGGAGAAAACCCTCCTGAGTTTCTCTGATACACCGGCTACATAGGGGATGACAAGGTTGTTGCGTCTGTCTTTCTTATCCTCCCTCGCTGGTGTCTGGTCTTCTTTTCTGTGCATCTTTGCTGACTTTATAAACGCCCAATTAGGATAGCCACATGTTTTAAGTGATTCCTTTATATGTGTGTGTTCCTTCTTTTTCCCTTCCGGCTTAGAGGGAGCGTGTTCTGCCCGGTGGTGTAAGGTCTTGATTACTCCAAGTTTGTGTTCCAGAGGGTGATGTGAGTCAAAGAGGACGTACTGGTCCGTGTGTGTGGGCTTCCGGTACACTTCAATGTTGAGGTTTCCATTTTCTTCTAAGTGCACAGCATTAAACAAGACATTTTCTGTTGTTTCCTGGACACTAAACCAACAACAGACTTCCCCGTTGTGAGTCTAGATGGGTGAGTCCATGAGTGTTAAGTGACAGTGTGACGTAGATCTGTCAGGCTTTTCTATCCCAGAGTTTCTCCACCTGTCAGAAGCTAATGCAGGAGATAGGTGTAGGAGACGATTTTCATGTTCAGCCTGCATGAAAACCTCAGAGTGACTCGTTAGAATCAGAAATAATAATTTAAAAAGTTTTTATCAGCGTTCCACACCTTTAAATAATTAATCTGAATGGAAACAGTCACACAATGATTGGTTAGTGAAGGTTGTGGTGAAGGAGAGCTTCATGTCAGGGAAAGCCAGTCTAGATATTCTGGTCCTGAACAGGTATGAAGAACAACAGATCTCCTGTGTGTGTCCGCTTCATATTCATGCCCATCTCTGTGTGAGGTCACACTTTCTGTCAAGTCTATTTCACTAATTATTATTTATTGAACTCTGAAGGGGCACCAGATCCCTGGTCTGTACCTAAAAGAGGTCAGAGTTCAGGCCAGATGCTCTCCTCAGAGTTAGAATCAGAAAACGTGTGTGATGTTCTTACGTCTGTGAATACCGACAGTGGCTGACGCTGGGTGATGGACCCCCTGAAGGGTGGAGATGTCATTCCAGGCCTCCACTGACAGTCTGTAGTCACGCCAGGGGTTCAGGCCCACGATGATGACGGATGTGTTTGCTAGATCATCCGAATGTGGCTGGAAAACCACACCGTCTCCACATCCCTCCCACTGACCAGCAGCCTCTGCTTCCTTCTGACACCTGAGCCGATACCTGATGTCCCTCCTGCCTCCCCAGTCACGAGGAGGGTCCCATGACACCTTCAGGGTGGAATCATTATGGAGAGCAGCTGTGAGGTTGATGGGAGCAGAGGGCAGTCCTGTAGATGCAAAAACATCTAAATAAAAGCCAAACCCGCAAATGTAACATTGAACAGGCTCTGCTCAGAAAACTCCTCTTAAACCCGACAAACTACGTCATTTAAGACAATCAGAAAATAACAACAAAAGGTTGAATGTAAATATGTGTTTTATGAACAGTTGGTTGTTTACTAAAATTAAGCCTGGTTGTTTATTTTCTGCAGTGAACTTTGTTTGTGCAGGTCTTCAGAATGTAGGTTGAGGATCTACTCAGAGATGTGATGGAGTTCCACATGGGTGGGTGGCAAGCTACTTCATGAAGCTGCTCCAGCTCCACCAGCAGAACTTTAACACCCATGTGGGTGATGATGGCAGAGCCCCAGGAGGAGCGTGAGCTGCTGGTGGGTAGTACTGGTCGTGGGTCACCCATAACCAGTAACTCTACAAGGCACCAGACCCTCTTGGTCCAAAATCAAAGATGAATTTAACAGAATCACACCCGAGTCTCCCCAGCAGCAGGATGCCAGGGATGGAGAGGGTTCTCCTGAGACGTTAAAGGCATTTAGAGGGGCTCTTTTGGCTGACAGCCCCGTTGAGGACCAGTAGACTGGAGCCATCACATTACAGACGAGATGCATGAACAGGTGTGGGCGTTGTCTGAGGAAACCTCACTGCTCCATCCACTTTCCAACATCTTTCCTCCTGTAGGACAGCTATTCCAAGCCATAAAGACGAGGTGAGCACCACCATCATCTGAGTCCCTGCTTGACCTTTGGTACCCTAACCCCTTTCAGCATCCTGCCCCCTATAGACGTCTGCATCTTTATTTTTACGTGTTCCAGTGAACTAATGTTGGCTTGACAAGCGACTTGCTTGTAAATGAGCTCTAAACGTGGTCATTTTGGTATTTGTTGCTTCTTACTGGTGCATCCGAGGTCATGAGGATCAGATGGTAGGCGGCTGAATCCCTGCAGACACTCACAAATTTTTGATCCCAGATTCTGGGTCCTGGTGTTTGGTGGACAAAGCTGGCATCCCGCTCCGCCACTGGCTGGTTTGTAGTATCCAATGCCACAGGCTGATGAAACAGACAGAGTTCTGTTCAGGGGAGGTCTACTAGAGATTCAAGATCTGCTGAGATCATTCATGACCTTCAGTCAACAGAAGGTCTCTCAGAAGAGAAGGCGAGTCGTGAGACATTTAACTGTATCTTCTACATGTTAAAAGTTGTGTTGATATTGTGGTCAAGTTAAATAAAAATTAAACGAATAAAAACAATTCAGCACGTTTATTTAAAAAAAAAAACCCAGACCAAGAGGCTCCGCCTCCCTCTCTACCGGAAGAGCCAAACCATGAGATCCTGTTTACAGGATCCACCACACTGGGTGTCTAGAGTCTGTCTGTCTGGAAGCCCCCCCCCCCCCCCCCCCCCCCCCCCCGCCCGCCCAACTCACCTGTACCAGTCAGGTGTTCCCAAACATCTCCTAACTCCAGAAACATGAATATCAGATCAAACAGTAGTAGGAGTCCACACCTGGTCTATGTTTCAGTCCCACTCATGACCTATTTGGTAACGTGCATGCGTGCGTGCGTGCGTGCGTGTGCGTGTGTGTGTGTGCGTGCGTGTACATTAGACCAGTGTCAGATTGGCCGTCTGGAACCTGGCCGCTGATCTGATCCACTCAGCGAGCCAGGTTGGGTCGGTTTGATGTCTAAACAGACGACCCGTCGTGCGGCCCATCGGGGCTTCTGCACCACTGAAGCTCACATCGCCTCGCACCTAAAACTCAAAAGTGACTTCCGTCTTTTTGGGAATTGGAAATGTATTTCGAAAGCACTTTTCACAGATAAAATCCCGATGTGCTTCACAAAAGGAAGAATGATGAAATAATAAAATTGTTCCACAGAAAAAGTTTCCTGACTAAAGACACCCAGTCAGGTCAAGAAGTAAGGAACAAATAATAGAAGGAGGAAGTGAAAGTGGCGAGTTGTTACTTCCACGTCTATTTTATGTCCACGCATCAGAAACAAGATGATGATTCATAAGTCAGCAGCTTGTTCCTGTGGGACAGAAACGCACACAAAACCTCACAATAACATCATGGCCCGGTCTGCTTTAGGGCGGTGTGTGATCTTACGCTTTGATTGTAACTGAAACATTCTGGACTTCGAGTCCAGAACAAAGCCTTTCTGGAACATCTGTTAGATTTTAATGACTTGTCTAGGTGGACTAAGATTATGACAAGTTTGGTTTTGCATTCTGATGATGTTCACGCTACCCAAGGCGTTTCATGCAAACACGGTGTTGATATCAGTCATTTTCCAGCCGCACAAATTTTCATAGAGGCTGAAGAACCCATTAGCCCCGCCCAGCCCAGACTGGTACCGCCTGGCCCAGACAGCAATCTGAGGTGTAACTACAAACATGAGAATATGGTGCAAAAGTTAAAGTAATTCAGTGACGAACTTAGACTGAGAGACCACCTAAAGGCTCAGGAAGCCTTGTACGGGGTTCTGATTAGAGTCTGACACTTTGAGTCTACAATATTGAACCTGTTCACAATTTTCTAATAGTCTGAGATTATAAATGTTTGGTTTTAATAAGCTGTAATAAAGGCTTTAAAAACATCTGGCTCTGCGTCTGTCCCAAACCTTAGTTTCACCTTTGAAGTTGAATTAAATGAACTAACTTTGCACGCTATTCAGATTTTTAGAGTTTTACACGTTTGACGGTTAAACAGAACAATTCCAGGAGGGGCTGAAGGTAAAAATCAAGGAGAGCTGGTAGAACATGACTCCCACAGAGATCCAGGGTTCTACAGGGTCAGCAGAGAACATGGGGTCAATGGACCACATGGAGCAGGAACCTGTTCATCAGGTGGTTTAGGAATTTTTATTTTTTTTTACCTGAAACGTTTTAATTTAGTGTTCAGCATGTAAATAAACTGATAATAAAAACATGTGTACTCATACCTCTACAGGTGTTATCCATCTCTTCATGCCCATCTTCACAAGTGCACCCACCTTCCAGGGACCCCCACACCCCATCCTCATTACACCCTCTTTTAGGTGGGGACACCACAGCGGCCCTCTCAACACAGGAGCCAGATACGGACTCTGAGCCGGCCGCCGCAGCTCCAAAGAAGGTCAGGTTAGACGAAATGCTTGGACACCTTCTGTGGAACAGTCTGAAGGAGGTCAGAATCACACATGTTCCTGTGTAGGAGAAAGCAACCTGGAAGCCTCTGCGTGTGACCGGACCCAGACTCAGGGCCCTTCTGAGGTTCAGGTGTTCGATCACCTGGAGTAGAGTAGCTGATCTAGAGAAGGGTTTGGAGATGTAGAGGTCCAGGTCAGACCGGCCTGTCTGAAATCGACTCATCGGCGTGTCCGTGTTGAAAAGGTACACTCTGAGGGGGCTAAGCGGAGCAGATTCCTCCTCCTCTTGGTCCATTTTGACGTCCATCAGTAAATAATGGGCTTCTTTACGCTCCATCCAGTGGCTCAAGATGCTTCTGTTCTGTCTTTTCCCACAGGCCTGGAGCACAGGCACGCTCTTCCCAGGAGCTACTGGGAATGAAAATGCATTCCACTGCAGGGAGAGAGGACACCATCAGAGCTGTGGTTCTAGGTTTGGCTTCAAAACACACACACACACACACACGCACACGCACACGCACACACACACACACACACAGAGTTTTATCATTAGTCTCTCTTACCTGCCCAGGTGGCTCTGATGTCCATCCCAGTTGAGTCAGTTCATCAGAACTGAATATTTCCACTAAATAACAGAAACCTGAACAGTTACTTGCCTTCAGCTTCTGGCTTACGTCTCATAAATGCTTTTTATGGCAATAAACAGAAACAAATTCCAGTTCCAACCAACTATTGTCTCTTTCTGTAAAGCACCCTTAAAGGTCCAAATGTGTAACTCAGTTTCATGCATTAGCTCTACTTAAACCTTTCTTTTTCTCCACTCATATAAAGTGTTTTTAAAAGGTTATTTATGTTTAAATTAAGTTATTTTAACTTTCACTTCTTTCTCTAGTAAGACTTTACCAAATCAACTCAAATGAAGAAACTTGAATCCACAAGTTTACGAGCTGGAAGAACGCAGTACTGGTAATGTCCGACACTAGTTCAGGAAGGTCATGCTGTGATGTCAGCTGTTCTATTATTTGTATGTCTGTCTGTTGTCTTGTCTGTACAAATGCATTTCTTTTTCTTTTTGGAACCTGCATTTACTGCATTAACCGCTAAACTGCAGCACATTCCACAGCTTGGCTGCCTGGTCACTAAAGATTCATTCATTCATTCATACAGGACAAAAATCATAGACAACATACGGTAGTTTATTACCAGACCTGAACAAAAACGTCTTCATAAACATAATTAAACCTTCTCACTAAAACGTATAACTTGTGTACTAAAAATAAACCACATGTATTCCTTGTCAAAAGACAATATTAATGCCACAGTAAGGGAGGTAAGGGCCAGAGAACACACAGATTCAGATCACTGGGCAGGCCAGTTTTAAACAGTCGACTTAAAGAGCAAGTCACCCACAACCAGATTCTTACTCAACTCCCACTTCCTGTTTGAAAAATGCAACAAATGCTGTTGCCTAGCAGACTGAGAGGGTGGAGCCGCTAACAAATACACACACTCACAACATTGTGACACCATAATGTACCATCTAACATCAAAGTGTACCTCTTAGCCAATAGCGACGGCAGATTTCAATTCAAATGCAGTGCTGAGTTTTTGCCTGACGATGGTGCATCTCTGAGTTTTAGGCAGAATTTTTAAATTTTAACTAAGATGGACTAAAATGCCAAATTATTGACTACATTTGTCTGCAGCACAATCAGACACTCATTTATGTAGTTTATCAGCAAAAAAAAGTTTATTTGGAGTGACTTGCTCTCTAAACACAAAATTAACAAAACACATACTAAAGAAAAAGCCAATTTTACATAGAAATGACCTTTGTTTGTGCATACAGGCAAAACAACTGGGAACACGAATGTCAGTAAGACAATATTTGAATCCTTTTCTGAGAGCCTGCAGCTCAGGTTGAAGTTGTTGTTGCTAGCCTAGTGAACTGGACCAAATTCTTGCTTTGCAAAGTTTGGTCAAGGAACGCTCCACTGGAACCTCTGCAGCCCCTAACAGCATTCTCCCTGGCCAATCGCAGCTCTCTAGAGGGGTTTCAAACACACAAAGAGCTGTGACTGGTCCATAATGGTGGGCCAATCATAGTGCTCTATCTGCTTAGTGAACAAATCACAGAGCTTTATCCGCTTTGTGGGCCAATCAGGGCACTCTATGTGCCTGGTGGGTGGGATGATGCAACAGAGTGAAACAAGATGGCGACAGCTGGTCTATTAGAACTTGGGCTTCATTGGAATCAGGAGCAGATAGATGTATTTAAGTGCTTTTTTTTAAAGAAAAAAATGATGCATTCTCCTTTTTCAACTGCTGACCGCCACATTTACCGATAGCTGTTGCAGTGAGTATGTCACATTCACTGTCCAATAGCATGCGGAGATCATTTGAAAGACAACGGTAGAACCCGCCCCACAACCGAGAGCCGTCAATGGAGCGTTGCCAGACTAAATAATGCATTTATTATTACATTAATATTATAATATATATTATAATACATTTATTTAGTCTGGCTTGCCAGGCTATGCTGTTCCAGCATTTAGGTTTAAAATGAAAACATGGATCAAATGAGCTTTTTAGGGTTGCTTATATAAAGATCATGCATCAGTCCAAACCCAATCACTAGTGGACCTGTGGAACATTACTATCTGGTCCTCAAGGATAAAGGACTCATGGAGACACTCAAAGGGAAGTCCAGAAGGAACATCTTCATTTACAGCTGCTTCCAACTCCTCCTGAAAATGGGAAACATGTTTAGTAAAATCATGCTAAGCTAAAAGGACACAAAACCACGACTTTGCATGTAAGTAAGCCTCTTTAGGGCAAGAAAGGAAAATGCACAGATTTAATCTACAAGATTTTTTCACAAATAAAAGGAAAAGATAAAAAATCCCAAACGACCTCGTGGGTGTTACAGATGTCCGTGTCCTTCAGGTGCAGTGGAAACTCAGCCATGGGCGCTGTTCTGACTTTTGAAGAACAGGTAAAAATGCTTCATAGTCTTCATGAGTTTTTTCAGCACCTTGTTTTTGTAGAGCCTCAGACGTTGAGGTGACTACTGGTCCAGCCAAGAACAGGACTGTTGCAGGTTCTGGTTTGTGATCCTGTGGAGATCCGTGTGGAGCTCCACGGGTGAAAACCAAACATTTACATACTATTAGAGTCCACATTTACAGAAATCAAGTAAAGCTTTAGTTTTTCTAATTTAATTTTATTCCATAACTTTGATTCAAAGTTGTTATTTTGACCAGGCTGGTAACCAGCAGCTTTTTAAACCAAACATCATTTTAAAAAATAATTTGTAGTGCAGAGCGGACAAAATGATGTCCATTACATTTGAAATGTGAAGGGAATCTAAATAGTAACGCCAAAAATGATCAAACATATACATACATGGCATTTAATCACTGCAGAATCAAAATTCAACATCCTTGTCAGTAAGAGGGGCCTCAGTGGTGCTCCCATGGACGTAATTTTCACTTTAGAAGTGGGGGGGACACGGGGGGGGGGGGGGGTAACTTTACAGTATGCTCTAATGGGAAACAGGCGTCAACACAAACGGTTGTTTTCTGCTTGGTCCTAGAGCTCAACCAGTGTCAATTTAACATATCGTAATATTGTTTTTGGATGGTAAAAAGTGCAGGGGTCAAAACTTGACTTTGGAAAAAGTGGGGGGGACATGTCCCCCCCCCCCCCAAAAAAAAATTACGTCCATGGGTGCTCCATTGTCTGGGCCGTGGTCAGCTCCTGGCCGGGGAACTCCTCTGAAAAATAGAAAATAAAGTTGACGTAAAATACGACAGTTCAATCAAACATTGTTTAGTTGTCTAGTCCTCAGAGTTTCTGTATCTCACATTACGTTTGTCTGTACAAGGCCCCACTTAAGAGAAACACTCGTTAGATACAAATGATTGACAGTTATTAAAGAGCAAGTCACCCCAAAGCAACTTTTCTTTACTGATGAACTATATAAATGAGTGTCTAATCGTGATGTATGTAGTAAATAATTTGGCACTTTAGTGCATTTTAGTTAACATTTAAATATTCTGCCAAAAACTGTCAGTGTTGCGCCGTCTTCAGGTAAAAACTCTGCATTGCATTTGAATTCAAATCTGCCATCGCTATTGGCTAAGAGGCACACTAGGGCGTTAGCTGGAACGTTATGATGTCACAATGTCATTATGAGCCTGTGTGTGTATGCTCCGCCCTCTCGGTCTGCCAGGCAGCAACATTTGTTGCATTTTTCAAACAGGAAGTGGGAGTGGAGTAAGACTATGGTAGGGGTGACTTGCTCTTTAACTCTTTCCAAAAAGCAGTTTACGCTTTTCGGTAATAAATTGATGTCTTCATTTTCAAACAAAAACATGGGTATAAAGTGCTTTTTCTAGAATATAACGTAGCAAAAATCAAGTTTTTGAGTTTTTTCAGTCTCGTGTAAAAATATATCAGACATGTTTTCACTGCCCTGTCATTGAGACGCTGTCATGGTACTAACATAACTAATCACTTTCCAAAGAGATTGTCTTGTGCTGTATTACCCTTTGATTAACCTTTTAACAATATTCAGTATTATAACTGTTAAGGTAAAATCTAAATCACTGTATAGCATCACAACCACAAAGCTTTTTAACCTGCTGTTGTTTTGCAGATGGTTACAGCTTTAGGTCACTTCGTGTTAAATGTTGGACATCTAGCACCACATATGACTTCTGAATTAGCCCTCCCACTGTCCTAATGGGGGTGACCCCGCGAGGAAAGTTGACCATTGAGCAGGAGGATTGATGGTTTATCCCTTGGGTCCACGTGGCAGGAGTGAGGAGTGAGCACCACCTCGCCCCTGCCACGTGGACGTCAAGGGATCAACCATCAATCCTGCTCAATGGTCAACTTTCCTCGCGGGTTCACCCCCATTAGGACAGTGGGAGGGTTAACTCGGTAATTGAAACAAGGATAAAACAAAATGCAACGTAACAACATTCTTACCTGATGTTAAAACATGGTAGTCAGTCTTTTTCAATCAGCCATGATGGTTTCTCGCTCCTCTTGTCAGTACAGGAAGAAAATGGTTCCTGGGCTGGGCTGGGTGCCTCATGGCAGGCACACAGGGTCACCTACCCAATTCCGCAGGGCCCAGGGGCGCCTCAAGAAAATTTTGATAGGGGTGGCCAGATGGGGCCAAAGACATTTTTGGGGTGGCACATCCAATTGGTCCTAGTGGTAACGCTGGGAGAATTTAGCCTGTGGCGATGTACTGCATTGTATCTTTACATGTTTTCATTAAAATAACAGTACTTATAAATTTTACAAACACAAATATTTCAGTGGTTTAAAATGTTTTCCATAATTAAATTTAAAAATATATTTTTGGGGTGAATTAACCTGTTGCTGTGTTAAAAAACTATGGAGATAAAAACTTTTTTTTAATGGTGAGCAGCAGAAACATGTGTATTTATTTAATTCTGATTATTTATTTACTCATTAATTGTAATTTTTTTGTTTTATAATTACTACCACTACTAAACTTTATTTATATAGCGCCTTCACATGGCCCAAGGACCAAACAAAGCGCTGCACAGCAGAAATAAACATAAAAAATAAAAACATATAAAACCATTTAAAAACCAACAAAAACATGTAGATAAAATCTAGGTGGGGCAGCAAAAAAGTGCTACGCCTTCCGTCAACGAGACTCTTCTTGGTTAAAAGCTAAAAAATAAAAGTGTGTTGTCAGACGGCTCTTAAACTTGCCGAGCGTGGTGGCCTGTTTAACACATGTAAGTAGCTCATTCCAGAGCCTCGGCCCCAGTACCGAGAAAGCACGACCCCCTCGAGATTTTAATCTGTGTTTAGTAACAACCAATAGCCCTTGTTGCGCTGACTGAAGGTTCCTTGAGGGAACATAAGGATGGATCAGATCTGAGAGATATCGTGGAGCCAACTCATGTAAACATTTAAAAACAAACACTAGAACTTTAAACGAAATTCTAAAGGAGATTGGAAGCCAGTGTAGGGATGCCAAGACAGGCGTGATGTGTTCAGATCTCATGGTACCAGTTAGTAACCTGGCTGCCACATTTTGGACCTTCTGCAGTTTCGCTATGGAGGCCTGCTTGATGCCTGCATAAAGCGAGTTACAGTAGTCCAGTCTGGTGGTAATGAAGGCGTGGATGACAGTTTCCAGATGTTTACGTGATAGCAGCGGCTTAATCCTAGCTATTCTCCTGAGATGGAAATAGCAGGATCTGATTGTCCCATTGACCTGGCTGTCCAGTGTGAACTCTACATCCAACTTCACCCCGAGGTTGGTGACCACAGCCTTCTCAAAAGGTGCTAATGAAGGAGAGTCAATCCCTTGGGCACATTCATGTTTGTTTTTCGGGCCGAACAGGATAGTCTCAGTTTTATTCTGGTTGATGAACAATAAATTCTGAGCCATCCATAACTTGACCTCCTCCAAGCAGTCCAAGAGTGGTTTGAAAGAACTTGAGTTATTGCATGATACTGGTAAATAGATTTGACAGTCATCCGCATGCAGGTGAAACTTGACGTTGTGCCGACGAAACAAGTCACCCATCGGCAGCAGATAGAGGGAAAAGAGGAGAGGTGCCAGGACTGATCCCTGAGGCACTCCACATTGCAAATCAGCAGTATCAGACGAACAGTCCCCCATTCTTACACAAAAATTCCCCCCTGACAGGTAAGATTTTATCCACTGGAGTGCTGAGCCTGATATTCCCACCCAGTGCTCCAGTCGACCAATCAGGATGTTGTGGTCTATGGTGTCAAATGCTGCAGTCAATTATGTCTTGAATAAACAAGATCAATATATGATTTGACTGAACATTAATATGATTTGTTAACATTGGCTTTTCCTGGGGGGGCAGCAATTTTTTGGGCCTGGCCCCCCCTTGGGGACGCCCTTGGCAGGGCCTGCTGTGTTTGTTTACTTAAAATGAGTTCATGGACATCAACTAACATAAAATAAGTATATCTAACAAAATTTAGATGTTTAAGTAATACTTGCAACCCTGAAATAAAAGACATGAATCTGCTGAGTTAGTAATGAACGAGTTTGCCATTGTAACTTTAACATGTACATAATATGTGTAATAATATGATTATAATTCACCTAGAGAGTCTGCTTGTAAGCAGGGGTATGCTGAAATGGTGTAAATCAAAGCATGAACAATTCCCCGAACATCACTGCTGCTTAGGGTTAGAGTTAGGGTTACCCAAACTCTGGTGAGTAGCCTGCTGTGTTTTCTCAGAACAGTGGTGCTGAGAGCAGATTCCCCACAGTTTTGTGTGTTTGTTGGAGGCTCACACCTTCACATCGTGTTTGAGATTTCTTTAGAATCTCGGCCGATTCTGATTCTCAACCTTTACCACCAACGGTTCTGGGAAGAGATCTTGTTTAGCAGAAGGTCCATGCATTTTCAAGTGGAATCTGATTAACGTGTTGCACCGGCACAGTCTACAAAATAAATAAATACATTTTAACTGACGCCATTTTAGGTTTTTAGCTCAGTGTTTTAGACTTTTTACAGTTAGGGCTAAATCTTATTAAGTTACTATTAACTGATTATTTATTGTTTTAACAGTGATATAATTTAACCAGCTAATGAAACTGTGAATGAATACTCACCTTCTTCTGCATGATACTGTGAGTTACAGCCTGAGCTGCAGACAAACAGCAACAGAGTAAAACTAGTCCAGATCTCCATCACCACCCGCTCAGTCCGGCTGACGGTCAGAAGCTTTCAGGAATGCGTGTGAGTTCGTCTGTATGAGCAGGCTGGAATTTGTGCTTCCTCTTTCATGATCTAATTGAAGACATCCCATGAAGTAATTTCACAGTTCCTGCTGCTGCCACCGGTCTACTCATTCCTATACACATTGCCAAGTAAACAGTTCTTAGGAACTGTACTAAAACACTAAATGTAAGCATCAGTTTACAGGTCATCCACTGGGTCATGTCTCCAATGTCTGCAAATCAACCTGGAAGATTTGACAGCATCTGGGCTGTGATCAATACACAAATCCACAGCCAAGGCTGGCCCATGAGTGGCTGCTGACTAGCCCGCATGGCCTTTCCTATTGCTCCACATCTAGAGTCAGACCAACCAAACTAGAATTGTCACATCCAACCTGACCCAGTCTGAAAAGTTACGTTAGTTGGTCAGACTGGGTTGGGTTTGGTCAACCGAGAGCAAGGAGACAGTTGTGGGTTTCTGTCAAGGGGCAAACTCTGCTTGGGACAACAGGGGGGTAGAAACATCCAGAGCCACTGTGCACAGGCGTGTGCAGGAAATGGGCTAAAGGTGCCGCATTCCCCAGTTCAAGCTACTTTTGAACCAGAAACAGCGGCAGAAGCGCCTGACCTGGGCTACAGAGAAGCAGCACTCGACTGTTACTCAGTGGTCCAAAGTACTTTTTTCGGATGAAAGCAAATTTTGCATGTCATTCAGAAATCAAGGTGCCAGATTTCTTTATGTTGGCGTCCACGAGGTCCGCACGGCTCCACGCGGCGAAATAGCGTCATTTTAACAACCACGCCCCTCCACCGCGCCTCCGCACGGCCCAAAATTTCCACAACACGCACCTAGGAAAATTTCTAACCACGCGGACGGTCGGACGCGGAAAAACATGAAGGCTGGCAAGAACTAGTATGGCAGAGGTTCGTAAATACAGACATTTGTATGATTCAGCTCTCAGAGATCACCGTGATCAACATGTTGTTAATAATTCTTGGAGAGAAATAGCTCGCACTGTCGGAAAAGACGAGGACGCTGTTAAAAACTGCTGGAATGCCATGTTGTAAACAACAGTAATTTCTACTTCTACTATCGTGTAGTGTTGGATGCATGCCGTAGAGCTCCATGCTGCCCCCTACAGTTTGGGAGAATATTGGCTCACCGCAGAGACAAGCCGCATGAACCATAAACGCTGTGAGTTGTGGAGCACGTTCCATCCGCGAGCCACATCACCAAGCGGAAAGTAAATGCGTCAAGCATAACTTTAGAGAGCAGATTAGTTTTCACTAGAAAGCAAGACAGCAGCCAGACAGCTCTGTTTGGATCCTGAATGTTTTAATGCAGATTCAGGTTAATGTCACACTTTTCAGCACATAGCACGCTTACTGTCTGACATTATGAAACATAACCAGGTGGAACAAACATCAACTCAAACATGTAATCTAGTAAAAACCACCACATGTATGAAGGCATGAAACCTTTTCCATTTTAGTTAAATGGTGCAAAGTTAACATTACAGCCAGTCATAAATAATAAAGTTTTAGGCTTTTTAGAAACTGTAATGTATCATCATCAGAGGCAAATATCCGAACTACGAACAGAAAACATTAAAAGTTGTGGGATTGAGACCAAAGTATGTTGATGTTCTGCAGGGAAAATAAAACTATTTCAAAGTAAAAAGAAGCAGAATGCTGTAGTAGATATTCCAACACAAACTCGTGACATTCTCTCATTAACCCTCCCACTGTCCTAATGGGTGTGACCCTGCGAGGAAAGTTGACCATTGAGCAGGGTTGATGGTTTATCCAATGGGTCCATGCATGGACGTAATTTTGGGGGGGACAGGGGGGACATGCCCCCCCCCCCCCACTTTTTCCAAAGTCAAGTTTTGACCCCTGCACTTTTTACCATCCAAAAACAATATTACGCTATATTAAACACTCTTGACACTGGTTGAGCTCTAGGACCAAGCGGAAAGCAACCGTTTGTGTTGAAGCCTGTTTCCCCTTAGAACATATTGTAAAGATACCCCCCCCCCCCCCCCCCGTGTCCCCCCTCTTCTAAAGTGAAAATTACATCCTTGGGTCCACGTGGCAGGGGTGAGGAGTGAGCACCACCTCACCCCTGCCACGTGGACCTCAAGGGATAAACCATCAATCCTGCTCAATGGTCAGCTTTCCTCGCGGGGTCACCCATAAAGACAGTGAGAGGGTTAAAAAAATTAACCTAGTCTGAACTTTTCTTTTTCATTGGCACCAAAGTCTAATCTCTAGACTTCATTGCCGTCTGTAAATTAGTTTACTGCTACCAGAGGGCTTCACACACCATTTAACACGACATCTTTAAAATAAATAATAATAAACTGTATAAAACTGACTGATTTAGATTCTATTTTCTCACAAAAAAATAAAAACTCTATTGCATCCGAGTGAAAAGAGTGAATCTGCCACAGAACCCAGAGGTTTGATCATCAGAGCGCATCTCAGAGCCTGGATAGTCTGACGTCTCCCTCCTCCTCGTTTGTGTGTTGGAGCTCCAATCTTTGTCAGAGACAAGAGGTTGTAGATTTACTGAATGACACACGTGTCTTTCTGCTGCTGAGAGTACTTCCTCCTGCGCTGCTCCAGGCCCCGGCTCAGGCGCTCGTCCTCCTCCAGAGCTCTGGACAAAACAGCAGAGACAGACATGTTTGTGCATTGTGACCATTGATGGTGCTCTAGATGCTGGACGACAGGACAAGCCCAGAACAGACTTGCTTTTTGTTCCAGTGACATGTAAAATGTTAGAACTGAACTTTGAAACAATACATTTAAAACTTGAATCATCATAAAATACAGCAGCTGCAACTCATTAATTCAGCTAAACATGAATATCTGCTTCAACCCTATTTACTTTATACACAGCTAGGTAATAAAAGCACAAAAGGTCTCCAGGTTCAGTTCAGATTTGGTCCGCAGACAAGACCAAAGTGTGTAGGGACTTCAGTTAACAGCAGATTAGAATTATAAAAGATCGACTAGTCCAACCGTCTCTAAATCAGGGTATCTGCAGGTTTAAGGGAACCAAATTTAAGACTTTTTAAGACCTTTTTAAGGCCACTTTGACCAAATTTAAGCTATTTTTTAAAATTAAATTTAAACTATAATTTCCAGCTATTGCCTGGAACCAGTGCGAACCACGTTGCGAAAGTGGGATTAGCCATCCATTACCATAAAAGTTGCACGTCCCCATGGTGCAATCTCCCACTAGCTTAAACAGCTAACGTGCTCATCTAAAAAAGCCCCCTTTCATAACCAACTGAATGTGTACGGTTCCGCTTACGCCAACATCGTACACAAAAAATGCTGAACACCAACTAGAAATTCATGAAAATTGAAATAAAATAATCTTGTTTATTGGGTCTTTGGTAATTTAAGACCTTTGGAAACTGTATTTAAGGATTATTAGTAATTTTTAAGTATTTTTAAGTCCTTAAATTTGGAAAAGCAAATTTAAGACTTTTTAAGACTTTTTAAGGACCCGCAGATACCCTGTAAATATAGGAACTACAGTGGTCGGCATAAATGAGTACACCCCACTACGTTAATCAGAAAACCTTTAGTTTCCTCTCAGAAACAACATTTTCTGAGACACCAAACTACAGAATACTCCCACTAATGCGGGCCGTTGACTACAAACTAGATTTGGTCGTTTACACACAAAACAGGGAATTTATAACAAATCTATTAAAGCCCATGTAGCAAAAATGAGTACACCCCTTATAGTCTCAGGAGAAAAGCCACACTTAAGCCCCCTTCAGACAGGCCATGAAAAACGGAAATGTTCCGGAATCTGTCCGTAAGACCTTTCTGTCTGAATACAAACATCCGGATAACGTGTTCCGGAATTTATCCGGACGAAGCCCCTAGTAACAGGTCCGGACTTGTTACGGACAGAGTGGCTGCTTCAGACTGGTGAGGTAAAGTTCCAGACAAGAGGGAGGGGGTAGGAGGAGGGGACCGGGGGACGCTGTGCGCACCTAGATAGCCCGCTGCTGTAGCATGCGGCGAACCACGGCAGCTCGCCTCCTACGGTGCCGCCTAGACGCGCGACGGAGCACTTCACACCGCTTCAGTGATTCCTTTAACCATTGAGCTTCATCATCCAGGTCTCTTATGCGTCTTCGTGTGCGCAGAATTATGCTTAAGCGCCTCGTGATTTTTATCTTGAGAGGCGCTATAGAAATGATATTTTCTTCTTCTTCTTAACATGGGTCTGATTCTACACCCCCCACCCCCCCACCCCCCGCCGCCACTGTCAGACATCTGGAACTTTTCCCTGCTGTGTGAACGCAGCCGAAAGGACAAGTACAAAAGTGGTGTGTCTGAAAACACAGTTCCGGTTAAAAACCGGATTGAATTGTCCACAAATGTTCCAGAATGTCTGTCTGAAAAGGGCTTTAAAGACTACAACATTCAAATGAACAGACATTCAACCACAGGTGAGTCTAAGGATTCATGTAAGAGGTGTCCAGCAGACAGGTGGCTATAAAAGGGCGTTACCTAACAGGGAAAAGCCCTTCATGCTGGCAGCAACGGCTCCTCGTGGAAAAAAGGTGAGGGCTACAAGAAGTCAAGCTTTACATATCAGTCAATGAAAGATGGAAGTGCGACCATCTCACTGAGACGTCCAGGCCGTCCACAGAAGTTAACATCTGGACAGGAGCATCTTCTGATGAGAAGGGTTGAAGAAAATCTCCATGTAAGTTCGCTGCAGTTAGCTAAAGCAGCAGAAAGCCAAACTGGAGTGACCGTTTCCTGTGACATCATACGGTGCACGCTGCAGGGGAATGGCATGCATGGGTATCGTCCACGAAGGAAGCCTCTCCTAAAGCCCACGCACAAAAAGCACACCTAGGATTAGCTAGGGCCCATGCTGGAAGAGATGAAGACTACTGGGACTCTAGACTCTGGAGTGGTGAGGCAAACATCTCTGGTTTTGGAACTAATGGTTTCAAAACTGTACGGCGTTGTAAAGGCGAGGATTTCAAAGAGAAAAGCATGGTGCCTACAGGGAAGCATGGTGGTGGCGGTGTCCTTATGTGGGCTGCGTGAGTGCTGCTGGTGTTGGGGAGCTGCATCTCATTGATGGCATCATGAACTCAACAATGTCCTGCTCTATACTGAAGGAGAAGATGCTGCCATCACTCCGTGCACGTGGTCGTCGTGCACTTTTCCAACACGACAGCGATCCAGAACACACATCTAAAGCTGCTGGTGCATCTCTGAAGAAGAACAGGGTGAAGGTGGTTGGATGGACAAGTGTGTCTCCTGATCTGAACCCAGTCCAACACCTGTGGGGAACTCTGAAGCAGCAAGTAGAGCATCACTCTCCATCCAGCATCCAGGCTCTAGAAGAGGTTCTCCTTGAAGAACGGAAACAGACAGATGTTGTCATCTGTCGCCATCTTGTTCATTCCATGCCTAGAAGACTTGGTGCTGTCCTTGGAAACCACGGTGGTCACACAAAACTCTAGATGTAGTAGTTTTTGTTGTGGGGTGGATTCATTCCTGCTTCAGTCAATTTTAGTAAAACTGCAGATTTTGTATCTAAGTTTTATTATTAACCTTAATTTCATGTTATGGAGTTAAACACGTGTTCACTAACCCAGCCTGGTGAACATTCTGGAAACTGTTCTTTTGTTCTTCGAGCTGCTGATTACATTTGTGTTCTTTAAAGAGGGTGTACTCATTTATGCTGAGCTGTGTATAACTTAGAGCTATAGTTGACATTTATCCCTTCCAGCTTCCTGACTAGTCCTCTGACAGTGTGGCTAGGTCTTTAGTTCTCTGAGAATGGGCGTGTCCTAATGGGGGGATGCCCCACCCCTTCACGTTTTTATGAGGCAATTTGGATCCAATCATGATTTCCACTTGGTTTTACCCAAATCAGGTAGAATTTTATGTGACGTTTATGCTGACGAGGTCTTTGACCACACTACCACGGCTCAAGCCATTTGTGTCCCCTCCCCAAACACACACTTGAATAAAATAAAAATGTCTGCCAGATAACTGAATTGCAGTGTGTGAGTGTGTTACCCTTTCTCCTGGGCATCCATATTGTGGACCAGCTGATCCCTCTGGTTGACCAGAGACACCAGCTCCTGGAGCAGCAGCTGTTCTCGCTCTCCGTGGACCGGACTTTTCTGACTCTCTGGACAAACAGAAACCTTTTTATCGTAAAATGAAACACGAAAAACAACAAATCCTACTCTCTTAATGTGGTTTTCACGGAAAAAGTGTTTTATTGTTATTTCTGATTATTAAGGGACTCGCCAATCTGGCATGAAACAATCTCATAAAAGTGATAATTTAGGAGGAGAGGGGAGAATACGTCTGAAGCTACTGCCTCTGCTAATCTCTGGTTAGAAAAATCAACAGAACTTAGAAAATTGGGTTTACTTGAAACACAATGAATCTTTGACAGTGGAACTATTTTAGGATAGCAGAAATACTTTGTGGCCTTAGCCATGCCTCTACTAGCCATTAGCTTGTCAATCTGTCCCTTTCCCAAAGAGTGAGGTGGTGCCTGTCGCCAGCAGGAACCTGGTGAGAAACTGGGAACACCCTGGACACATCTCCAGTACATCATAGTGTTATGGAAATTTTATGTTTATTAATTCTTGATCATTGATTCAAACAACTGAATGTAATATGTATTACTCTATGCCTCTTTGCATGCTCAATTATTCAGACACAACCACACAAGCCACTCACACACACACACATTCTCTCTCTCTCTCTCTCTCTCTCTCTCTCTCTCTAGATATGTATATATAGATATAGATATATAGATATATATCTATATCTATATATACATATATATCTCTTTATAGATATCTATATCTATCTATCTATATATATACATATATATCTATATCTATATATAGATATGTATATATATAGACATATCTATATATCTAGATACATCTATATATATATATATAAATATAAAGATATCTATATCTATCTATCTATCTATCTATCTATCTATCTATCTATCTATCTATCTATCTATCTATCTATCTATCTATCTATCTATCTATCTATCTATCTATATACATCTATATATATATATATCTATTTATATATATCTATATATATATATACATCTATCTATATATATATATATATATATTTATATATATCTATATATAGATATATATGTATCTATCTATCTATCTATCTATCTATCTATCTATCTATCTATCTATCTATCTATCTATCTATCTATCTATCTATAGATATAGATAGATAGATATATGTATATAGTAGGGGTTGTATGAACTAGTCGACTAGTCGACTTCACGGCTCTGTAGTGACTTTTTATGCCTGTCATCGACTAGTCGCTGTCACGTGATAATGACTGACAAGATGAAGTCCTCGGAAAAGACAGCAGGTGACGAGCCCCTGCGCGTCGGTTGGGAGGCGGAGGCGACGCGCTGTGCCAGAGCGTCGGTACTGACAAGGGCGGTAAAACGGACATTTAACCAAACTGTGACCTTTTCCCTCTTGCAATTTAACCTTCCCCTCACCCCCATCCTAATCTTAACCAGTTTGCGCATGCAAAGCTCTGATCGACATCTGCGTCCTGAGCACCGCCAAATCAGGTGTCACCTCTTCAATAACAAATTAAACACGCGATCATTCATGTCGGCTCATTTCCTTTTATGTTTTCTGTCTGTTATTTGTGCCTGATATGTTTCGCTGCTGCGGAGCAAGGCTCACCACCTGTTTTGTCCTCCGGTGACGCACCCCCAAAATTCCACTATCTCCGCTCCGGCACGAACTTCGCAGCAAAAACGGTCCCGTTGTAGTTGGCTGGCGAGCAGCGGCACTCCGCTGTTTTTGCGGTCGGTAGATCTTTTAGAACTGCAGTTCAAAGGTAACTCATGAGGTGAATATATATGAACCCAGGTAGCAGTTTCTCTTTAGGATTGAGAGGAGATGCAGGAAGATAATAAACAGGCAGGACAGAAAAACAGTCAAATAAAAACAAGTTAGTTTTTGTACCTGCTGGTTGCAACAAACAGACACCACTGAAGGTAATCAGAAGTGAGGAACAGAAAATGAAATAATTATTTTAATGTTTAGAGCAGCAGGAACTCCTAGAGGCTGCAGGCGCATCAGTGAGTTTGTGGCCGCTGCGCAGGGGGAGGGGGGAGAGGGCTGAAGCAGAAACTACCGTTGTTAAAAGAGATGTGTTTAACTTAGAAAATGTGGGCGCAATTTTAATTGTCAAAAACTCCAGCGAACCTAGCGACACCCCCCCCCCCCCCCCCCGTGCTGCTTCAGGTGTATGACGTCATCAATGACTAGTAGAAGTCGACTCGATTTTCATTACTTGACTGTCGACTGTAAAAAAAATTAAGTCATGCAACCCCTAGTATACAGTATAGATATATCTATCTATCTATCTATCTATCTATCTATCTATCTATCTATCTATATATATATATATATATATATATATAGATATATAAAACTGACAATACAAGGTGAGAGATGCACAAACTATAAGAGTGTTTTTCCCTCTCATTAGCTAAACATCTGACAAGAGAACTAAAACGAGAGACTTAAGTTTTCTGAAACTATGGGGGCATGTGTGTGTGTGTGTGTGTAGTGCTGTACCTTCTATTGCCATCAAATCTCTCAACTCTTTGGTTAACAGCTCAAATTTCCTTTCCAAATCTTGCTCTTCCAACCTGTGGGCAACAAAAGAAGCATCACGGTTACATGTCAACAAAACAGAACGATCATGGGCAGGTGACCTGGGAGCTTTCTTACTCAAAGACTAAAGGAGAGCAGAACACGTCTATTTTATACTTCACACAGACACTGATTCCACCCACAAAACAAAAGTTGTGGTGGAAGTTAGAAGTATCTGGGCTGCATGGTGGCGCAGTGGTTAGCACTGTTGCCTCGCAGCACGAAGGTCGCAGGCTCGAAACTCGGCCGCGGCCTTTTTGCGTGGAGTTGAAAGTTCTCCCCTTGCACGCGGTTTCCCCCACAGTTCACAACATCCCTATAGGTTATAAATTGTAAGTTGCTTTGGATAAAAGTGTCTGCTAAGTGAATAAACATAAACATAAATAAAAATTTTACTCCTAAAGACCACAATTCCAGACTGCACGAGTGCTTCCTAGAGTTTCTGAGTAGTAGACTGATTTCTCAGGCTCCTCTCTGGTGGAACCAGCCTTCAGTTTGTGATCAGGAGAGGAACAGAATCAGGTGTGTTGCTGTCTGTTTCTTCCTCATGTAGCCGAGTGGTAAACTAATATTTCCCACTGTACAAAAAGTATTATCTTTAATGTGTTACAAGAGGCTGAGTATGTTGCTTCCTTTGTGTTACAGCCGAAATATTACGGGGTGATCGTGTAATGTTTATTTTGTTTATCTGGTTGGCTTGAACTCAGAAAATGTTTACGTGACTTTCCTGCTGTTACACGTTTTGGCCAGCAGGGGACAACAGCTAAGGTTTACCACATCTAAGTGGGAAGGACGGTGATGTGAGTTCCGGTTTGACGCGCTTGGGTGTGTACGGTTGAAATCCCACGATTTAGTGCACTATATCGAAGAGAAATTGGTAAATATCTCTATGACTTGTTAAAATAATTGACCTTGTTCACATTTACATGTTAAGCAGACAGTATTCTAACAAGATGGTTTGTTTCTGTAACGGATGGTGTAGAAGACCTGCATGGGTGGCGTGGGGCGGCTGCTCCAGCGTGTAGAGAAAACCTGAGATTTGTGTACTGCAGTATCCCGTGTGAGCTGAGATACAGCGCTGTGAAGCTTTTCTGAGTCGAGTTGAGCCACTCGGTGAAAGATACGCACAGGTTTTCTGCCTCTTCCAGGCTCTTCAACTCCTCCTGCAGCTGCTGGATTGTATCGTGGATGAAGAGCAGCATGGAGTGGTAGCGGGCAGTCAGCTGGGTGGCGGTAAGCTTGGTTTATGCTTGACGCATTTACTTTCTGCTTGGTGATGCGGCTCGCGGATGGAACGCGCTTCACAACTCGCAGCGTTTATGGTTCATGCGGCTCGTCTCTGCGGTGAGCCAATATTCTCCCAAACTGTAGGGGGCAGCATGGAGCTCTACGGCATGCATCCAACACTAAACCGTAGTAGAAGTAGAAATTACTGTTGTTTACAACATGACATTCCAGCATTTTTAACAGCGTCCTCGTCTTTTCCGACAGTGCGAGTTATTTCTCTCCAAGAATTTTCTTTCTCAGTGGCCTAGTGGTAGAGTGTCCGCCCTGAGACTGGGAGATCAGGGGTTCGATTCCTGGTCGGGTCATACCAAAGACTTTGAAAAAATGGGACCCAATGCCTCCCTGCTTGACACTCAGCATTAAGGGGTTGGATTGGGGGGTTAAACCACCAAATGGTTCCTGAGCGCGGCTGTGTCTGCAGCTCACCGCTCCCCCAGGGGATGGGTCAAATGCGGAGAACAAATTTCGCACACACACCTGTGTGTGTGACAACTAATGGGACTTTAACTTTAAATATTAACAACATGTTGATCACGGTGATCTCTGAGAGCTGAATCATACAAATGTCTGTATTTACGAACCTCTGCCATACTAGTTCTTGCCAGTCCGCCATGTTTTTCCGCGTCCGACCGTCCGCGTGGTTAGAAAATTTCCTAGGTGCGCAGTGGGGAAGGTTTGGGCCGTGCGGAGGCGCGGTGGAGGGGCGTGGTTGTTAAAATGACGCAATTTTGCCGCACGGAGCCGTGCGAACCTCGCGGACGCATCTAGCATAAACCAAGCGTAACGCCGACACGGCTGCTGGTGTAGGTTTCCTCCAGAACCTGCTGGGCTAAAGATGAGAGGCCATCGACTTCTCCCTGCCGTGAAAGCACCACCTCAAGAAAACCCTGGAGTTTCTTCAGCTGACTCTGCTTCGTGGTTCTATCCGACCGCCGGTTATTTCTGATATTTGCCCCCTTCTCCGTGTCCTCCAGCCACTGAGCCAGGTTCAGGAACCTGTGGCCCATCTGCCTCAGGCGGGTCAGTGTGGAGTGCAGCTGGGCCAGAGTCTCCTCCAGGCGGCTCTGGTGGGCTGTCCACTCTCGCTTTGCTGTGTCCAACGCTCGATCCTCAATCTGAGGCACATCCCAGAGACTAACCCTCTCCCTGCAGGTGAACGCTGAGGTGAGCAACGCCTGGCCTTTGGAGCAGTTTTCCTGCAAATTTTGTAGCTGCTGCAGTGTTTTCTCCAGCGTGTCCACGTTTCCTTCTGGATGAGACAGTGACGCCAAAGAGGCCAGCTCTTTGGACGTTACAGGTAACGTAAAGCCTAATCAGCTACCTGGGTAAGGGACCGTAGAGCTGGATCTAGTTAATCTTCCAGAAGGCGACAGTGAGAACAGATGATATGCACGATGAGAAGGGCGAGGTGTATGATACGTCTATGGGACAGTGTGTCATGGAAGGGAGGGCGTGGCCTATACCTTTAGATGATATGTCTGATATGCGTAGTAGTTTTTTACGTGAGTGATTACCATACCGGACAGTTATGGATGCGGTAAGAACACGTTGAGGGATAGCAGAGTAGAACTGTAACAGGATGTTTTAGTTGTCCAGTTTGAATCTTTTATTGTGTTTTTTTGTAAGTCGGTTCTGAGCGCTGTTTCCATCTAAGTAAATTTCTAAATCTCCTCCTCTCCTTGAGGACATCATACTACGGACTCCAGCTTTACGTTTCTGTTTACCACGAAGGGTCAGGATTGATGACCTCAGCCTGTTAGACAGTGGTCTGCTTTCAGAGCGACGTGCTTCACGAAGAACCTCCAAAAAGTGACTTACAAGAGCTGCAGATGCTCCTGCCTCCGGATTAAAGCATTCTTCTTGTTGACCAGTGTGAACCACTCCTGAATCAGCCTCTCCTCCTCCACTTTGTCACTGCCTGCAAAAATAAGCGCATCACCATCACCCGGCCCAGTCCCGACTCAGAAAGAGTTTAGGGATTACAGCAGGAAACTCACTAATCTCACCTGTCCGTCTCTCTCTAGAGATAGTAAACCCAGAAATGCACTTTTGCTTCATGAAGCAGAGTTCCTGTACCTGTTTCCAGTAACTGTCGGAGTCTCCTCTCCACTACACCAGCTCTGGTATCAATGTGGTTCTGTTCTGTCTCCAGAGCTTCCAGCTGGCTCAACACATACTGGTTTGGGTCCTAAAACATGTACGCACACACACACACACACACACACACACGGGGTCAGGGGTGGACTGGCCTATCTGGCATGGTCCCGGTGGGCCGCCTAGCCAAGTGGGCTGCTTGCCCAGCTTGGGCCGACACTACTCCAAAGTTGATGATCTGAAGAACATTAGCGACATAGTAACCTGAAGCTAACAGAGTTTTCCAGATGTTTTTAGCAAGAAAAACGCGGTAGAGTGATGACGTAGGAGTTGTTTTACCGCGTTAGCATGTAGCTAATGTCCCGCTGATCTCCGCCCGTGAAGAATGAGCTGATCTGGAAGGCCAGGGCTCCCGGTCGCAGCGGTCTGGCCCTGCTTGTAATTTAATATTCCCAGCCCATTTTAGATCTCACATTCGGCCTAGAGACGAGTCCGTGGGCAGAAACACCCCCCACCCCCAACGCTCTACCAATGGGGAGGGCCGACGATTCGTAAAAATGCCAGGGGCGAATTTTGGTCCCAGTCCACCCCTGCACAGGGTTTCAATAAAACACGACTGAATAAAATAACAAAAAATAAAATCAACAAGATAAAAAGTTTTAAGTTCGGCCTTTCAAAATAATAGTCTGGTTTAGTTCTATAATACTTGTAGAATTTGAGCCCAGTAGAACCAGGGGTACAGCCCCAGCCCTCTCCAGCCTGGCTGGGTTGATTACAAACACATTCTTAGGAATGCGGATGTGACTGAACATATGGGCGGTCTTCAAAGTTGGCGCAAAAATATCAGTGATGTCATGAGTGCATCTCCAAGCATGTGGGCGCACAGAGGAGTCTGTGGTGTCTCCCTTAACTTAAACAAGAGCGGCCGTGTTGCTCTTGGAGGCATCCTGCTCTACTGTGTCTGTCCTGGTGCAGCTCAAGCGTGGCAGTGCCGTCTGTGTGCGTGCTCCTCAGAAAGGGACACAGAAAAACACGGCTTCAGTCAGAGGCTTGTTTACTCCACAGTATCCAGCATGATAATGAATCATGCACGCAGGATGCCCCGTTGCCTGAATCTATGTGCCAATCGGATGCTCCACCTAATGGTAGGCGGGAAATTGTGCCAGTCAGTCAGTCAACAATGGGTGTGTTGGACCAGTTCAGGCCGAAGCAGACTGTCTTGGGAAGAGGGCTGAAAAAACATGCGGAAAGAAAGTCCAGGCTGTGCGGATGTGAACACTCCCTACCCAGTCTAGGCGGAGTAGAGGCGGCGCTCGTGTGGAAACCCTATAACTCACCTGGCCTGCTGGTCTCTCTTCATCAAGTACCACACCTGTTCTCTCTATAAAACAAATTAACAGAACAAATAAAAAATTGGTGAAAAGAGACATGAAATCCACATAATTGGGTCAAGAGTCAAACTAAAAGAGCAGAAAATTTCTGACCTGGTTCCGACTTCCTCTGTTCCTGCCCGATACCAACCTGAGGATGTTGGAGAGAAAAGGTAAAGATGAGAAAAATACATTAAAAAGACAGTTAAATTGATCAAATGAACATACCAGTGAAATGTCTCCCTCCTCTACTGACCCGCTCCTTCTCTGTGACCGACGTTTCTTCACCAGATCTGCATCTCTGACATGAGAGAACCCAGACTTGGACAGAAAATGAGTCCTTGGTGGTGCCACGGGACCCTGCAGCCGTGTTGATCTAGGAGGAGGAACCATCTCTTTACAACTTTTGCTGTCTTCCTCTGTTGAGTCAGAACTCCCGGTGCTCTCAAGATTCAGACCCTCTTGGAGTCTTTGGGTACAGTATTGAACCATGGCCTCAGGGTCTTCCCGGTTGTCCCGGTTCCCTGCTACTGCATAACTGGACTCTCTGCTATTCTTCTCTATATGAAGCACACTGAGCTGCTGGCCTGTGAAATGGGTCCGAATCTGGTTCAGGTAGGTCATGACGATTAGTCGGTCAGGCACGGTGAGCATCACCATGTCTGAGGGATCGATAAGTCGGGAAATACCAAGTTCAGCAAAACCATCAAACGCCTGGAATACAGACAAGTTAAAAATGCATGATAATATTATAATGATAACTTCATAAAACCACCATGTTTTCCACAACCTTTTTGTTGTTATTCTTGATGTCATATGGGTCCAGCATCTCAAAGTTTCTAGAAACAACAAAGGAAGTGAACAGCCAGCTAAAACATGCAGACAGGAAACCACTAACAAACAAGCGTGTCTTACACTTTTTCAGGATGAAAGTAATGCAAGATGGCACAGAAAGCCAGTCCATTTCTCCAGGATGTGCTGAAGTTTGTTATCTTTAGCCCCTTGTGACCCAGTGTGACCTCCTGACACCACTCCAATAGAGACTGACTAGACGACACCAAGGTGGGACTCTGGACCACACACAGGTAAACGACAGTAGCAGCAAGACATGAGTCGATCTCGCACCAAATACAAGAAGAAACAGAACTACCTGAAGCCTGTCTCCATTTTCACTGATAAAGGTTGGTTTATGCTTGACGCGTCCGCGAGGTCCGCACGGCTCCGCGCGGAAAAGTAGCGTCATTTTAACAACCACGCCCCTCAACCGCACCTCCGCACGGCCCAGAATTTCCGCAACGCGCACCTCGGAAAATTTCTAACCACGCGGACGGACGGACGCGGGAAAACATGGCGGACCGGCAAGAACTAGTATGGCAGAGGTTCGTAAATACAGACATTTGTATGATTCAGCTCTCAAAGATCACCGTGATCAACATGTTGTTAATAATTCTTGGAGAGAAATAGCTCGCACTGTCGGAAAAGACGAGAACGCTGTTAAAAATGCTGAAATGCCGTGTTGTAAACAGTAATTTCTACTTCTACTATGGTGTAGTGTTGGATGCATGCCGTAGAGCTCCATGCTGCCCCCTACAGTTTGGGAGAATATTGGCTCACCGCAGAGACGAGCCGCACAAACCATAAACGCTGCGAGTTGTGAAGCGCGTTCCATCCGCGAGCCGCATCACCGCGCGGAAAGTGAATGCGTCAAGCATAAACCAAGCTTAAGACTGTCAGTGTGTGCTCAGAGCTCATATGTTGCGTTCAGACTGTCGCTTACTCAGCTAACTTAAAAACATTGATAAAAGTAGAAAATCTGACTCACATTCAGAGAAGAAAGGGCAGGGTCAGGACCTTTCTGAGGTGTTGTGGGTTTAATGTCTTGGTGGACACCAACTTGTGACTTGGTCTCACATAAAGCAGAATCACTCAACTGTTTCTTTCCTCGACGCACAGGATCAAGACGACCCGAGGACCCTTTGTTTTTTTCCAATAACCTACAAAGACACCAAATAAACCAAAGCAATATATAAGTCTACAAGTTGCTTTCTGACCATGGTCGGTGTATTTTCTTTAAAACCACACACACTGACACAGATTCTTAGAGTACAGAAACAAAAATGAAAAACACAAACATCTCAGTTATAAAAATATCTCCTTAAGATGTTGGTTCTTAACTAATCTTACCTTGGATTTTCTGAAAAAGCATCAGCTCTATCTACAGACACAAAGCCAAAGTCGAAATCTTCATCTGTCACTTCCTTCCTTGTGTTCATTTCAATTGGGTCAATGTCGGATACATATTCAACATAGAGCCAGTTGTCTTGAGAAGATTCAACAGAGACACAACCAGACATATCTAATTCCAGGACCCTTCCGACATCGTCCTTCTCTATGGTGATTTTTGGTTCATCTGTGGTGGTCCAACTTTCAGTGATTTTGTCCAGAACCTGTACTGGATCCCTTGGACAGTGTGACTGAGGCAATACCTCTTGCATTGCTTCTATCACATCTCTCTCTAACTGTGATACAACTTCTCTTTTGGCTGAATACCGACATCCTTCAGAGTTCAAACATGAATCTACGTCTGCTGAGTATTCCTTGGTTGTATCATCTGGGTTTGTCTGAGCCATTTCATTCTCTCTGTTTGCCAGTGGTACTTGAACTGGCCTGAGATGTCGCTTGGTTCTTTGTGATGGAACAACAAATTCTGACTGTTTTTCTTTGGCTGCTGTAGGACTCACTGTATCAGCTTTATCTTCTAACTGCAGAGATGATGAAGTAAAGACATTTTTCTTTACTTTTTCTTTTTGTTCAGTCATGCTAGAGGGTCGTTGTCTCTTTAGTTCTGCACCTATCCATTCTGTAAATACAGGTGATTCTGTGGAAGAATGAAGATCTTTACTGTGTTCCCCTACTGATGAGGAAGTACTCAATCTGAGACCATCTTCTTCTTTTTGTGCTACCTCACTATGGGATGCGTGAGATGTTCTCTCTGAGGATGTGCAGACATCTGTGAAGGAGCCACGGAGGTTTTTTTTGGTACGAGGCCGTGGGACAGGATAAGTAGTTTGTTTGGTCTTTTCCACCTCTTCTGTCACATCTTCTGCCTCTTGAGTTGTAGATGAATCAAAACATGTACCAACTGCTGGCTGCTTTTCTTTTTCCAAACCAGCCACAGTAGTGTTGTAGCGCTGGATTGGCTGAACAGACTCTTTATAGGAAACATTCACATTCTGCACAGTGGTTTTGTCCCTGGTGTTTCCGCCTATTGCTAGTTTTGGAAGATGAATCTTCTTGATGATTGAAAGAGGGGCTTGTTTAATCTCTGCATTTAGCCTTGAGGGGATGCTTTTCATTTCCTTTACTGTTTGAGAACCAATCTGAGAATGTATGAAATGTTTGTTGGGCAAATTCAAGTCGTAGTGGTAGTTATCGCTGTCCATTGATTCAACTGGTTCTATGTTTGTCTGAAGAGAAGGACTCAGACACAACTCAGGAACTAGGGATTGCTCTTTAGCCGTCAGATTGTCCTCACCTTTTATTTGAGTAAGAATGTTGTTGGTGGCCTTTTCGCTGGGACTGACAACGCTCTGCAATAGCTCAAGACTATCTGATGTACTAGAGCTTTTATTAAAACGATTGGGAATAAAATCCAAACTAAACTGGAGTTTTGTGTCACAGGGAAGGGTGGGATTAGAGGATGACTCTGTAGGAATTTCAAAAGGAGCCTCCTTCTTTTTGGTCTGAACTGAAGGTATGCCATCCAGTTGTTGGTCTGTTGTTTGACTATCTTTTCTCCTGCAAGGCCTTATTGGAGCATAATTTCTCCCATCACACTCCCTTGGCTTAGCTTGAACTTTTCTCTTTGTTATTTTAATTTGTTGAAAACCAGCAGCATCAGTTTGTGGTTCCACACAACTATTGTCGTGATGTTCCGAAGATCTGTCCAAGAGAACATCAAATTGGACTTTGTTGTTGGCATCTTCAAGTGATTCATTTGATGATGGCTGAAGAAAAGTGGCAGAAATTTCTTTCACACTTGTTTGTTTGAGGCTTTAGAGAAAAAGAAGACACACTTCAGAATCAGCTTTTCATGATGCCTGAGAAGCATGCATACTTCCTGACCAAAAATAGACTGAAGTTGGATGCCATGTAAAAAATGTGGACTACTGTGACTCTACATGCATACTACAATTTAAAATGCTACACACCCAAACATGAAAAATACTTTTGTTAGTATCACCTTTAACAACTGCACATTCAAAAGAGTAAAAATGTTAATAAAAATACACAAAATAAACAAGTTTGATCAAAAATTAGAAAGACGTAGAATCCACAGCATGCAACCAAGGAGTCTTATCAGCACTCGACCTTGCTTAGGTTTGGAAGACATTGTTCTAACCACACCTTGTTCTACCCCAGCCTGGTGTGTTCCAAGCAGGCACAATGGTGTCTGCCATACGTTACTGTCTAAGAGTTGTCCTGTTTGTTCACCACTTTGTGAAAGTTCACTTATATCTGTCTCTGACAATGAAGTCTATCTCTTCATTAGATACCACTGTCGGTATCTGACGATGGAAAAACTGATTATTTACGTTTCACTTTTTTGGCTCAATGCATTTTGGATAGTCGTTACCGTGTTTAGTGTAAATACCCTAATAACTCACCTGTCTAATCTCGAGTATAGCTAGTGATCAGATGTAGACAAAACTCATCTGAGCAAATTGTCACCCTGTCTGTTAGATGCACATGTGGCAAGGTGGAGAAACGAGGGCTCGGGCGGGACTTTAACCCCAGATTCCCAGGTGAGAGTCACGCTTACTAACCAGTCAACCAAACTAATATCCCCATGGCCAAGTAGCCAGGGCGCACACTCAATCGGGATACAGTGACAGGATGCTCACCCTATCACGCACAGGAGGTGGTGTGAGATCAGCTTCTGCGAGCCAGAAAGACAGCTCCAGAATGAATGCTACAGTTTCATAACTACGAGGAATTGATGGGTAAGGATTACTGAACAAGCAGGCAACGACACAAAAATGAGAGAATATTAACGATCATAAATAAAATTCCATCCAACAGTAGTCCTGTTTTACTTTACTGCAAGTAAAATAAATAAAAACTGAATAGAGATGTACTAGTTTGCATTTAGGGAGATCCACTCAGTTGCATGCTGTAAACTGTCTTTCAGGCTAGTCTTAAACTTACCTCTTGAGGAAAAAACCAAATATAGCCACTGAAAGTGTTTTTCTTCTACTGTTCCCTCGATCTCTAAAAGCTCCCAACAAAAGACTTGTTTCCAATGATGTCATGAGTTCTTCCCTGTCTAGCTTTCCTTTGCTGCTATATCATCTTCTAGTGATTGTCTAAGGACCAAAGCAGCGACGCTTTTTGACTGTAGTTCATAAACTCGTGTGGTATGTCAAAAAGACCAATGAAATAGGCCTTTATAGCATGCTGAGTTTACAGAACTGTACATGCACCGTATAGTTAGTGGACTGTTGATGCATACAGTCTGTTAGACGAGCATTAAACCCATTTCATGGCAGAAAATAGCACTAGGCTTCTCCACTTACCTGTTATCTAGATACACATCTATACTGTGCTTTAGATCGATGCTTTCTTCTGTTATAAAAGTGAATACATGGAAACATAGGATAGTAACCAAATCTCAGGTGAGTTTATAATAGTTTAGATTGAAAATGAACACCATAAACGTCTCACCAAATGTAGTCTCTGTGCTCTGGCTGATAACCGATGAGGAGGTAATGCCCCAAACTCCTGATTGAGCTTCAGGTGGTTTTTGCGAAGCATACTTTCCAGCAACAGAAGCTGGTAGCATAAGGCATGTTTTAACCTGTGATGTGTACAGTTGCAAAATACTGGGGAACCCAGGACTCTGAGACAGTCGTGGACATGATGAAGCCATGGAACACATATACTTATTGTCATTTGGCTCTTGATGACATTTAGCTAAATAAAATGCAGAAGGAACTGTTTCCTTTTGCTGCTTATCATATAAAATCTTGTAGTATTTCCGTTCCAGTGTACTTTCAGAGCTAAGTCGTCTGACTGAAGGAAAGCCTGGGACACAAGAACTGCATGGAGCAGAAGTGTATAAGCTGGTCATGTCCATAGGCCTGCTTATCTTCTGTGCAGAGGCAAACCCATACACTCTGGCCTGTTTGGGGCAGGTTGTTACTAATATCCACATACTTCCTTTATTGTTGAACTCCAGCTGCTCCAGTCCAGAAAGTAAAATAAAAGGTCTGGTCCTGTCGTGAGGTGGTGAATGAATTGGTTCTGTTCCACCAAGCCACTCTGTGCTTTGGACTACATTCAATGATGCACATCCTTTAATATGTGAAGCACTGGAGCAGCAAGGTACAAACTCTACTGCACTTGGTTCCTTCTTAGATGTAGGTTCAGGACTGAAGGGCATGCAAAGCACTTTGGAAGCAGAAGGAAAGCCTGGAAAACTGGATTGTCTTGGGCAAGAAGGAGCCAATAGCTGCATGTTCTTTGGATTTTCTGTGTAAACTGGTGAGTTGTCAACATTCAGATGAACAATCCTGTTTGGATGTAATATCGATAAACCCAGATCAGAGGCCCAGTGTTCTTCTTGTTGCTCTTCCAGTGATGGAAATCCTGGAATGATGGAAAATATGGGACACAGAGGCAGGAGACTGACTACATCAGGTTGGTAATACTTATTTTTGGGATTAGGAATAGATGGGAAACCATTAATACTTGATGTTATGGGACAGGACGGTACAAGGGACATGTTTCCCTTCACTGTCCTCCTTTTGCATTGCTGGCCGAGCAGAAAAGAGTGCTTGTTATTCATTTTTGGTTCAAACAACGATTCCTTGCTTGTTGTCCACAACTGTGGAGAACTAAATGATGGAATTCCTGCTATCTGTGAGACTTTAGAAATTGAGCTTGACAGGTTCACCATATTTGTTACTCTGCTTTTCAGAATGGAGGGAAAACCAGGAATACTTGATTTATTTGGACAACTTGGTGTCAGAGAAACACTTTTTATATCTCCTTTACTGTTTTCCAGCAGCAATACAGACTTCTTTTGTAACGTGTATTTCCATATTGGCTGATGATCGGCTGTCCAGTCTTTGTTACCAGCTTTCTGGATTGATGGAAAACTAGCAGATCTAGAGACGGGTGGGCAAGATGGGAGGAGATGGACACTACTAAGCATTCTATGGATTACCATAGGAGTCAAAGCAGAAGGAAACCCAGGTGTCCAAGCTTGTTTAGGGCAAGTTGAGACTAATGCTGTCATGATCCCCACTTCATCATTATAAAGTGCATTTTCCATGGTGACTGCATTAACCTTTGGCTTTGTTGCTGTTAAGGGTTTGTAATTTGCCGCCCATCTTTTGCTCTCGTTCTGCACCAATGATGGAAGACCTTCAATGAGTGAGATCTCTGGACAAGAACCTGACATGCTGATGTGGCCTGTTCCAAGGTGTACTGCAGAGGCTTGTAGAACTAAGGGCTTGTCTGGGATGTTAGAAAGCTTTAGGAGACTAGGGTTCATGGCTCCCACATGTTTAATTTCACTCCCTTCTTTTAGAAAGTCTGTCTTCTTACCAAGCTTGGAGTCCATGTTGTTTTCTGAAAGTATCTCCTGTTGAGCTATTGGTGGTTTATCAGTCAATGCAATGTCTGAAGACGATGTCTTATGTGGAATTACACAAAATGGAAAAACATCTATCCCACTTCTTTGATGAGATAAACTGTTTTGGCAGGATTCTGTTGGACAAGTGAGTCTGAGTAAGGCCATTCCTGCTTTGTGTTCTTTACTTTCTTCTGAAGCAAACTGTGCAAAATTTTCATTTGTTTTCATTTTTTTCTCCCAGATTCCTTGGTGATCTATTTTCGAGGGCGTTTCTTCCTCATCAGGAGAATTGGAAGGCATCCCGGTAACGTTTGAAATTCTGGAACATGCTTCATATGTAAAGTGTGTGTTGCAAAATTCAGGCTTTGTGTAATCATTCATAGATTGTACACCACGATAGGAAGAGGTCTTGTCCTCCATTTGTTTTAAACTTCGATGTAACAGAAGATCAGACTCAATGATTGGGGTAACGGTCGTCTCATATTGGGTTTCTGGAGCACATTCAGTGTCCAGAGAAAATTCACTAGTTTGTTCATCTGTAGCAGGAGATTTAAACGTGCCACTTACAGTTGGACATAAAAGCAACAAGTCTCCCACTCCAGCCTCATGGTTTGTCCTCATTTTATTATCATTTCCAGTGTGACACACCGTGAAAGTACCAACTGATAAGGTTGGACTACGAAGTTCCGTCTTCGATGTAAGTTCAGGACTGGAGGGCCTTCCCAGCAATTTGGAAGCCTCCAGAGAAGATGGTGTTGGCACCAAATTGGTCTCCATAGTTTGTTCATCTTGTATTGGAGTTTTTGTTTGAGAAACTGTATCCTTTGAAAGTTTATCACAATTGATATTTGGATCCAAAGTCAGCTGGAATACTGAAGCTCCATCAGTGGAAGAACATTTCAGAATATTGCATTCTGTGGAACCAGTAGTTGTGATATTTGGCACGCTGTACTTAACAGCTGAGGGAAAGCCTGGAAAACTGGATTGTCCTGGGCACGAAGGAGCCAATAGCTGCATGTTCTTTGGATTTTCTGTGTAAACTGGTGAGTTGTCAACATTCAGATGAACAATCCTGTTTGGATGTAATATCGATAAACCCAGATCAGAGGCCCAGTGTTCTTCTTGTTGCTCTTCCAGTGATGGAAATCCTGGAATGATGGAAAATATGGGACACAGAGGCAGGAGACTGACTACATCAGGTTGGTAATACTTATTTTTGGGATTAGGAATAGATGGGAAACCATTAATACTTGATGTTGTGGGACAGGACGGTACAAGGGACATGTTTCCCTTCACTGTCCTCCTTTTGCATTGCTGGCCGAGCAGAAAAGAGTGCTTGTTATTCATTTTTGGTTCAAACAACGACTCCTTGCTTGTTGTCCACAACTGTGGAGAACTAAATGATGGAATTCCTGCTATCTGTGAGACTTTAGAAATTGAGCTTGACAGGTTCACCATATTTGTTACTCTGCTTTTCAGAATGGAGGGAAAACCAGGAATACGTGATTTATTTGGACAACTTGGTGTCAGAGAAACACTTTTTATATCTCCTTTACTGTTTTCCAGCAGTAATACAGACTTCTTTTGTAACGTGTATTTCCATATTGGCTGATGATCGGCTGTCCAGTCTTTGTTACCAGCTTTCTGGATTGATGGAAAACTAGCAGATCTAGAGACGGGTGGACAAGATGGGAGGAGATGGACGCTACTAAGCATTCTATGGATTACCATAGGAGTCAAAGCAGAAGGAAACCCAGGTGTCCAAGCTTGTTTAGGGCAAGTTGAGACTAATGCTGTCATGATCCCCACTTCATCATTATAAAGTGCATATTCCATGGTGACTGCATTAACCTTCGGCTTTGTTGCTGTTAAGGGTTTGTAATTTGCCGCCCATCTTTTGCTCTCGTTCTGCACCAATGATGGAAGACCTTCAATGAGTGAGATCTCTGGACAAGAACCTGACATGCTGATGTTGCCTGTTCCAAGGTGTACTGCAGAGGCTTGTAGAACTAAGGGCTTGTCTGGGATGTTAGAAAGCTTTAGGAGACTAGGTTTCATGGCTCCCACATGTTTAATTTCACTCCCTTCTTTTAGAAAGTCTGTCTTCTTACCAAGCTTGGAGTCCATGTTGTTTTCTGAAAGTATCTCCTGTTGAGCTATTGGTGGTTTATCAGTCAATGCAATGCTTGAAAGACATAATGGCAACAGGTCTACTACACCATCTTCATTTTCTGCCTTCATTTTTGTATCATCATTAATGTGAAACTCCTCAAAAGTACCAACTGGTGTTGGGCCAACTTTTTCTGTTAACATTTCTGCTTCAGGTTCTTTTTTGGTTTCTTCTGAAGTAGCATTCAGGATAACCTCCCTAGTTGAAGAATGCTTTTCAGTTGCCTTTTTTAAGTCCAGCACAGGTATGCTTCCTGCTGTGAGCCAATTCTGTAACTGAAGCTCAGAATCAGTGCTCTGGGTCTGATGCAGTTTTGTTGCATCACTGAAAACTGGGCATGGGGACTGTTGTAAAACCACGTTCTTATCTCTAAGGAAAAGATAGAAATAAAAATACGGTCAATGGATCACCATTAGATAAAAACAATGTAAATATGTCATACAGGTCTCACACAGGTCACACACACTGCATTTGCATGCCAGTAGGGTTAGATGCAAAAGGGGTTTTGGTTTTCCAAAATATGCAAAAGAAATGTACAACTTTTAATTTACGAGTATCAAATTAAAAAAGTCAAAGAACTTTTCCAATCATGAATTACAAATCCGAAACCCCTCCTTTCCTTCAAACACATGATCTTTATTTTATCCCACACAGATGGTCTAAAGCCTAGTTTGTACTTCTCCGTCAGCTCCAAAAGGGAGAGACTCACACGCACTGACAGAGATGTTTTGCTCTAATTTATACTTATCCATCTGCATTGGTACAGAGACACGCAACGCCATTATCCATTCTTGCGAGGGCTCTACAGCAGGCTCGCAAGAATGGATGGAGTTGAGCCCACTTTTCTAAACGCAAGCTTGTGATTGGTCAGGACGCCGCTTTTGTCAACATCACCGCCATTACGCCCCCCCCCCCCCAAAAAAGATAGTTTAAGATATCTAGCGGCAGACACGGAGCAGCTTGAAGAATACCATGTGGAAAACTCTAGAAATACAAACGTTTTATTCACCTGTGACTGGAGGAGTAAAAAGATACACAGCAAGCATTTTATTTGTGGATGGAAATGATGGGAAACGTGGCTTTAGAGGTGGCGAGTGCATGAAGAGGTGGAGGAGAATGAGGGACAAATTTGTCAGTGTTAAAAAGTCTCTTAAATACAAAAAGCGCAATAGTAAATGTGCTATCTTGGACCGGATAAATGACAGAATACCACAGGACAGCGCAACGCCCCCTGTTGTCCTGGTGGGGGATTGTTTTGCAACGCTCTCAGGAGATGAACCAAGGAGATCATCATAGACTTCAGGTGTCACGGTTTGAGGTGAGTGGGTCCAAAACTAACAACTGTGGAGTGCTTGACTGCAGGTGGGTGGTGTGGCAGAACGGGCCCAGCTGCTACCAATTCCTATCGGCACACCTGGCCTATTTAAGGAGCTGGCAGATGACTACACAACACCGGATGATTACTCACTTTGGGTTCAACCTGACTGTGTGACACTAGTTGCCTTTCGAGCCCTGCTAATCTCTGAACCTTTCGAGTCCCGTTCCTAACCTCCTCTCCTCCCCAGGTTTTCCGTTCTTGGCTACAACCAACTCCACAGCTCTACCATAATCATCTTGGAACCATTTCGAGTCCACGTCTGCCAGCCACCAGCTGTCCCACTGGTCCCTCAGACCTCAGCTCTCTCCTAGAGCCCCACGTTGGTGGCGCTCATTCCATTTTCCTCAACAAATCTTTTTTTTTTGTATTTGATGTCATGTTGAGACTGATTCTTCATGTCATGGGTCAAATACGTAAACCCAAACATGACAGAATCATCCGACCACCAGACATACATGACAGAATTAGTTTCTCTCGACATCGCAGCTACTCTGGGTAGACATGAGAGGACCATACAGACCTTGTTGGAACCTGTTGCTGCATCCAACCAACGCCTGTCCCAACTGGAAGAGTTAGTCCAGCAGATCCATGTCAAATTATCCTCTCCAGAAACTCCAGGGCAAAACTTTACCGACGCGCCTGGAGCGCCATCTTCCGCTGTAACATCCTCGACACAGCTCTTCCAGGTTGACAACTCACCCCGACCGGAAACGTTTGATGGTGAGTCAGATAACTGCCAAGGCTTCCTGCTTCAATGTAGGCCAGCTTTTGATCGATACCCAACTAGAACTGGGCAAAATAACTATTTTAGACCATTTTACAATCTACACATCTGACGGTCTATCATTTTTGAGAGACCTTTTTATCACGATTCACAGTTCTGCTGTTGAATTTCTGCCTCTGTATGTAAAGGGAGCTTACCTTAGGAAAACCTCTGCTTATTGGCGAATGACATGCCTTTGTTTGACCTTAACCAATTAGAGCGATTCATGGTAATATTAGAAACAACATGGTAACATGAACAAACATGGCATCGGCTGCGGCTGAGAGCAACAATGAGGTTTTTGTTTAGAAGAGAAATGCCTCGTTCATTATATGGAACTGGTTTGGTTTTTCACCAGATGACAAAGAGCAACGAAACATAATTTGCAAAGTTTGCAAGGAGTGTGTCAAGGCAAGTGATGGCAACACCACAAACTTATTTAATCACTTGAAAAGAAAGCATCCCAAACAATACAATGAGAGCCAGCTGGCAGCTAAAGCTAAAAAGCCCACGGCTGCAGTGGCAGCGGTGGCCAGTGCTTCTTCCAGGCAGCAAACGCTAACATAAACACTCACAAAACGGACTCCCTATGACAGAGACAGCAGACGATGGAACAGCGTGACAGATGCGGTGACGTACCACTTGGTTAAAGATTTGTGTCCTGTGCGAACAGTAGAAGGAGTGGGATTTAAGAAAATGATAAAAATATTAGATCCGCGCTACGAGTTGCCGAGCCGCAAGTATTTTTCAAACACCGCCATTCCATGCATGTACGCTGAATGCAAAGAGTGTTATGAACTTGGCAGAGGACCGTAAGGACACCAGAGCACAGTAGGCGGTAGTAAACAGTTTGTATTAACCTGAAGCGAAGAGGAGACGTTACCGGAGTTCAGTTCAGGTAAAGGCAGAGTCGAGGGCAGGAGTGGGTCGGAAACAGGATGATATACGAAGCAGATTCGAGAAGCAGGCGAGAGATGTGATCGAGGACAGACGTGGATCGGAACCAGGCTGTTACGTGCAGTGCCCCTTTTTGGCTACAAGGTGGCCTCAGTGGCTTCTGCCTCGCCTGTCTCCCGGTGCTGAGCTGTGGGTGATTGAGCAATCACTTGTCAGCCGTTAAAAGCTGCTCCCAGCCACCAGTTTAGTGAGGAGGTACAGGGAAGTGTGGGCACGGAAGTGTTCAGACTTCTCTCTTCTCCTCGTGTGCTTGTGCGTGTTAGCTTCGTGGTGATTTAGTGACTTAGTGATTCAGATTTGTGATAATTAGGATTTCAGATAACTTTGACTTTGGACTGGCCTTCGACTCCCCTTTTTGGATTTTCCCCGAGCGTCTCTGCTTACCAGGACGTCTCTTGATTAGTTTAGCGTTTTGTATATATAGTGAATATTTTAGTTGGATATTTTTCCTCCCAGCCCTTTTGGTGTGGCGCTTTATGTTTATCCCTTTTCCCTTTTGTAGGCTCTTTGTGTTTGTAATAAAATCCTTTGTTTGGAGACACATTTACTTTGTTATTATTACTCCTACACACATCTCTTACTCCCTCCTACACATCACTCCTAGCGAGCTGAGGGACGTAACAGAGTGGGGGCTCGTCCGGGATGTATTCTATTTTATCCTGTTTTTTAGTGTGTATAACAATGTTAACTTTGTTTTTTGTGTCCCTTAGAGACGGAGTATGGCAACCTTTGATTTGTCTGCGTTTGTGACGGCTTCTTCGCGCCGGCTGCTGAAGAGTTGCCGCAAAGCCGATCTGCAGCAGGTTGCCGCCCACTTCAGTTTGTTAGTCCCGAAGCAGCTAACCAAGGATGCACTTCGCCAGCTGATGGTGGATTATCTGGAGACTCAGGGGATTCTACCTCCTCCATCCCCTCCTGGTGTATCGCCGCCTTCTTTGGATGAAGAGCGGGAACGGCCTGACACAATGAGGGAGACCCCTGCTGCGGAAGGATCTCCGCCCACCTCTGCTTCGCCTGGAGCTAGCCCTTCTCGTTCCCCGCTAACTGGTGCTCGACTTCAGCTTCGCCTCGCTCGTCTTAAGATACAGGCTGAGGAAAAGACGCACGAAAGAACTCTCCGACACAAGCTCGAATTAAAGGGCATGGACACTGAGGTTCGCCTCCGAGAAATAGCACCACAGATGAGGACTCTGGAAGCCGCCGCTTCCCCGAACCAGACGGCTGCCGACTGTCCTCCGCCCTCGTCTTCGCCTCCCCATGCTCTGCACCGAGACGCCTCTCCATCTTCTCCCAGTTCCACCTCGTTACCACCCGAATTTGACGGTCAGCCTGGCGTATCTCTGACTCAGAAGCTCTGGTGTTGTGCATAGTTAACTCCGGTTGTAGCTAGGTTGCTACCTCCATTAGCTTAGCTCCCAACTCCGCGTTAGCTTTGGGTTAGCTTCAGGTTAGCTTGTAGATAGTTCGACCGGGTGTCGTCAGTTGATCCCAGCCTTACAACCCCACCCTCAGCTCCACCTCTCTTCTCTTTTGTGGAATTGTCTGGGCTTGACGGAACCTGTGACACGGTCAAAATGGCGGTGGTGGCCACCTCCCATTTATCTTCAAAAACGTGTTCATGGAGCCTATGGAAACCCATTGTCCAATATTTATATGTCGATGCTCAAAACCCCATTTCAATATTTGAAATTGTACCAACAAAAAAGTAGACCCCGAGACTCTCTTGCTAAAATTCAGATCCCTGATTGCTTCGAGACATTTTTGAAACTTCTTTGCGAAGTCTGTGCATTAAGTCAAAATAGTCACAGTCAACGACAAACTGGTTAAAAGTGATGAAGACTGAACAGTTCCCAAATTCTGCAAGAAATTCTAAACTTTGCAAAAACATATAAGTGGTCTCTAGACCCAGCATGTCCCTGGGCTTCACCTGTTCTCCGTCTGCTCCCAAGTCTCGGGACCCTGCTCTTCTGAAAAAGTCAGTTGTCCTGTGTCTGGAACCACCCGTGACCCTTTCTACTTAGTTTTCTGAGTAAGAGTGGAGAAATGCGAGACAACTTTGGGAGGATTTGGAGACCTGATGGTGAATACATTGAGATGTAATTACACCATCAATCCCACACGATCCAGCCCTTTACAATCTTCTCTGATCCATTTCAGGACTAAATCATTGTTTTCTCTATCCACCCAAGAAAAAAGGAGCTGAGTGGGGCTGTCTAACAGCTGGTGACACAACTCCGCTCAAACATTATTAGTAGAGTGTGTCATGCCATAAAGGATCCTTTCATGTCATGAAAACCTCCAGAATCTGTGAGACCCAATTAACGAATCACTCTACTCACTCTGATGATGATGTGACTCTTCCAGATGTTGCTATGGAGCTTTCTAGCTTCTGTCCAGTGGATCTGGGGTCAAAGGCTAAACAGAAGCAAAGGTGTTATTAGGGCAGTCATGTGATCAGTGCATGTTGATCTGAACAGTTCACCTGGAGGTATTCCACCCTGGCTGTCCTCCTCACTCAGCGTGCTCAGATGTCTCCTGATTTCTAGGAGAAAAGAGGATTTTACACATTACAGAACATATCTGTGATGATTTGCTGAAGAAGATGCGTTTCAGGTTTATTACTACCACACATGAACTAGCTCTGTTAACTGGGCAGGATTCTGTTCTTTTACCTGGATCCTTCTTATCAGAAAATACCCTGGTTTGGGATACATAAGGCTGGGGAGGAGATGCACCAGAAAACATAAGGGCAGCGGGAGAACCTAGAGAACCAGGTGTGGACTTGTCTACTGTAGAGGTGGTCTCATCAGGTCTCTGGGTAGCAACATATCCGGTCTCTCCCTGTGCTTTCTGATCCACAGACTGAGCAGCAGGCAGAGGGAAGGAAGCTGGCAGGAAAAAGGAAGAGGCAGGATAGGGAAATGTCAGCAGCGTGCTGATGTCTGAAGCAGGAAAAGGAGAGGAGATCAGGTGGAGCAGTGAGAGGACATCAACCAGACAGACGGAAAGGATGACAGATTTTTCTTTCCTCGTATCCTAAAACTGAACGTGAAACATAAACAAAAATATAAGAAAGTGTCAACAGGAAAACACCACATCTTGTCTTCAGCGTTATACTGTTACGGTAACCTTTATTTTAAAATGTTTGTAGTTTATCTTCAAAGAAAAGTTAGATATTTTGGTACTTGTCTTCCTGTCCTCAGCCTCCGAGCTGAAAGCTTGTGTGTGACTTCTCACCACCTCAGCTTCGCAGAGCTGTGAGTTTTGTGTAAACAAAGATTAGATGCGGAGTTGATCATACTTGTTTAGACATCAAACTGTGCTACTTTAGAGTCTTTTCCTTTCATTAATCCTGCTTGGATCACTCTAACACCCAATCAGAGCCCTGCCTAACATAACCTGCCCTCTGGCCCTCTGACGTTAGAGCATCAGACGTGTAGAGGCCATGTTCCAATAAACCAAACATACACTAGTCAAGACGGTGGTCAGAGGTTGATCAAGGATGTGTGTGCAGGTCACTTTCTGCTACATGTAAACAAATATAATACTCAAATAAACAACTGACAACTCCTAGAGTTCCAGGACCATTTTAGAATGACAGAACAACCTGGTTTGGTTTACATTTAAACAGACGCATTAGTAAGTACAACTTCACTTCATATTACTCTTCATCACTTACCAACCGAAGTAGAATGTCAGTTCTCTTTAAACTTTCTCAAACTTAATGTCATTATTCTTACTGGCACCAGATCTACGTCATCTAGATCTACGTGATATAGTTCACAAAAGCTGCCTTAGAACCCCTCACCCAGGTACAGAGTCTGAGTCTCATCCTTGATGGATCATCATCATTTAGGTCACATTCAAACAGTGGCGGCTCGCCCATAGGGGGTGCTAGAGCACCACCCGTCCAGTCTCACAGGAAGAAGAAGATAGGAATCATAGAATATATATATATATATATATATATATATATATATATATATATATATATATATATATATATATATATATATATATATATGTATATATGTATGTATGAATGTATATATATATATATATGTATGTATGTATGTATATATATATATACATATATATATACGGTATATATATATATATATATATACATATATACACATATACATATATATATATATATATATATATATATATATATATATATATATATATATATATATATATATATATATATATTCTATGATTCCTATCTTCTTCTTCCTGTGAGACTGGATGGGTGGTGCTCTAGCCGTATATATATATATATATATATATATATATATATATATATATGTATGTGTATATATGTATGTATATATATATATATATATATGTATGTGTATATATGTATGTATATATATATATATATGTATGTATATATATATATATGTATGTGTATATATGTATGTATATATATATATATATATATATATATATATATATATATATGTGTGTGTGTGTGTATGTGTATATATATATATATAAACATGAAAATGTAACTAAATGATACATCATGCAGACTATAAGTCTCACGACAAAATGTTGATTCCCATTCTTTAAGGTCTAACGATCAGTTGCTACTTTCTGTTCCTTTTGCTCGCACACAGTTAGGAAAGAGGGCCTTCGCCTGCTGCGCTCCTGCTTGGAACCAGCTGCAGAAAACCTGGAAAATGACTGAGCAGGTTTCACTAAATGCCTTCAAAACCAAACCGAAAGCTTCAGAGACTGCATTAGTAACTTGTAACTGCTTTTAATGATTGAGTGTTTTATCATTGCCATCATGTTGTAACTGTTTGTATTTTTGCTGCCTCTTGGCCAGGACTCCCTTGTAAAAGAGGTTCTTCTAATAATAATAATAATAATGCATTGAACTTATATAGCACTTTTCTAGACACCCAAAGACGCTTTCACACACTCTCACATTCACACACTGCTAGTGATCGTAAGCTACTTGTAGCCACAGCCGCCCTGGGGAGGTCTGACAGAGGCGAGGCTGCCATTTGGCGCCGTCGGTCCCTCTGACCACCACTAACACAGGCAAGTTGGGTGAAGTGTCTTGCCCAAGGACACAACAGCAGGATACCGCTGGCGGGAGCTGGAATCGAACCCATGACCCTCCGATCATGAGGCAACCCGCTCTACCTCCTGGGTCTCTATCCTGGTTAAATAAAGGTTATAAAATGTGTTGAAATGCACCAGCCGCCACTGCTTAGCAAAATGGCCTCCTGCTGCTCCCTCCAATCTTCCTCTTCAATCCATTTCAGTTTCTCAGTCAGGCTTGTCCTCACTGTACTACCTGTAACTGTAACACCCCCCACCCCACCCCCCACCCCCAGCCACCATTGGCCAACTATCAAAGAGAGCAAGAACAGCATTCAGAAAGTTTTATAAAGCCATCAAGATGTTGATGAAGGTGTTAACCCAACTGAAACCCATAAAAGCTGGCTGAAACCAGTTTCAGTCTAATGTCTGGTTTAATTAGAAGAGTTGTGGATAAAAGAAGGTAAGTTGTGAACTCGTAGAAAAAGTCGCAACCGAGCATACGCCCTCTACTACACGTCTCTCCCACCGTGCTTCATTCTTTGGACCACCTCTCGGGCTAAGCAGAGCTAAAGCTGTGTAGACAGCAGCATCCCTGCACTGCTCATCACAGCCTGATGCAGCTAGTGCCGTAGGACTTTAAAACTGTTGATCTCGGTAGAAAGAATCTGTTAGATGATCAAATGTTTGGTCAGGTTTAGAGAAAGCAAATTAAATGGAATACGGTCACGTTGACCTAGAGTGATGTGTTAAGATTCACGTGGAATTACACGTAATTTCGCCTCCTTGTGTTTTCTGAAGCACCACACTTTGTCCAGAGTAATGTGAAGCAAACTGCAGAAACTTAGGAGAGAGGGCAGGCTGTGACAGAGGGGCCTGAGACTTAGGAGATCTCCACTCAGTTTGCCAGGAGGCTACAAATCAAATCAAATAAAATAAATGTAAGTGAAATAACACTTTGGAGCAGGGGAAACCATAAGCTCTGTCCCTTTACCTCTCTCAGGAGCAGATGGGAGACTGGTAGGTTGGGTCGAGGCAGAGCCCAGGTCCCCCGTGAAGAGGGGGCAAGCTCTGGGAAGCCCGGCAGCAGGAGGTATAGAAGAAGATCTTGGGAGAGCTAAAGTAGAGGAGCAGAAAGAGAGAAGAGGAAATTGTGTCTGCAGTCTAGGAACAAGCTGATGTCCCACTCGGAGGGAATTACACTTTTTTATTTATCCAGGGGGGGGGGGGGGGGGGGGCAACTAAACCCAAGCAAGAGATTTTGACGGAAATTGGTATGGTTTTTTCTGATTATTTCAACTGACGGATTTCCGTCGCCACGATGGGCTTGAATGCTAATTTCTACCTGCAGTCCCTAGGCAAGCTGATCATGACATACTTAAGAGTACATAAAGCCATTTTAAAGGTTGCTAATTGTTCATATTTTTAAATCATTTTCTTGTGCCAGTGTGTGCTAAACTGACCGTTTACAAGGTTAATGAAAAGTAGCCCAGACCCCCACCGCCCTCTGTGGCCAGAATACCGCATTTGCAACTTCATAGTGCCTGATTGCCACCTGTGGACTTTCAGCTTACTGGCACTGCAGTCTGTTTCCAGCACATTCCTGCATGTTTTAGATCTTGCCCACAGCTGATTTGTCTGATTTAGTGATGAATCACTCCTCTAGAAACTAATGAAGGCTGAGAAGACATTTCAGCTGTCGGATTAAGGTGTCAAAAAGGCAAACACACGGCGAGGAGATAAGCTTCACTTTTTCTTCGACCACAGGTAATAACTAACAGACACTCGGTGGTGCTAAAAGCAAGCAAAACTGTCGTGTGCCTTTAAATGAATTTCTACATTTTGCATCAGGGCTATGAATCTAAAAGTTCTGAGTGCAAAGTCTTGTGAATACAACTCATTTACAAGTTTCCACTGGTGTGAACATGAATCCAGTTTTGTGGGTATGAGTGGATGAAAGCTGAAATAATGTCACAGTGATCGAACCTACTTCCACCAAACAACATGCTCCAAATTCAAAGATGGCTGACAACAGTGCGTGTGGTGGAGCTACCAACTCATGTGAAGCATCACAGGTAGAGTCAGTGATTGCATCCAGTATTTATTTTACAAATTTGTACCATTTTAAATAACCTACAGTTGATGGTCCTACTGATATAATTTGCAAGCTTAACAGTTTGGATGTTCTTGAATGTGCCTCGTTTGTTTATCAGCAGAGGAGCTTGTAAGATTGTGCCTGAGCTCAGCCACTCCCAGAGGAAATCAGAGGAGGACGAAGACTTAAGTTTATGCTTATTGTTTGCTTCATCCTTACTTGTTTATTGTGGTCAAAAAGAAGAGATGTCAGTAAAAATATCTTGGTAGGTCAACCCTGCTATCAATATCCCCATCCACTTGTCACAATCAAGACATCATCTCACTTCAGCTTCTCACGCAATCAGGCCCTGAACAACGTTTACCAAAAGAAAGACCAGCAGAAAATCTAGGAATCTCCGCTCAGCCATCCAACACTCCTCTTTTGGTCCCTCCTATTTGCCTCTCATTTTAGAAGAACAGTGAAAGTTCACTTCCACCTCACAGAGCCTACAACCTCGCCACAGACCTCCCTTCACAAGCCCAAAACCAAAAAGAGAAGCAGTGGAAAATCAACCCAGGCTGCAGGGAAAAACACACCAGACACAACCTTGCAGCAGAACGACGATGTCTGCAGAACAGCTGTGATTTAACACACTTCTTGGAAGTGTACCTCTAAAGTTTTTTGTTTCCTTTGAGACTGGAGGATCCTTACTCTAGCAGCTGTACAACTGAGATAGCCTCCCACTTTGAAGATTCACCTCACCCTCTGATTCATGTCTCAGATTAATCTGGTTGGTTCTAGGCCTTTGCACCTGCCTGCCAAACCCCCTCTATCCAACCTGGAGGTGGGTGATTACATCAGATTCTGATGTGAATTACAGTCTTGGGTGGACTGATTAGGGCGTAGCCTAGAAGAATAATCCGGGCTGCTTCATCCTAGACCCCTCCTAGGAATTCATTCTTTCACTCTCCACCAGATCATTCTTGAAAACTCACCAGTGAAAAGATTCGTCTACGTTCCAGCACAAGACTCCTACCTGCATTAAATCAGGTCTACTAAATACACCTTTGCACTCAATGCTGCCAGAGAATCCATTTGCCATTAAACATGACGGTTTACACTATTTATATGAAAAAGTGCACCTGAATGGGTTTGTCTGACGTGACTTACCAGTCATCTGACTCTAAGTCGGGTGTTAGACGAAAAGCAAGCACACAGCAGCAGCATCTATCGGATTTCTGACTGAACAAACCTGCTTGTGAGTTTTCAGAGAAGGCAGACCCGTGAAGAGATGAATCAGGGGGAGATGAACAGAGATAAGGAGTGGAGAGGGCCTTGGAAGAGGGAAGTGTAGAAAAAGGCTGGATGTCCAAACCTTCAGCTGAACAAACATCACTGTGGAAGCTGCGGGGCCTCCGTGGAGCTAAAACACACACAATGTCGGAGTGTGCCCAGGAGGGAGGGGGGAGAAGGAAAAAAAAAAGTTCAGATGAATGTGAAATGAAACCGAATCCGTTTACAGCCAACAAAATAACCTAACTCACAGACATGGGTGTTTGGTTGGTTATTTTTCTTTGTTGTAGTGATGCTTCTACGTCATAAATCTGACATTATCAGAGATCTGATGAGTCACCTTCACTTCCAGGTGGAAACATAAAATACTCTACATCCCTGAAATGAGTAATAAACACGTGGACATCCCATAATTTCCTGCAACGTTCTCCTGTTTGTAGTCACTCATGTGAGCTTCAAGAGCTGCCGGATCTGTTTCAGTCTCAGGTGTATGACTTGGAACCTGATTGGCTCTGGACCAAGTGCGGTGGCCAACACCACACTGGTTCATCCTCAAGAACTCCTTGAGCGATTGAAGACACACAGTAAATTTAGTTCACAGTAAAGATGTTTGCTTCAGTTTAATTATCAGCTTATAAAACTACAAGGACGATGTTAAAATACAAACAGTTGTATGTTATTTATCGTGATATTTATCAAATATGGTTATATATTGAGAAAAATATATATTTAATTATAAAAGAGAATTAAAATATTAAACACTCAAAAGTATCGAAAATTGGTACCGTTAAGTACCGGTATCGATTCCTAGGTACCGGGAATTAGTACCAGATCGATTCAAATGTCAAATGGGCCATTCCCATCTGTACCGGGTCGGCCCGGTCCGGGTAGCCCCAGTCGGCCCCAGCCTGGCCCGGTTGATTCCACACATCCTTGTCTTGAGCCCATGTGGGCTGATTCTACCCACCAATCAGAGGCTTGCTCTAATGGAAGGTGTGAATTTGCTGTCAGCAGTGGGTGTGTTGGCCCTGGTCGGCCTGAAGCAGACCCCCTCAAGAAGAGGGCTGAGAATCAGCCTTGGTTGGCCCGGAAAAATACCAGGCCACCCAGATACGTGAACAACCTACGCTACCCGGCCCGGGCCGACCCGGTACAGATGGGAATGGCCCAAAAGGTACCCATCCCTAGGGAATCATAAAGTGTTCCCCGGCCAGGTGAGAGACATGGTCTCACCAGCATGTCCTGGGTCTTCATTTAGGTCTTCTTCCAGTTGGACGTGTCCGGAAAACCTCACCGGGATGTGTTCAGGAAACATCTCAACTAGATACCCGAACCACTTCAACTGGCTCCTCTCGATGTGGAGGAGCAGCAGATCTACTCCAAGCCCCTCCCGGATGACCGAGCTTCTCACCCTATCTCTAAGGGAGAGCCCAGACACCCTGAGGAGAAAACTCATTTTGGCCGCTTGTATCCGTGATCTAGTAAGTAAATGTTATTTATATAGCACTTATCACAGACATAGAATCACAAAGTGCTTCACATAGATCAAAACAAAATAAAATCTTGTTCTTTCGGTCATTACCCAAAGCTCATGACCATAGGTGAGGGTAGGAACGTAGATCGACCGGTAAATCGAGAGCTTTGCCTTCTGACTCAGCTCTCTTCACCACGACAGACCGGTACAACGCCCGCATCACTGCAGATGCAGCACCAATCCGCCTATCGATCTCACACTCCAGTTTTCCCTCACTCGTGAACAAGACGCCGAGATACTTAAACTCCTCCACTTGAGGCAGGACCTCATCCCTGACCCGGAGAAGGCATTCTACTCTTTTCCGAATCAAGACCATGGTCTAGGATTTAGGGGAGCTGATTCTCATCCCAGCTGCTTCACACTCTGCTGTGAACCACTCCAGCGAAAGCCGAAGATCACGTTCTGATGAAGCCAACAGGACCAAATCTTCTGCAAAAAACAGAGACCTGATCCTCAGGCCACCAAAACGGATGCCCTCAACACCTTGGCAGCACCTAGAAGATCTGTCCATAAAAGTTTTGAACGGAATCGGTGACAAAGGGCAGCCTTAGTGGAGCCCAACTCTCTCCGATAAAAGAGCCCGACTTACTGCCGGCAATGCGGACCAAGCTCTGACACCGGTCATACACGGACCTATCAGAGGGCCTCGTACCCCATACTCTGGTTTTACCTTTCTTAATTTAGTTTTTATGAGTGAGTAGCTCACTTTTTTACACCTTGCACTATCTTGTAGTTTTTTTGGTTTTATTTGTGCCATTTCAAATGGTTTATATCACTTGCTGCATTATTTTTTATTTTGGATAGTGCTGTTACCTTTTACCTGTTCTCTTATTCTGTTTGTTTTTAGCAGAAATTTTATGTCTTTGTATTTTAATTAAATTCAGTTAAAAAATACTTTATTAATCCCAGAGGGAAATTCAATTGTTTCAGTACACACAATTCCAAGATCAGACATACATACATAGACACATGACAAGAATTGGTGACTGTGGTCATTCGCAACACGAGTCGCGCTACCGTTATGGATCAAGAGGGTTTATATGAGGATAGAGTCGGGGGGGGGGGGGCACTTCAGAGTTAAGCCTGATTCACGCTTCTCCGTCAGCTCCAAAAGGGAGAGAGAGACACGCAAGCACGGACGGAGATGTTTTGCCCTCATACTTCTCCGTCTCCTGGGGAGTGTTGCAAAGCAATTCCCCACCAGGACAACAGAGGGCGTAGCGCTCTTTTGTGGTATCCTGTCATGTATCTGGTCCAAGTTAGTGTGTTTATATTGTGTTTTGTGTACATAAGAGACTTTTTAACAAAGCCAAATTTGTCTCTCATCCTTCTCCACCTCTTCATGCGCTCGCCACCTCTAAACCCACGTTTCCTGTCATTTCAGTCCACAAATAAAACGCTTGCTGCGCATCTTTTCACTCCTCCAGTCACGGGGAATTAAACGTTCCTATTTTTCTTTGAACATCTTAGGTGTGTTCTTGCTGTGTCGTATTTCTAATTCCATGCTGTAGTTCTTTTTTTAAAACACAGAACAGTTTTGTTATCCGTTTTCCCCACAACAGGTAACAAAACTGCTCTGTGTTTTAAAAAAAGAACTACAGCATGGAATTAAACGTTCATGTTTTTAGAGTTTTTTCGCGAGGTATTCTTCAAGCTGCTCCATGTCTGCCGCTAGTTATCCTCGGCTCTCTCTGTTTTTGAGGGCGCAATGGCGGCGGTGTAGACGACAGCGGCGTCCTGACCAATCACAAGCTTGCGTTGTCCGTCTTGACAGACGGATGTTTAGAAAAGAGAGCTCGACTCCGTCCGTCCTTGCAGAGCTCTCCAGCAGGCCCGCAAGGACGTTGCGTGTCTCCAAACTGACGCAGAAGCATGAATCAGGCTTTACCCCCGACAGAGAGGATAGCTTTGCTATGCAAAAAACACCTCAGACAGATATGCACACAGACTTCAGACGATACACAACATAAGTGTCCACTAGGTGGGGAGGTAGGGTTGGGACTCTCCTCACTTCAGAATGTGCAGCCGCAAGAGCAGCGCCCATCACCTTCGTTTGGACGGGGGAGGGAGATAATGGGTTGGAGAGCACATTGAATCCTAGATACGGTTCCACAGCCTTCACCGGTCACAGTCCCGCTCAGGATGGGATAGGGAGAAAGAGTTTCCATAGCGACAGCAGCATTCCACATTTCTTCTGAAGGGAGTTTTCACTTCAGTCTCACAGGCTTCAAGGGCACCAGATTCAGATAAAAAGAATTGTTTTGGGTACAGGCAGAGATAATTTCCTCTCTGCCTTAGAGTTCTGTTGGTCTACAACCCCTCCAGGTCCCAATAATGGCATTATCAAACTATTCCAATCCGTGCTGATCCGTCAACTCTCTCCTTGATCGAATCAACCTTCTGTGCCAGAGCCTGAATCTCAGCCAAAGTTCCAAGCTTACGACTCATCTCGACAATCATATGAGTCTGTGAGTTTACAGCATGATGCAGCATCCCTGAGCTCCGGGACTGAGCCAATATTCCTCAACAGCTCATTAATTTTCCAGTATGCCAGGTAACCGCTCAGACCAAACAGCAGGAATCCCGACACCAAATCGACAAATATCCAAACATCTTCAGAATCCTCTACCGACAGTTGAGACAGGCAGATCAAGTTCCACTGTTTCCAGGAGTCCATGATATACCCAGCTGGCTCTGTCCCAGAGGGGCATCACCGAGCCCCTTCTCCCGTTCTCATTGTTGAAAAGATTTTGTCAATCACGTTGAGAGACCAACTGACAGGATCCATGTTTAATAATTTCCAGTTTCCAGAAAAAATGCAGAGAAGTGCCGTGCACAGGCAGACAGGACAGAGGGCCTTGGGAGGAGCAGGGAGGGGGAGGAGAAAAAAGCGTCTGTACTTTCCAAGAGTCGGAAGATTACCTGTTTTCCATGTTTTTACTTTGTTTTGATGATATGCTCCAGTATTTGGCTCTTTTGTACAGCACGTTGGTTAGCTGCCATGCTATTTTTTAATGGTGCTTTATAAATAAATTGGTATGGTATGGTATGAATTATCCCCCAAAGGGCCTCCCATGGGACGTAGTTGAACACCTTCTCCAAATCGACAGACACATGTAGATTGGTTGGGCAAAGTCCCACGCACCCTCCAGGACCCCCTAAGAGTATAGAGCTGGTCCAGTGTTCCACGGCCAGGATGAAATTACAAAATTACAGGTAACTTACCATAAAACTGCTGCATATATTGGTATCGGTTTATGTTGGTAACAGAAATTAAGAGTTGGACAACATTGGTAAATTGGATATCGGTAGAAAAGCAAATATCAAGCATCCCTAAACACAATAAAGTTTTATTTATGTAAAAATCTTCTAAATGACCAACTGTATTGCTTTCTTCTCATGCTGAGATGTGGACAGTTTGAAAGATTATTGACTTTTTCGGTTTTATTTGATCATTTTTCATTTTATCTAGCTGCCAAAGACAAATGCTCGAGAAGTCTGAGACATGCTTCCTGCAGATGCAGACAGGATAATCCTCCTCTCCCATTTCCAACATTCAACTTACATAAGTAAGTTTTGGCGTTAAAATCAGACATTGGCTGAATGTGGTTGAGTTTGGTATCAGTTTTAGAGACTATATTTACCTGGACAAATATTATGATATGAATGGAACTTCTTTCTCTTCTTTAACCTAAACTATTTATTTGGTCACTGGTGGAATAAAGTTTGACACCTGGCTTTACTGTAACTAATATGCGTGGAAATCAGAAATGGATTAGAATTTAAATGCATTTTATTTGTACAAAAGGTACTGGTACCTGATCTGACACATGACTGAAAGATTTTGGGAAGTGCTGGAGGACGAGCTTGTGTGAAGGCACTGGGGGGTGGTAAATCCTGGTGGGTGGTGCTGGGTGGTGGTGCGAAGGTTTCCAGTGAAAGGGGAGGAGTAGGAGGGTCTGGGGCTTCAGACAGAGCTGATGAGGACAAGCCAAATGGCCTTTTCCTGTTTGTATCTGAGCTTACTGAGTGAAACATAAAAGGTGACACACATGAGGGAAAGGGTGAAAAGAAAAACAGAAAAAGAGCTTGTCAGAGTCTGGGATTAAAGCAGAAACCAGAAAAAACATCAGTCAAGGGTAGAAGATGAAAGGAATGGATTCACAGCCCAATCCTGGTAGGACCAGGAGACGGGAGGGTTAGGTAACTGCGAGTGATTTAACAGATGAAAGAGAAACAATGACATATAATAAAAGGTGTTCAATGGAAGGCCGAGCAGAAGCATCCTGACCTTTGACCTGATAGACTTACCAGAGAGTGTGCCTTTTAGGGATGCACCGGAAACTTGGCCACCGAAGAATTTGGGTTTTCGGCCGAAACACCTAAATTACAGAGACAACACAGCCGAAACAACCCTGCTTCATTTTATTTAGCTCCGCCCTCAACTTGCTCTTTGTTTCATAAAAGTCGTACATTCATTCTGACTTTCATATCAATAATGTGACGGACTTTAGTTTCGGTTTCACGTCTACTGCGTCTGCTCGGCTTATTTTTTTCTTCTTTTACATTTTTTGCTACGACTGTCACTTTGTTTTGACTATTATTCTTTTTAGATGAAATCTGGATAAATGTTAGCTTTATTTTTAGCATCAGATTTATTATTTGGAGACTGAAGGTAAAATAGTTTATTGTGTTGAATACTTTTGTGTAATATCAAAGCTTTTATTTTTGGGTCTATCCTGAACACGGTGAAATAAGCTTTGGATCGTGTGTGTGAAGTAGGGCTGATATATAAAAAAGCTTATTGATTAAAAAAACATTGATCGATATCAATAGTTATTGAAACTATGTGAAAAATGTAGAAAAGACATTGTAAGTGCAGCCATGGCCATGTTACGTCATTACTTTATGATAAAACACGTTGGTTGCGTTACCAGACTTGTTTCTATCGACTCTGTTGCAGACCGCTGTTGTTTGTTTTGAGTCAGACTTGTCAGAATGAAAATATCACAACACGGGTGAGGTACTGGAGCCTTTTAGGGACAATTTCTTGTTTAAGTCACATTGAGTCTGTTTAGGTTAGAGATTGGAGGGCTTGGTGACGGAGCGTGCTTGGGTCTGTCATTTTCATTGGTTGGGCGTAAGGAATGACTAGTATGAAGCTACCCGATAGGCTGTAATGAAAAAAGGATTAAAGTTTTTATTGATCCATTTTTTTCCTATTGAACCACATGTCTATCTATTGATATATATCATTATTGAATTATTGTCCAGCCCTAGTGTGAAGCACGTTTACTCTCATGAAGCACACTGACTCTGCTGCTTTGGGTGAATGACTACGGTATTACTTTTCAGAATCGGAGTCGGCCATTACCAGAGCTTTGTCGATAATCAACAGACCTGTCAGCATTGTAAGGTTCTCCTCTCTAATATGTAAAAGTATTCACCCTCTGTGAGGTCGTCTCCTCTCCTCGGTCAGCAGCCTCGTGGGGCAGTTTTCAAACTCTATAAACTCTAAAGATTTCTTTAGAAACGCCCAAAGTGTTGCTATGGTTGAAGCTACACATCTCTGCTATCTTCTGGTGTAAAGTGATAGCTTCATGCTTTAAGGGTTAATTTTACAGTCTCGCTCAGTTATAAGCCTGAACATTTGTAATTATTGTTCTTATTTATGATTTATTATTATTTAATGTGCACGAGTGGGGTCAAGTGAAACATTTTATTTAGAGTTTGAAATTATATTTGCTTTGTTGTTACGTCAGTGCTAAATGAACATTTTTGGAATAAATTTATTTCAATGCCTTGATTTTTGTGAGGTTAGTACACATGTAGCCATAAATGCAATGGTTCTTATTAGTGACATAATCATTGCTTTCGGTGTTTCGGTTTTTTGGAATTGGTCAACTCATTTTCGGTTTTCGGTTTCGGCCAAGAATCTTCCTTTGGGTGCATCCCTAGTGCATGTGTGATATTGAATGAAATAAGACACGCTTTGGGAACCACTGTTCTAGATCAATACCTGTGTTTGTTAAAGAACATCATTAATCTAGCATGTTTAGTTCTCCTAACATGTGCCAGCTGTTACCAGTAACACGTGTAGCTTGTCCATAGCTGGTCCTTCTGTCCTCGCCCACGTCCTCATCGCTGTCGTTAAAGTCATCCAGATTGCCGATGTCGCCGTGTTTCACGCTCATTAAACTGGCCAAACTCTGCATGTCCTCATCCCTGTGAGAGATCAGACAGGCCAGTCTGCTTTTAAACGGTCTCCAGTGAGACGCTCCCGGAGATAGGTGGATATGAATCATACTGATCTGTATGCAGCACTAAACACTGCTATGCTCTGGAGTGGACTCACGTAGCTTTGCCCTCCTTGAGAAAGATACAGGACAGGTTGAGTTTCAGCGTGGCCTCCACCACTTTGACAGAGAGTGGTTTGAGCTGCAGCGTTATGTTGTACTGGCCAGGCGTAGAGCTGGTATACTTCTTCATATTAACGTCAGCTGATGCTAAAACCTTCCGACGGCCTTTTGTTTCCTGATGATCCAGACCAGAAAAACAGCTCACAGATTAAACAACCCAAGTAGTTCACCTCAGAACACTGACACATGTCATTCTTATGTGTAGGTTAGAAAGCTATGGTTGTAAAAAAAAAAAGTCTCCAGTTACAAGCTAGGTAGTAAAACACATGACGTAGCATAGCAAGAAGCTTAGCTAGGCATGTCTAGGACATCGAGAGTAAAAAGAAAAGGTAACATTTTTAACAATAATAATAATTATTATTATTGTTAACTATTCTGCTTAGTAATGCATTACATAATATGCTTAAGCAGTTGTTAATACTTTCTTAAAGGGGTATTATGGAAGTTTGACAGCCAAAACATGTATAGAAATAATAAATGTCTTCTTCATACATTCTCCTGCAATGCCCTGGTCCTGTAGAATGAGCCCTGGCATTTTTACTGTGATTGCCTGTTTTTCTGTAAAATCACAGAAAAAGAGAGATGCTCGGGTCGAGCAGGCTGCTTCATGCGCGTTCACGCTCAGGCATCGCCCGTAGCATTTGCTATCCGTAGCTTTAGCAGCAGAGAGAGAGGCAGTGCCACTTTGTCGCTGTTCCTAACGCCTAGTGACAAAGCTAGCTACATTTCTGAGGACCCTTAGCTACTTTCTGTAGAACTTTCTTCTAGATATTTCCTGCAAATTAGCAACAAAATAGCCATTTTCACTCCGAACCGTTCTTTGGTTTGACGTTGTTTCAGCTGTCATCAAGGATATAAAAGTTACAGATACTGTGAATGTTACTAGAGTGTAGCTCACCTAGTAAGATGTCTGACTCTCATGCAGGAGACCTGGGTTTGATTCTGGATGTGAACATAGTTTATTTAGAGTTTATTTTTTACATTAATGATATATTTTGTACAGTAAGATGCCCAAATTTTTATTTGAGACTCGCCGAACGGCATTGAATTCACAGATAAAAAAGATGTGGGTTCAACTTTCATTTTGGAACAATTTTTCAAGCAATGGAAGGGAATGATCTGAGCATGCAGGAGGACTGACCCATCATAAACATTTGTCGGCTGTGCTGAAGAGAAAGGTACAGAACCAAATTATTTAATTAATTAGCTGCACGTTCTCCTGTCCTCAGTGCCACACACACACACACACACACACACACACACACACACACACACACACACACACACACACACACACACACACGCACACACACACACACACACACACACACACACACACACACACGGGACTGTCTCAGCTGTTATTTTCATTAAGGAGTGTGCACGTACAGCATGCGCGCCTCATGCACGAGCCTACTATTGAAGCTGCCGTTACGCTTTTGGCCTGAGGGGGCAATCTCGAGCATAAAAATTCTAAAGTTCGTAAAGTCCCTTTAATAATGCACAAAGTAGCATTAATAAAGGGACCCTTATTGTAAAGTATTACCAAAGAAATATTAGGATCCAAAATAACATAAAAAAATGAAACAGAAAAACGAGGCCAGATTCCTTTTCTTTAAGTTGTTTTAAGTTTATGTTAGACAACAAGTTACCGCTGAGGGGTGAATAAACATGTCCAGCTTGTGTTACAGCAGGGGTCTGGGCAATCGCTGACTGGGACAGCTCAGTGACCCAGTCACCGGGAATGCCTGCTGCTCCCAAAAGCCAGTTCACTGCTGGTGTGTTACAAAAGCTGCCCATGATGCTTTTTTGGGAATCTAGAAGTTAATATCCAGACAACTGTTTCTGAGCTGGGTTAGGGTGAACAGGGTTTAGCCGACTTTCCCCGAACCTGAAGAAGATAATTACCGAACACTAAGAGAATAAATGCAAAAACTAAGGTGAGCAGGTAACAAGTTCCAGGGGGAGGGTGCCGACCTGCTGAATGCTCGCTGTCCCATCGTGACAAGACGTGCTGGTGGATTAGTTCAGTAGATGGAAGAAGGAGATCTGAGCATGTGAGAGGGTTTAATGACTTGTAGTAGCTGGGAGAGATGAGAGGGGGCTAGATTATGAATGGACTAAAGGACTAAAATGTTGTACCTGAACTTTATTGGCAGCCAATGAAGCTGCTGAATAACGGGGGTGATGTGATCAGAGTAGGGTGTTCTGGTGATTATACGAGAAGTTTGAACCAGATGAAGTTTATGAATTAACTTTTGGGGCAGACTAAAGAGATGTGAGTTGCAACCGTCCAGGTGGGAGGTGACCAAACTAAAATGGCAGTAGACTGATTTGACAGAAACGGACTCTGGCGGTTAATATTTCGCGGGTGGAAGTAGAACCTTGCAGCTCTGATCAGAATTGTGGCTGACCAATCACAGAGCGTTTATTTAGAAAAACTACGTGTGGACTGCTCCGATGACTGACATCCATAGCGGTCCAATCACAGCACTTAGTCTGTTGGTGGGCGGGATGTTACTCGTACAAAGGTGGGGATGGCTGGTTTGAAACGACTTAGGCATCAACTTTGGACTGTTTTGACTTGGGTTTTTCTTTGACTCGAGAGCAGATAGAGGTACGTTGACGAAGTACAGCCGACTGACTCGTTGACTGCCATCTGTAGCGGCGAGTAGGTCACGCTGTTTGTTATCCAATAGAGCTCCGGACGTCACGTGACTCTCAAGAGAGTAGACGCCATGTTGGCAGGCAACAAATGTAAACAAAATGAACGGGATCGGCTTGGATTTTACTTCGTCGGAGTTTACTTCACACTTTAAAACCGAATAAATCGTTTTATATAGTCAGAAATTAAATTGACTAAATATCTCCGACCCTTACCGTGCCCCTGGGATACTTTTTAAAAACGCCAGAAGCTGTCGGAGCGGACATCTTACCGGACCTGGCCAGGGAACCCCTTGGGATTCCCCCGGAGGAGCTGGCCCAAGTGGCTGGGGAGAGGGAAGTCTGGGCCTCTCGACTTAGGCTACTGCCCCCGCAACCCGACTCCGGATAAGCGGATGAAAATGGATGGATGGACAAATAACAGATTTACATGTAAGTAGTTTAAATAGAGTGCTGAGCTGTTTGAATGTATAAACTGAACGCCAAGAGAAATCACTAGTTTGATTTTTTTCTGTGAATAAAATAAATATGTCAGGCAGGAGCGTCTCAGGATCTGTCTGAGATCTGACTCGGTGAGACAGATAATAGCAATCCAAAGTGCTTTTTATGTGTGATCTGACAATTGATCAACCATTGCTTAAAAATTAAATACAGCTTAGCCGGGTCGGGGGAGAGGTCCTACCTCAAGTGGAGGAGTTTAAGTATCTCGGGGTCTTGTTCACGAGTGAGGGTAGGAGGGATCGGGAGATCGACAGGCGGATTGGTTCGGCGTCTGCAGTGATGCGGACGCTGAGCCGATCTGTCGTGGGGAAGAGGGAGCTGAGCCAGAAAGCCAGGCTCTCGATTTACCGGTCGATCTACGTCCCAATCCTCACCTATGGTCATGAGCTTTGGGTAATGACCGAAAGAACGAGATCGCGGATACAAGCGGCCGAAATGAGTTTCCTCCGTAGGGTGGCCGGGCTCAGCCTTAGAGATAGGGTGAGGAGCTCGGACATTCGGGAGGGACTCGGAGTAGAACCGCTGCTCCTCCGGATCGAAAGGAGCCAGTTGAGGTGGTTTGGGCATCTGGTCAGGATGCCTCCTGGACGCCTCCCCGGGGAGGTGTTTCGGGCATGTCCTGCCGGCAGAAGGCCCCCGGGTCGACCCAGGACACGTTGGAGAGGTTACATCTCCAATCTGGTCCGGGAACGCCTTGGGGTCCTGCCGGAGGAGCTGGTGGAGGTGGCCGGGGAGAGGACGGCCTGGAGCTCCCTAGTTGGGATGCTGCCCCCGCGACCCGGACCCGGATAAGCGGAGGAAGACGACGACGACGACGGTTTATTGCTGTGATCATAAAACACGTAAACGGCAGCACGCAGAAACACGAGGCAACGTTTTACGTGACGTTTACTTGCTGCTATGAGTAATAAGACAGAAAAAGCCACGCCAAAATTTGTTTAGGAAGCCCACTAAGAATCGTAATAAAAGCATTTAAAATAAATACCATACACAGTTGAGGAAACGTTGGTTTAAGTACCTGACATGAAGCGGTCGCTGCATAAGTGAAAACCTTTACTCTCGGGATCCCACAGCTTCATTTTAGCCCGGTCACTAGCGCGTTTTATTACAATGATCCAACGTTTGCGGCGCTCCGGATCTTGGGGAATCCTGTAGATGGCTCATTCCTTATGACGTCCGCGTCTGTTCTGCATCCTGGGGCACAACAGGAATCTACCATATTTCCCGTTTGATTGAGTTTTCTGACAATAACAAATAGTCCAGCTGCGGGCTTCTGCCTGCCAATATGGCGCCGTTTCGATTTGAACTGTTGCATGCCGGGAGAAGTGACGTCAACTCCCGGAGCTCTATAGCCTGTGGAGACAGTTTTTACTTTATCTTTAATAAGAATGTGATTTTTATCTGCTGAGCAGAACGCTAAGTGGAGTGTTGCTTTATCTTTTATGCTAGTCTTTTTAAAGATAAGAGTTTTTTTTATATTCTAATGAGTAAGTGATGTCGTGGCCTGAGTGCACAGCGAGGAGCATTGCAGCATTGAGCTGTCTGGTTGGAGTCTCTCCCTCATGTGGATTAGCTCCAGAGCTCATGGTGACATCTGAATATAAATATTGTGTTTTAAACAGTAAACCGATGCAATGAACACACCTTGCTGTAAACTGTATAAATACTGAGGCAGCAAACTTTGTAAATACTAGCATTTGAGTTCTTCTCAAAAGTGAGATTAAAAACCAGCGAAGGTCATCATGAGCGTTGGGCTCTAATGAAACCTCCACTCGTTTTAACCCACAGATAGCAGGATACATGTGGATTTCACTGTGCATCTAAAGGTAACACCTAAAGATAAATTCAATTCAATTACAAAAAAGATTTCAAAAGAAACGTCAGAGTTAACTTACACTCTCTATAACAAACGTCCAATCTTTGTCTTCAAATTCCTCTGCAGTAGCTTCCTGTTGGTTAGACAATCACACACCTTTAGTACGACTCCATTCAAACCAATAACTGATATTTGTGGTGCGCTTATAGACCTTTATTACACAAGTTGGCAGTAAAAACTTGTCAGCCAAAGACACAAGTACACAGATATCATGTCAAACCTTGAAAAGTGTGACGGTGATGTCTAAAGTCTCTGGGACCTGCCACACCACCAGGCCCCTGTAGGGGTTCTTAATCCCTGGCTGCCAGCTGTGGAACTGCAGAGAGAAGAAACAGAAAGCAGGATTCAGCTTCAACGCTGCAGCAGAACCTGGTCATGGACACTACGCCCTCCAGCTGGAGACCATAATCAGCTGTTTCCTTTGGTGGTGCGACCCACACCAGTGTTTGGTGGCAGCTAAACCTTTACCTTGGTGCTGTGGTGTCTGTTTCTCCTGATCCACATCACTCTCAGTTTGTCTGGCTGCCTGAGAATCAGAACATGGAGGAAAACACTTGAGAGTTTTAAAAGCTAAATATTTCAACAATCTGTCAAAAAACATAAAATACTAAAGACTTTCATTCTTATTTACTCTTCCATTGGTTGATTTTATTTAATGAAACATGTAAAATCAAAACATTTCACATTTTTCTGTTGAACCTCGTCTTGAGAAGGATCGATGTGATTTTGGTCCTGGAACGACGGACGTGGTGGCGCCTCGTTTAGAAAACTCTGCTTACTAAAACTCTACTTAAATCCAGCAAACAAATGTACTAACGCTAATTATTGATAAAACACTGCCAACACACAGCTGCACCAGTTCCTGCTTTATAAACCATAATCATCCTAGAAACGTGCTCTAACCCCGCCTCCTACACACCCACTCTGCCACAAATGGTCAGTGCATATGACCTAGTAAATAATCAGCATCTAAATAAGATGGCCGACCAATGGCATTTCACGAGCAACCATGGCTACCAGGAGGTCTAAAAGAGCAATTTCACTGGCGCCTGAGTTCGGCAAGCCTCGCCTCTGTAAGTGTGCCACAAGGCAGCTGTGGCTACTTCGTAGCTCACCTCCACCAGCATGTGTGTTGTAGCGTAGGACAGGCCTCGTAGATGTCAGAGGTCACCACAAGGCTGAAGTTACCTTCCGATTCCAGCTTCCAATTCGGGAAATGGCTATTACACCCAATTTTTCTCTACTCTGATTGTCTTTAATCTGTTCTAGCTCAAAAACTACAACACCCACACTTTTCAAACTTGTTCTAGATCAGGGGTGTCAAACTCATTTTAGCTCAGGGGCCACATTGAGGGAAATCTAGTCTCAAGTGGGCCAGACCGGTAAATTAAAAACAACTTCAGATTGTTTTCTTTGTTTTAATACAATCAATATAAAACAAGGCTGGAGCCTGAGGACGGTGTAGTACAAGTACGACACCTGAAGTGTACTTGAAAATTTGAAAAAAATAAATAAATAATCAATCAATAAAAAAACATTCCTTAGTGATTCAAAGAGCTTACAGATCACATGGCTAAATCAGTTTCATGCAGCACTTAAAGTATATTTGACTCATTTTACTTAACATCTTTTAGCTTTCACCGGAGCATCAACATCAGAAGTCACATCCTGAGTGGCGGCCAACTTCAGGATGTGATTCAAGTTCTTGTGTGAGCCTTGAGCGCAGCTTTGTTTTATTTATACTCATTACAGAGAAAACTTGCTCACAAAGATACGTTTATTTTCACTCTACATGGTAAAGTATGAAAATAAAGTTTACACAACCATCTCGTGGGCCGGATTTAACGGGCCGCACATTTGACACCCCTGTTCTAGATTATTCTACTATAAAAGCAGATCAAATGAAACACGGTGTGGGATTTGTGAAACTTCAACAAAGCCTGATTTATGTGTTTTTTCAGCATCTGGCCAACGATGGAGCAGCTGTAGCTCAAAAACTACAACAGCCACGCTGTTCAAACCTGTTCTAGATTATTCTATTTATTCAGCTGTAGTAGAATAATCTAGAACAGGTTTGAATAGTGTGGGTGTTGTAGTTTTTGAGGTAGTGCAGATTAAAGATGGTCAGAGTAGAGAGAAATTGGGTGTAATGACCCTTTAGCCGTTTCCCAAATCGGAGGCTAACTTCAGCCTCGTGAGGTCACCAGACATTGATTTGTCCACAGCCTGCTTCATCAGTGTGCCAAGGGTTAACGGTGTGCTTTTCACCCCAAGACACAGGCTGTCTATGACCTTGCACCAGGAGGAAGCCATAATAAAATTCCATCCTGACTCCCTTATCTGGCCTGCAACTCACACGTTTCTTCAGGAGACTTTTAACAAAATTATTCTTAGATTTGTCTCATAAAATGGTTTCTTCACTTTACAGATTAATTACAATTACATTATCTCCAATGAACGATTTATCTAAAGCGATTTAATAATGTCTTGATTGCTTTGCAGGAATGAATGAATTAAAAAAAACTTTTGTGAGAGGATGATGTGTGTGGCGTGTCAGCAAGTCATTCCGTGTGGTCTAGGATCAAAAAGGCAGGGAACTGTCAGAGTCTCATAAAGCAGTAGATTTAGCTTCAGAGTGCTCGATGCCATGCCAACGCTAATGTGTAAGCGCCATATTTGACGGGGGGAGGAGAGAGGCGGTAACGCTCAGAGCAATGGCGTCAGACTGGCTCAACTTGTGGTGTGTCACCTAGTCATCTAGAGCAGTGTGTCACCGCCAACAGGCGAGAACAAACACAACAACCCTGTGATTTGCATCTCAGACAACATTGTAGAAAGTTTGAAGTAAAACACCTAGAATGAGGAGGCCAGTTGGTTGTTGGCTGTTGTGGGACCTGCCCCAGTAAAGACAAAAGGGTGAAAAGGGCCTAAAAACTGGATTACTGGTCAGTCCAACGCCACATCATCAGGCAGATGGAACAAAACACCAGAGTTAGTGGGGTCTTGTTGATTTCTATGCATTTGTTAAAGTTGATGTGCTACAAACATGAATGCAACTATCCATTTTCTCCTCTCTGGTGTGCAAAAAGAAACTTTTTGTTTCAATGAAAAATAAAAAGCAGAATTTTAAACTCTACGGATGGTGGGGCGGTACCAAACTGACATCCAGAACTGAGAGTCGGACACTTACACAGAACAGAAAGGAAGTCACTGCAGAAACACTGAAACGCGTTTGTGTCATCGGGTTTAACTGAGCACAGGAACATGTATAAGAAACATTTTAATATGAATAAGTGTGTGGGTTCATCCTTTCACTTAAGGACAAAGAAAGGAGAAAAGAAAAAGTAATAATATTTCCAAATGAAAGTTTTGGGAGAAGGAGGAGCAACATCCAACCAACCATTGGCTGGAACCCATCTGCCACCAACTACATATTCTCCCGCTCTATTAGGGCTGGGCAATAAATCGAAAATGTATTGTTATCAAAATGTCTGACTCTTATTGAGATTATTTTCCCCATGTCAGTAAATGTGATAATAAAAAAATGAAAATATGTGTGTAGTTGGCAACGTTCATGTGCCTTTAACTCATTCACTGCCATTGACGACTAAAGTCGTCATTTTAATAATAATACATTTGATTTCAACAGCGCCTTTCTGAACACTCAAGGACACTTTACAGAGATAAAATACACAACAATAAAAGATAAAACAGCATAAAACAAACAGACAGAATGGAGCAAAGAGTGTAACTATTGGAATGCTAGACGGAACAGGTGAGTTTTGAGTCTGGTTTTAAAGAGAGTGAGGGAATCAACGTTACGGAGGTCAGGAGGGAGTGAGTTCCAGAGCTGGGGCGCAGAGCGGCTGAAGGCCCTGCTCCCCATAGTGACCAGACGGAAAGGTGGGACAGAGAGGTGGATGGAGGAGGAGGACCTGAGGGAACGGGTGGAGGTTGAAGGATGAAGGAGGTCTGAGAGGTACGGTGGAGCTAGGTTATGGATGGCTTTGAATGTATACAGCAGAACTTTGAATTGGATTCTGGAAGTGACTGGGAGCCAGTGGAGCTGCTGAAGAACAGGGGTGATGTGGTGGAAGGAGGGAGTTCTGGAAATGATGCGGGCTGCCGAGTTCTGGAGAAGTTGGAGTTTACGGAGGGTTTTGTGAGGAAGACCGAAGAGAAGAATGTTGCAGTAGTCAATACGGGAAGTGATGAGGCTGTGGACAAGGATGGCGACCGAGTGATTAGTGAGGGAGGGGCGTAGACGGTTAATGTTACATAAATGGAAGTAGGCAGACCGGGTAATATTGTTTACAGAATAGAGAAAAATTGGGTGTAATGACCCTTTAGTTTTAGATCCAACCTTTCACTGCCAATGACGACTAAAGTCGTCATTTGCATTTTTTTACTGTTTGAGCATCGGAACGAGCCCCCGCACTGAGAGAACAAACATCTCAGCCCTGAAGCCGATCTTCATCCGCATACGTCACAGATCACATGATCAGGAAGCAACACGTCCATGTGTTTGGAGATCGTTTTGGGCCGTTCCTGTAAAAAAAGTGAGGCGCGAACCAGAAAAGCGTCTGCTGATCACAATTCGACAACGGATTATGAAATAACGGATAACGCTCGAAACACGCGGCTTCTTCCTGATGTAAGAGGTGAGTCTCCTCTTTGTTTTGGTTGTTTTGGCATCGACATCATGCTAGCGCGCAACGTTCTGTGACTCTTAAAAAAACAGTAAAAATGGTGAGAAACGCTGGCAGCGAAGGCCGTTAGCGATCAGGAAACGGCTGGCAGTGAATGAGTTAAGAAGCCGTACCACCTTGAGTAGCGTAATACACGTGACAGCCCCATCTAGTGGACAACTTTAGTCTGCGCATACCTGCAGTTATCGTCCATTTATCGTTATTGAGGTGAAATCATCAATAAATCATGTATGGATATGAATCTTAGAGCAACTCACGATTAAATTTGATTCCGATTTTCGGGGTGCCGATTCGATTCGGAATCGATTCTCGATTTTCGATTTAAATTGATTCGCAATCAATATTAACAAAGAGTGTCAGTTCCAGGATTAACTACTTTGTTGTACAAGTTAGTTAAAGCTATGGAAGTTTTTATTTTACTTTAAACTTGTCATGCTCAAAAAAATGCTAATTTACGAGGTAAAATAAAGTGATTCTAAAACAAAAGTCAACATTTATTTTTGCTTACCTTGTAAAATATAACAAATCTTTAGTTACCCAACAGTAGCTTACAAAGGAAAATGTGTTCTCTCATTTATCAATAACTTAAAATAAATACATGAGTAATTCTGAGTACTCAGTAGTGCCCACTTATCAGCAGATTCAAAAATAAATAATCTCAATTTATGGGACCACAAAAGAAAACGGAGTACTAACTCTACTAACAAAGTTCAAAAAACAGACAAAAGTGCATCTCAAACCTGAAACATGCCAAACATTTCAGTTCTTGGAATCGATTCTAAACCTTTATAAAGAAATCGATTTCTTTCAGCACCTC